TTTTGGGTGAAAAAACTGATTTTTTCGATGATGCCGGCTATGGAAAACGTTGAAGTTTTTGGGGCATTTTGTAAAATATCAAAAAGTTTTCTTTTCTCACTGGATACTGAATGTAATGAGTTGAACTCTTCAGGAAATTCAATTCTGGCCTCTAGGCACCTTCTGTGAACTTTTGAGCAATTTGGAGAAGTTGTATTTTTGGGTGAAAAAGTGACTTTTTCGATGATTGCCGGCTATGGAAAACGTTGAAGTTTTTGGGGCATTTTGTAAAAAATCAAAAAGTTTTCTTTTCTCACTGGATACTGAATGTAATGAGTTGAACTCTTCAGGGAATTCAATTTTGGCCTCTAGGCACCTTCTTGAACTTTTGAGCAATTTTGGAGAAGTTGGATTTTTGGGTGAAAAACTGACTGTTTCGATGATGCCGGCTATGGAAAACGTTGAAGTTTTTGGGGCATTTTGTAAAAAATCAAAAAGTTTTCTTTTCTCACTGGATACTGAATGTAATGAGTTGAACTCTTCAGGAAATTCAATTCTGGCCTCTAGGCACCTTCTGTGAACTTTTGAGCAATTTTGGAGAAGTTGTATTTTTGGGTGAAAAACTGACTTTTTCGATGATGCCGGCTATGGAAAACGTTGAAGTTTTTGGGGCATTTTGTAAAAAATCAAAAAGTTTTCTTTTCTCACTGGATACTGAATGTAATGAGTTGAACTCTTCAGGAAATTCAATTCTGGCCTCTAGGCACCTTCTGTGAACTTTTGAGCAATTTTGGAGAAGTTGTATTTTTGGGTGAAAAACTGACTTTTTCGATGATGCCGGCTATGGAAAACGTTGAAGTTTTGGGGGCATTTTGTAAAAAATCAAAAAGTTTTCTTTTCTCACTGGATACTGAATGTAATGAGTTGAACTCTTCAGGGAATTCAATTTTGGCCTCTAGGCACCTTCTTTGAACTTTTGAGCATTTTTGGAGAAGTTGGATTTTTGGGTGAAAAACTGACTTTTTCGATGATGCCGGCTATGGAAAACGTTGAAGTTTTGGGGGCATTGTGTAAAAAAATCAAAAAGTTTTCTTTCTCACTGGATACTGAATTTAATGAGTTGAACTCTTCAGGAATTCAATTCTGGCCTCTAGGCACCTCCTCTGAAGTTTTGAGCAATTTTGGAGAAGTTGGATTTTTGGGTGAAAAACTAACTTTTTCGATGATGCCGGCTATGGAAAACGTTGAAGTTTTGGGGGCATTTTGTAAAAAATCAAAAAGTTTTCTTTTCTCACTGGATACTGAATGTAATGAGTTGAACTCTTCAGGGAATTCAATTCTGGCCTCTAGGCACCTCCTGTAAACTTTTCAGCAATTTTGGTGAAGTTGGATTTTTGGGTGAAAAACTGACTTTTTCGTTGATGCCGGCTATGGAAAACGTTGAAGTTTTGGGGGCATTTTGTAAAAAATCAAAAAGTTTTCTTTTCTCACTGGATACTGAATGTAATGAGTTGAACTCTTCAGGGAATTCAATTCTGGCCTCTAGGCACCTCCTGTGAACTTTTGAGCAATATTGGTGAAGTTGGATTTTTGGGTGAAAAACTGACTTTTTCGATGATGCCGGCTATGGAAAACATTGAAGTTTTGGGGGCATTTTGTAAAAAATCAAAAAGTTTTCTTTTCTCACTGGATACTAAATGTAATGAGTTGAACTCTTTAGGGAATTCAATTCTGGCCTCTAGGCACCTCCTGTGAACTTTTGAGCAATTTTGGTGAAGTTGGATTTTGGGTGAAAAACTGACTTTTTCGATGATGCCGGCTATGGAAAACGTTGAAGTTTTTGGGGCATTTTGTAAAAAATCAAAAAGTTTTCTTTTCTCACTGGATACTGAATGTAATGAGTTGAACTCTTCAGGGAATTCAATTTTGGCCTCTAGGCACCTTCTTTGAACTTTTGAGCAATTTTGGAGAAGTTGGATTTTTGGGTGAAAAAACTGACTGTTTCGATGATGCCGGCTATGGAAAACGTTGAAGTTTTTGGGGCATTTTGTAAAAAATCAAAAAGTTTTCTTTTCTCACTGACTGTTTCGATGATGCCGGCTATGGAAAACGTTGAAGTTTTTGGGGCATTTTGTAAAAAATCAAAAAGTTTTCTTTTCTCACTGGATACTGAATGTAATGAGTTGAACTCTTCAGGAAATTCAATTCTGGCCTCTAGGCACCTTCTGTGAACTTTTGAGCAATTTTGGAGAAGTTGTATTTTTGGGTGAAAAACTGACTTTTTCGATGATGCCGGCTATGGAAAACGTTGAAGTTTTTGGGGCATTTTGTAAAAAATCAAAAAGTTTTCTTTTCTCACTGGATACTGAATGTAATGAGTTGAACTCTTCAGGAAATTCAATTCTGGCCTCTAGGCACCTTCTGTGAACTTTTGAGCAATTTTGGAGAAGTTGTATTTTTGGGTGAAAAACTGACTTTTTCGATGATGCCGGCTATGGAAAACGTTGAAGTTTTGGGGGCATTTTGTAAAAAATCAAAAAGTTTTCTTTTCTCACTGGATACTGAATGTAATGAGTTGAACTCTTCAGGGAATTCAATTTTGGCCTCTAGGCACCTTCTTTGAACTTTTGAGCATTTTTGGAGAAGTTGGATTTTTGGGTGAAAAACTGACTTTTTCGATGATGCCGGCTATGGAAAACGTTGAAGTTTTGGGGGCATTGTGTAAAAAATCAAAAAGTTTTCTTTTCTCACTGGATACTGAATTTAATGAGTTGAACTCTTTAGGGAATTCAATTCTGGCCTCTAGGCACCTCCTCTGAAGTTTTGAGCAATTTTGGAGAAGTTGGATTTTTGGGTGAAAAACTGACTTTTTCGATGATGCCGGCTATGGAAAACGTTGAAGTTTTGGGGCATTTTGTAAAAAATCAAAAAGTTTTCTTTTCTCACTGGATACTGAATGTAATGAGTTGAACTCTTCAGGGAATTCAATTTGGCCTCTAAGCACCTTCTTTGAACTTTTGAGCATTTTTGGAGAAGTTGGATTTTTGGGTGAAAAACTGACTTTTTCGATGATGCCGGCTATGGAAAACGTTGAAGTTTTGGGGGCATTGTGTAAAAAATCAAAAAGTTTTCTTTTCTCACTGGATACTGAATTTAATGAGTTGAACTCTTTAGGGAATTCAATTTTGGCCTCTAGGCACCTCCTCTGAAGTTTTGAGCAATTTGGAGAAGTTGGTTTTTTGGGTGAAAACTAACTTTTTCGATGATGCCGGCTATGGAAAACGTTGAAGTTTTGGGGGCATTTTGTAAAAAATCAAAAAGTTTTCTTTTCTCACTGGATACTGAATGTAATGAGTTGAACTCTTCAGGGAATTCAATTCTGGCCTCTAGGCACCTTCTTTGAACTTTTGAGCATTTTTGGAGAAGTTGGATTTTTGGGTGAAAAACTGACTTTTTCGATGATGCCGGCTATGGAAAACGTTGAAGTTTTGGGGGCATTGTGTAAAAAATCAAAAAGTTTTCTTTTCTCACTGGATACTGAATTTAATGAGTTGAACTCTTTAGGGAATTCAATTTTGGCCTCTAGGCACCTCCTCTGAAGTTTTGAGCAATTTTGGAGAAGTTGGTTTTTTGGGTGAAAACTAACTTTTTCGATGATGCCGGCTATGGAAAACGTTGAAGTTTTGGGGGCATTTTGTAAAAAATCAAAAAGTTTTCTTTTCTCACTGGATACTGAATGTAATGAGTTGAACTCTTCAGGGAATTCAATTCCGGCCTCTAGGCACCTCCTGAGTACCAAAGTGAATACGTCACATGCACAAAATGTGTGTGAAAGACATTAGCGCGTGATTCAGCCTTTGAACCAACACGCGTGCGTACTCCATTCCTTTGCACTACACTTTCTGGTTTTAAATGACATCACACTTAGGTACTCCATGGATTTCAATATCTCCCTATAATTGAATGTGTTTTGTGTCAGATATTTAATCATGAAGACTTCAAATAATCCATCGAATGAATGGAGCATTATAAAAAATAAACCTCTGTGTACCATATTCATTTTGTTGACAGCACATTGCCAGACACTGTAGTAAGCAGCGCGTGCTACATATCCTCCCTGTCCATGTTTCGGAGGTTGTTAGCTGAGGCAGCACTGATTGACAGAATAGACCTTCAGAGTACAGGTATAATATTTTTTTTTATTTCTTGTTTCCTTTGCTAACTTGTACTCCAAATAAAGCACAATGCTTTATTAATGGAATAAATGTGTGCTCCGGAGGCTTTTATCACTCTGTTTAAGACCGCTTAGAGTCTGGGTGCTGATAATTACCCGAGCCGGAGGCAAGGCGAGGGTAATTATCAGCACCCAGACTCTAAGCGGGCTTAAACAGAGTGATAAATACCGACCGAGCACATATTTATTCCCATTCATAAATACCTTTTCGGTAAAAAAAAATCAAATAATTCGTTCAAAAATCCCGATTTTGTTCAACAAGTTCACTTCATGCTTTTTGAAACATCCCCCTAGCAAAATAATGGAGTGTTCAGCTGGCGAGTAAGATGTAAACAACCCTTTTATGGAGATTGACGCACTCGTAGCATGTTCTGCGCGATGTCGCACCTGGGGCATTGTGTTTTGAATTGAGAACTATAAAATTTCGACTCTCTGGTAGTGTTGCGCATGCCTACGTGAGGACTGTGAACGTTCAACCAATAAAACGGTAAGAGGCACTGGATTTTTAGGAGTCCACATTTTATGTGACACTGGAAAAGTGTTTAAGACCAGCTAACTATGTCTTTATCATCCGTTTAAGACCGGCCACGTGACGGGCTCTCGACCAATAGGAATAGCTAAACTGTCTGAGGTATTTATGAATTTTTATTATTATTATTATTATTATTGTTTGTTTCTGGTCATGAACCAAGGATTCCTCAAAAGGCCCTGGGCACTGTAGCTCGCAAGCCTGAAGAAACCTGTGGAGAGAAGGCAGTGAGAAAAAAAATTACAGCTTTAAGAGGTGGAAGGAAAACCCCAGAGGAATATTCTGGGGAAAACCCATGGAATCAAGTAGAGACTGAAAACCCAATCCACAGGAATCAAATCCAGTTACGAGACCCCAAGGATTGAGCATTCAGTGTGTGTCTTTTCTCAATATGCATTCACTTACACGTATGTCATGTATGTGTATGTTAATTGTTTGGACACTGTGTTGTCACAGCATTATAACTGTTCATGGTAATAGACATACATGTATTTTCTCAATTATTCCATTCTTATGCAGTCATATTGCTTGCTCACTTCATGTACTGTATGTTTGAGGACTGCTAAAGATTCTTATTGTCCACAAGGACATGTGTACTATTAACATGTATGTCCACGTATTATAGAACAGTTGTTTGGACAGACGCCATTTTGTATGTTTTAAAACTTGCATATTTTTTAAATAGCATGCTATTTTTAAAAAATAGCAACCTATTTTACCTCTATTTTACCTCTAATTTTTAAAAAGATATTTTTTCACTATTCTAGTTTTTCGCCTTTTTTGGGGGGTGGCGAAATACAATGGAAAAAAATAGATTTAAAAAAAATGTATTTTCAATAGAAAATAAATATATTTTTTCTCTACTTTATTTCGACCTGGGTGTAGCTGAAACTTCAACGGGTTTGTTGTTATGCACCCTACTTTAAGATTTGGAGCAATTACGTTGCACCAAATGGAAAAAAAATGCACAAAAGCTAGTGATCATACGCGCCTTTAAAAGCACTGTATTCATTCGTTTGTTTTTTTGGCAGATCTGATCCACAGTCCAGTTCTATCCAGTTTCCCCCAGGCTACGCTCTACCCTGACTTCATGGATCATACGCGCCTTTAAAATCACTGTATTCATTCGTTTTTTTTGGCAGATCTGATCCACAGTCCTGTTCTATCCAGTTTCCCCCAGGCTACGCTCTACCCTGACTTCATGGATGCACTCAGAGTAAGTTTTATAGGCCGTACTTAGAATGACTGATTTTTCCTGCTAATGACTCATCGTAGAAGTATGAGGTCACGTAGGGGCATCTCCAATAGTGATGTGTCCTAAGGGCCCGTGACCATTCAGCCCCGGTATGAAAAGGGCCCCCCGGTAAGCTTGTCCCCTCCCAAGAAGTCCTCTCGTACCGTCCCAGCTACCAGCCTAGGAGCTGGTCTGGTTGCTAATCAGGAACTCCTCTATCCTGGGGTCTTTTGTTTGCAAGTATTGACACATGTAATATATCCCAGAAGAAACCCGCTTGTGGTTTTCATCTCTCAGTGCGAAACAATAGAACACTTTCGTCGGCACAGATCAAAACCCCTGCCATGGGGTTTCGCGCACAATGGGACCGTAAATTACCAAGGCGTTATGGAAGGATTTTATTTTTATTCCGGTAAGTCTGCTATTGTTCTGCTCTGGACGTTCTCTGAAGGGCAATAAATTGATGCGCCTGACTGACTTCAAAACTTCTGGTCAGACAGGACCATGTACCAGACGAGATTGGGCTGAAGACCGGACTGGCTTTGGACTGGACGAGGTACCGGGGGGCCCTTTTCATACCAGGGCTGAATGGTCACGGTCCCTAACAATGTCTCGTCCACCGTTTTACGGACCATTTGAACAAGCGATTTAGATGAACATTTTCTAGTTGAAATTTCTCAGACTTTAAGAATACAGAGGTCTGCGAAATGTGACTGTAGACATCATTCAGGATGTGAAGGGTGCCGTTATTTTTCTTTTCCAACTGATTTTTGAAAAAAATGATGAAAATGGGGTCACAGTATGTATTGCTATGTTAGGCCATGCTTGTTTGGGTACCTCACCCTGGTCAACGCGTGACCTCGGTGGCCTACGACGTAACCACTTCTATATATGGCGTCTTTTCTCCAGATGTTTAAATGCTTCATGCAAAACTGAATGCAAAGCATTTTTCATGACATCAGCAACTGAAGCTTCATTGTAACATTCGCCATTGCCCTTACTAATTCCAGGGTTCGAAATTAGCGGTAGCCCGCTAGCCAAATGCTAGTCAAAACAGCGACGGGCTAGTCAAACTATTCCTTAAGTAGCCCACCTGGCGAGTGAAAAAATTATTGGGATACGGCAAAGATGAAAGGACAGGAAGAAATGAATCGTTAAATTCAGAAAGCAAACCTGTATCACTTTGTGTATAATTTTATGAACTGTTTAAAAGGGAATGTACAACATTTGCTTTTGCTGCAATTTTCAGAAATAAATGGATTTGGAGGATTATTATGTTATAGCAAATATTGTTAAAATGATTTTTTTTCTTCACATTTTGGGCTTGAAGATGCTGGAAAAACCAAGAAAACCAATCATGTTCTTGCAGTCTGGTTCCCTGACCCACTTAAGATGAAACGGAGCAATTTATAGACTTTAGCCTAGAATTGTAATGTAAGAGAATCAGTCTAGCAGACTTGTACCCCTTCACAGGTGTGTAATCAATTGCAAAGAAAATGCGGAATAACTAATTATGAAAATTCAGAGCAGTTTTTGAAAAATAACCAGAAAAAAGTTTCTTGAAAAATTTCTTGAAAATGTCAGCAGAACAGGAGCCACGATTTTACAGGATGCTTTAGACTGTCATTCCCTTACAATCCAGTAAGGTATTTCGTGATAATTTGATCATTTCATTTTGTGATGTTTGCAAATGTTGTATCTTCCCTTTAAAGGGTTAAATTATAAGAATATAAATATGCGGGCTAGTGAAAATGCCTGCGGGCTAGTTAAGAGTCTGTTTCAGTAGCCTGGCTGGCTGGTGAACAGAAAAGTTAAGGTCGAACCCTGCTAATTGGCTTTGCGCTGAAATTCGCATGAAGTACAAGCATAAACCGGCCTTTGACACCAGGGGCCAATTTCATAGAGCTGCTTAAGCACAAAATTTGCTTAAGCACAAAAACGTCTTGCTTAATAAAATCAGGTTACCGGCCAAAACTCCATGCGATTGTTGTGCTAAGTAAACAACAGCTAAATACCAGTCACAAGCAATGTACATCACATGGAGTTTTGGCTGGTAACCTAATTTTACTAAGCAATGTTTTTTTGTGCTTAAGCAAATTTTCTGCTTAAGCAGCTCTATGAAATTGGGCCCAGCTTACATGGCCCAATTTCATAGCGCTGCTTAATAGCTGACTTTGTGCTTACCGAGCCGCCATCTATTTCATAGGGACCATCAGTAAGCACAGCAAAAGCACGCTTAACCCCAGGAGAAAACTTTGCTTAAATCAGTGACGTAACAATAGAAATCTCCATGCGCACGCAACCGTTAGCATGAAATAGTGGTTAAGCAGCAGCATGATTTTCTGCTATAGTAAGCACAACTTTTCTGCTTACTATTAAGCAGTGCTATGAAATTGGGCCCAGGTCACAGAAGTGGGTATTGGAATAAAGTTTCTAGAGAGGGAATACGCCACTTTTGACAACAGAAACTGATGAGAAAATTTTCCCAGTTATGAGAATTGTTGTTAAAAGCTAAATAGCTGTGTCCTTGTGATATATGTTTCTTTTTTTTTTATCTCCTTTCCTCAGAGTTCCTGGGCAGACAAAAAGCGGACGATGAAAAAATCAGTTAAGGTGAGGTCTTTGCATATCCCATTGTGTGTTAATGTTAAAAAGAAAAAAAATGAGAGGCAAGGCTATCTATATCCTTTGGAATTGGAAATAAATGATAAGGTGCTTTGTTGTCATGTTATAGAGACAATCACCTCTTAACTTACTTATCTCGCTATTGACCTATCGCGGTAGAATCGCATTAGAATCGCGTTAGAATCGCGTTAGAATCGCGTTAGAATCGCGTCAACACAGCTTGTGAAATATTGTCCAATTACATGAAATACAAATGGACGCTGAACGCGCAAAATCTGAGACAAACAAACCTTAGTGCACAAAAATTCCATAAGGTTGTCTAAGGGGCGTGGCTAACTCGCTAACGGCAACAGGTCAGTTATTCAAATAGCGAATGTTTCTGAGTCCAATTAAAAGAATAATTTCATGAGGTGACAGATGGCATGTTCTATTCCACTAGGCGAAGCCGAGTAGATTTTTCGCCTCATGGAAATTATTCTTTCCATTAATAAACGAATGTGAAACATTCATTATTATTTTATACACCACCTGAATAAATCCTCTTAATCTGATTGGTCAGAGGCTGAGCCACCAAAAGTGTGACCGTGCAATTAAACTTTCGTTTACCGTATGAGTTTCTGTTTTTGCCGTGCAGCTGTGCCAGGCATTGGGACGAATAATTCAATGACACATGATCAACGGCCCGCCAATCAGTTGACGGGGTATTCAGGCATTGTATAAAATGACTTAACTCAACCAAAATTTTATTTTAGAGAAACATCTTTACCAGTTTGTTTTTGATTTTTCAGGTTTCTCGAAGCTTCCAAGACCTAAAAAAGTTGAACTATTTCCAACTCCCCAAAATTTGTAAAGTTTTCTTTAATTGTGTTCAGCTCTTGCAAACTCGCAGTGCAAAAACTTGCCATGATGTCACAAATTTGTGTTCGCTTCCGCTTCCGTGCTTAGTATGAAACAAGTAGGAATTCATGTCAAGTTTTACAATATCCACTACAAGTGCCTCAGTTTTCAGACAGTAGATGGTGCATATACTCCCTTTTACACATGAGTTTTGATTTTGACCAGGGCCTTCGAAATTGTAAGAACGATAAATACAAAATAATTACAAAGTAGTCAACTTATATTTGTCTTGCTACATACAGAGAGACCTTGAGCAAATGAAGAAGTTATTCAGAGACGCCTGCATGGAGAGCATCTACCTCCTACTTCAGTCAGCTACGCTGCCTCCTTACAAGTTTGGTGACAAAGACAATGAACAGGTAAGATGGATCGGGGCAGGGGAGGGGCAAGGGGGGGGGAGAGGGGGGCGTAGCATATATCCCCCACTTGTGTCTTGGGATATAGGATTATCCTACCTCATAGTGCTACTTTAAAATACAAGAGCACTACTCATTCCCTCGCGTAGAATACTTTAAAATACGTCCCGGGGCAAACGTTTTCAATGAATCTGAGTTATTGTAGAACATGTTTGAAATGAGATGGAATTTTTTTTAAGTGAAACTTATGCAGCCTTTGACATTTTCAAAGGGCACATCTATCCATGGAGATGTTGATATTACCTCATTCAGGGAAATTAACCAGGTACACTTTGATAGCTCAGTTTGCAAATGGGTCATTCTATAAATTTAGGGTCCAAAGTGTGACATTTTCCCCGTCCCTGTTACCTTGGTTCTTCTTAATATGCCATTCAAGTATCATTAAGAATGACCTCCAACAATGTTTTCTTTGTTGTGTAAGTGGTTTGCTATTCATATTCACTGGCCACGTGGTGATAAAATTCTCCACATTTTCCAAATATGGTCATAACTTTTTTTCAATGGGCCAATAAGGCCAAGATTCCATGTAATCCTCACCCCTGAAATACACCACAAGCCTGTAGACTCCCATTGGCCAGACCTAACCACTGCAGAGTAAGGAGTGTTGAAAGACAGCAGCCCCAAGAGGCGCCTTATGCCTTTGTGCAATAATTGGAGATCTTAGTGGCCAACACCTTTGTGCCGCCGATCTCTCTGTGTCAACCCCTCGTGCCGCCCAAAGCTCAGACAGGTCGTAAACAATCCTGGCCCACACAAAGGCCATGTGACCTAAAAACAGTTATTGACCTAGAAACAGTGTGGTGATAAAATTCTCCATGTGGTTTCACGGTGTGATTTTTTTTGGTCACTCGACTCCGAGGGTTAAAGAGTGCATTGGAATTAGAAAATGTTATCACAGATGTCAGATGTAACAGGGACAAAACAAAGTGGACCCACATTTAAACAATGACTCAGAGTGCCGTGGTCTGGTGTTCTGGAGGTCCCAGGTTCAAATTTAATTAATCGTTATATTTATTTTTCTCTCCCTTCTTTTTTTCAAGGAACGATGGGAGGAAATTTCTGGTCTGATGCAGAAGAACCGAACCAGAGGTGTACTGGACAACCTCCTGAAGCCTGGTGTGATGCACACGCCCTTTGACATTGGGGAAGTAACCTTTAACCTTTTGGAGGTGTACCATGAGGAAAGCTGACGTCAACTGGTCCTGTAGGTGTAAACGTGTAACAGTTTTCACAAGACAAAGAGTCCTAGTCGAGTCTGTCACAAGTCAAATCATTAGTTAACCCCTCCTCACAGGCTGATGGCTATAGCCACGCTCCGATATGCCGTGATAATGCCGAGGTGTGACAAGGTGGGGGCACCTGCTAAGCAGCTGCTACTGTGCAGTGTCGCTACTGCGCAGAGGCTACAGTGCAGTGGCTGCTGTGCAGTGATGCGTATAAGCCTGTGCAGTGAGGTCTCAAAACCCGGTGGCAAGGGGTTAAAATAACAAAGCCCTTTTCACACTATCGTCTTTCCTAACCGTGTTGGAATCAACACGGATTCACTGTAAGCAGAACGGGGTCCTTTCGAACACGGGTAGGCAAGGCATACCGTTTTCACTCACAATGGTGTGTGCACGGGTCGGCTGTAGATTTGAGAGTTTCCCCCCGGGTAGAATTGGGATTTTACCCGTGTAGAGCACCGGACCCGCATAGACTAATCCGGCGACAGCCATTTCCTGAGGTGGCACCAGGCTGGCGTGAGTCTCGCTCAGGTAATACGTACGCACTCCGGGCTCCTTCAACCAATAGAGTTTAAATGTGCGCGCCTTGTCTTAAAAGGGAATATACATCATTTGCTTTTGCTGTAATTTTCAGAAATGGATGGAATTGGGGGGGGGTTGGAAATATATAGCAAATATAGTTACACTGACTTTTTTGAGGTTTTTGGTTCGAAAATGCTATAAAAACCAAGAAAAACAATCATTTTCCTGTAGTCTGGTTCCCTGACTCCATATAAGAAGAACAGAGCAGTTTACATACATTGGGGAATTTTAAAGTCAGGGAACTAGTCTAGCTGGCTTGTACCCGTTCATAGGTGTGTAATCAATTGCAAACAAGTGCGATGGTCAATTGGGGCCAGTATTTGAAAAAAAAAACAGTTTTTTTCCAATGCTGATACAAAAATACCACTTTTCTTGAAAATGACAGTATACCAGGTGCCATGATTTTACAGGATGCTTTACACTGTCATTCACTAACAGTCCAGCAAGGTATTTCAAAATGATTTGGTAGTTTTATTTTTTGATGTTTGCAAATGTTGTATTTTCCCTTTAAGAATGCTTGCAGCATGCGCGCGAGCCTGGTGCCACTGCAGTAACAGCTTCTAATTCCGGTCGCCAGATTCTGCTATAGAAGCCGTGTTAGATTCTTGCTTGTGTGAAAGGGGTTCCTGAAATCACCTCGTTGGTCCCGGATCTGACATGGAGATTGTAGCCACGATGAAAGATCCTCAAGTCAGTCACAAGTACCAGGGGATGAACAGTGACTCAGAAATGCCTTTCTCATAGTGCATTTGAATAGCTTGTGAATGGTCTTGAGACCGAAGAAACTTTTGATTGACTTGTGATTGATTTTTAGTAGGACCTGTGAAGTCTGTACTATATTCTGTCAAGACATTCCGAGCCATATTCGTCCAAATCAGTACAGAATTCCTCGGAGGTTGAAACCAAAGAAATTGATGTTGATGCAATTATGTGGTGACTAGAAAAACATTCCACGCATGTGACTTATCCCCTTTTTTTGTCGCAAACTATTGTAAACTTTTTGCTTGTGGAGCTGTGTTTGGTTTCGTTTTTGAAAGTAATAGAGACAGCTGTACAATTCTGCAGTTTCATAAATGTCCATGAACCGTAACAGAACTCAACCCATCAAACCCCATCGGCATGTTTTGTTGGAATTTGTCAGGATGGGTACAGTACCCCTAAACTGACAGTCTTTTACATTGGGTTGGCACACCTCCAGAATCAAAGTCAGAAATATGTGTGTGCAGTTTCCCAAATGGTGTTGGAATTTGCCAGGATGGGTATGGTTCCTAGTAAATCATGCTAGGAAGTTAGGATTAATTGCACAGCATTGCATGAAAAGTACTGTCTTGAAAAAGCTGTAGGAAGTTTTATAAAAGCATTTAGGAACAAGTATAAATTATATTTATTAAAAAAAAATATACTCAGGTTAATCTGGTACAGAAACCAATTTAAGGATATTATATTCAAGATACAAACAGCATAATATCTGAGGATTTTACACGATTATCTGAAACTTCGGATACTACTAATTATAATAAAAAATACTTTTTTTTTTTGATTGTCTTTGGTACAATTTTACATCAGGATAAAGTAATTTGTTTGTTGCTTAACTCTAACCACCCAAAACCCTTCAAAATCCAATTGCAGGTTTTGTTGGACTCTGTTGGAGTGAGCACTGCACTAGTAAACTGATTATGCTTTATATGGGGTCAGGTATATGTACCACCATAATCAGAGTCCATGGTTTTGTAAGAGTGGTTCACTCAAGGTTAAAAAAAGTGTTTGCCTTTAGCTAACATGATAATGCTACACTCAACCAAAAAAGAAAGTCCCCCTTTGTCATATCTTTTTGTCTAACTCAAAAACTACTGAGCACATCTTGCTCAAATTACGACTAATCAGTACAGAAATTCCTTAGCAATCCAGCTATACTCTTTGGCCCAAAACGGTTATATTGTGTACGAATTTATGCAATTTATGACAAATGATACCGAAAACAGTTGTACTTTTGTATACGTGCATGTTGCGGTTCACACTCACCTTTCAAGTGTACAAAAGTGCAACTTTTTTTTCGGTACCACTTGTCATAAATTGCATCAGTTTGTACACATTATCACTGTTTTGGGCCAAACAAAGAGTATGGCTGGATTGCTAAGGAATTTCTGTACTGATCAGTCGTTATTTGAGCAAGATGTGCCCAGTAGTTTTTGAGTTAGACAAAAAAGTATTAAGGGGGGACTTTCTTTTTTGGTTGAGTGTATAAGCATTGTGTGACCAGTGCCTTCTGATTGCCTATAAAAAAATCTCAGTTTTTGCAAATTTCTTCAAAAATGTGTCCCATCCACTGCGCTCTCAAAAAGCATCATCTACTTTTTGTACAAGGAGTCCATGCTAGACCCTTGCAATCTGTGATGATTGCAGGGGTTTCTGAAATCAGTAATAATGTAAAACAGCAGTGCATTCAACAGGTTTGGCTGATTTTAATCATGTTGATTTAAATCACTGATTTAAATCGCAATTTATTTAAATCAAATGATTTTTTTTTTTTAATCACTGATTTAAATCACTTTTTTTGTAAAAATCTTATTTTTGAAATTGATTGAGGGTCATTTTAATCATTTAAATCAACTGATTCCTCTTAATTACAAAGTGTAAGATGTTGTTAACACATTCAAGCACCCCTACATGTACTTCATCAACATCGACTCAACTTGCATGATTACCCAAAATCATTGTTTTGATTAAAGTCATGATCCGAGTTTAAAAGTTTTTCTTTGAAGTTTGAATTTTAAAGACAGCACACTCAGTTTTGCTTTAATCATTCTTTGATCAATAATATTACAGTAATATTGTGAATCAATCAATCAACTGTGCTGGTGGAGGCTTACCTGAACCATCTAAAAGTGTATTAAGTCCTGTTTCTCCACAAAAATGTAGATTGAGATTTATATAATACCTTTTAGAGGTTGATTTCTGTTCTCCACCTTGTATGAAGAACCATCAATCAAACACTATAAGTTTCACAAGAATCAGTGCTGTCATTTTGAAAATAGAAGCATTTTCATGAAATAAACACGCCCATGGAGAACTGTACTCATTTTTTGTATGCCATGTTCACATATACTATCACGATTTTCATTCATAGCAAGATACAAGTGTGTACAGTTAGCTTTATAGCTTAACGGTGTAAATTGCAAACCTTATGAGCGTCATAAACATTTTTATTTTCTTATGTAGCCTGGTTTCCATTTTGAAATTTCCCCACAAGTGACATTCCAAACCTTACATTTTTACTGTCTGAGAACTTAATGAGTAATTTATAGATTGGTTACGGGTATCGGATCCTACAATGACATCAACATTTGGGTACTTGATTTCCGATGCACAGTCCTAGAAGACTATCCAGGGGTGGGGGAAGGGGATCTGTTACACGGTACCCTGTGGAGACATGTGCATAATAGGGAACACAAGATTGTATACGTCTCCACAGGGCAATTTCTATAGGTGAATACGTCTCCACAAGGTTATCACGAAATAGATATATGGATTTTACTCATAAACTAGAAATTTCCAAGGTGTGTTGATCCGTCGCTAATTGAAGTATTTAATATATAAGGGACATTAAGTCTGAATTTCAGCCCATGAAATTAATTCTGGTTAAAATAGGAGCTTTTGAAACTACAATTTCAAAATCTAAAATTTTAGTGCATGATGAGAACAAAGAAATGACTCCACAAGGATACAAATGCCAGTATTATGGTGTGCAAAATGGGTACTTTTTCAGAAAAAAGTAGCCCCCATTTTTTTGGGGGGGGGGGTAAAAACAGGGGAGGTGTTACAACCAGTACCGATTGTGAGGCCTTGGCACATTGCTTTATTACAAAGAAGGCAAACTGTCGGGGGGAAAGTCATCATTATGATATCTGACGACAGGTCTACTTAAATTTCAGTGTTTTGCATGGTCAGGGAAAAGGGGCCAAGCAGGCATTTGCTTCTACCCTCTCCCCCTCGCCACCACAACCCAAACCATTATTTTGTAAAAATTGTCTGATTTAATCATTGTCTGAATTAATTCTTGTGTTTTTCTGCTGTATAGATCTATAGACATACGTACTGTTCATGTGCATCGTTTCTAATCGTCAAAGATTATTTTCCTGTATTTTGCCTGATTTCTTATCAACCATGATTTTTCCCCCCACAAATCTCGCATATTACACACGAAGAAATTTGCCACATACGATGTTTACCGATGAGTCAGTGAATTAATCAGTGACTTTAGTGTAATTCATTGTCAATGTAATAATTTTGTTATTCCGGAAGTGGCCTGTAATTACATCAGTTTATATGATACCATTTATAATTGTCAAAGATTATTTTCCTGTATTACATTGTCAAAAGATTATTTTCCTTATTTTGCGTATTACACACGAAGAAATTTGCCACATACTGTGTTTGCCGATCAGTCAGTGAAGTAATCAATTGATCTGTCTTTCAATGACTTTAGTGTAATTCATTGTAAATGTAATAATTTTGTTATTCCGGAAGTGGCCTATATTACACAACCTTTCCCAGTTGTGCTTTTTTCATACTTATTTGAAGTAAGATATTTTAGCATGTGTATATATAGAGCAGAATTTGTATATATGAATATTTGTAAAAACAAAAATTGTAGTCGTCTCTGAAATAAACAATTTTGCTTGAGCCAAATTAGATTGTTGAAGTGCAGTGCCGGGCTTTGTGTTCCCTATAAGCTTGAACTGCAAATGAGATGTTTCGTACGTCATTTTTTTCTTTTTTTTACTTAAATTTCCAATTTTTTGGGTAATTTCAGTTACAAAACCAAATTTACAAACATACAAAAACAACCAGATATCATGCCCATGCAGGCTGATGCCTTGCAAGGATAAAATCTGTCATTCAATGATAGGTGGAAATTTGGCGTAACAAATAGGGGAAAAAAAGTAGTTTTGAAAGTTACAAAATGTTTTTCGCCCTCCATTTTTAATCATATTTTAATACGTTTGTGAGACAATACATGACTCTGTTACATCTCTAAATACTATGTTCTCTCTAAACAGTGGGTGTTTTGAAGTGTTTTTTCCCCCTTGAACATGATTGATGAAGTTTTAGGCCCGAATTCTCTTATGGTGTTGTGTTATGCCCCAACTATCGCATCGGTCCCAACTATAGTTGGGACTGTCCCAACTATAGTGCGACAGTTGTTCCGCGGCGCTGGCACCACGTGCATGCATGCCGCAGGGCCGGCCACGTGGTACTGCCTAGTTGGATGAGTTGTCCAACTATAGATGGGCCCCACCAATAGCTAATTTCATTAGTTCCAACATGGAGCTAAGGGGGGGGGGGGCCTAGGAACATGCGGTAGGGAATGTTTTAAAGTTGTACATCAATGTAAACTATAGTTGGGACCGAAAAATAAAAAGATTGGAGTGGCCCAACTATAGATTGGCCCCATCAATATAGCTAATTTCATTGGTACCAAGTAAAGTCAGACGTGTATCGGAGCTGTAGGGAATGTTTTATAGTCGTACAGCAACGTAAACTATAGTTGGGACCGCAAAATAAAAAAACAATTGGAGTGGCCCAACTATAGATGGGCCCCACCCATAGCTAATTTCAATGGTCCCAAGTAAAGTCAGACGTGTATCAATGTTTTATAATTGTACATCAATCTGAACTATAGTTGGAACACCGCAAAATAAAAAGATTGGAGTGGCCCAACCGCCCAACTATAGATGGGCCCCCTTGATGACTCGCAACTATAGTTAGTTGGGCCAGCCCAACTGTGGAATTACAGTTGGGACGATCCCAACTATAGTTGGGACCGATACCATAGTTGGGGCGTAACAATGGTACACTGTATACGGGTACCGGGTATGTGTATGTAGTTGATACATTGTGACCATATATGGGTAGCTAGCTACCGTTATGTGCGCGCCAGGCATATATGCAGGTCGACACCGGTCAAGGTCAAACAAACTAGGCCAGGTTTTCGTTAGCCAGGTTGAGCTCGGATCAACTTTGCTACACTTTCACTGCTGTTTGGTTGGTCAATCGAGTGATCAGATAGAGTTTTCTATGGCACCCACACCGACCCTCGTAGTCCACGGCGGCGCCGGTGCGTTGAGCCTGGGTCCCGTCTCTATCGATGATCTGAAGGCCGGGATCCTGCAAGCCGCTCGGGCGGGATACAAACATCTCGCCGGGCAGACGTCCTCGGCACTTGATGCAGTGGAGGCAGCTGTTTGCTCCTTGGAAGACAATCCATTGTTCAATGCAGGTATGGAGGCAGGGTGCAGGTCATTTTGCCATGTCATGTTAATTCGTAAACTCATACTTCTTGCTTCTAATCTAAGTTCTAGTTCTTTGGCTTGAAGTTGAATGCATACTCAATAATCCTCAACATGTTCAATTGAAATCCTACAATTTCCTACTACTGTCTAAATTACTTTTGTATTACTATTAGTAGGGGTGGGTATTAGCCCATACTCTTTTAGCTGCCCCCCTCAAAATATGTAGTGACCCATGGGAATCAAGGGGAAAATACTTAAAAAATAATTTGAGACCGTTAACCTACGAAAGCCCATTAGCGCCACTGCAAGTATATATGTTGCGGATTATTTAATTCGTTATTACGGATTATTAATTCGTTATTACGGATTATTAATTCGTTATTACGGATTACTAATTCGTTATAACGGATTACTAATTCATTATAACGGATTATTAATTCGTTATTACGGATTATTTAATTCGTTATTACGGATTACTAATTCGTTATAATGGATTATTTAATTCGTTATTACGGATTATTAATTCGTTATTACGGATTATTTATTCGTTATTACGGATTATTAATTCATTATTACGGATTACTAATTCGTTATAACGGATTATTAATTCGTTATTACGGATTATTTAATTCGTTATTACGGATTACTAATTCGTTATAACGGATTATTTAATTCGTTATTACGAATCACTCATACGTTCTGAGTCATTACTCGGCAACTTAGTATAGCACAGGAGTGGTGCTGGTGTAAAGCAAACGTATGCAAAGATAGCGCCGCCTAGCGGCGCTATATACATAGGGAAAATACTTAAAAAATCATTTGAGACCGTTAACCTACGAAAGCCCATTAGCGCCACTGCAAGTATATATGTTGCGGATTATTTAATTCGTTATTACGGATTATTAATTCGTTATTACGGATTACTAATTCGTTATAACGGATTACTAATTCGTTATAACGGATTATTAATTCGTTATTACGGATTATTTAATTCGTTATTACGGATTACTAATTCGTTATAACGGATTATTTAATTCGTTATTACGGATTATTAATTCGTTATTACGGATTATTTATTCGTTATTACGGATTATTAATTCATTATTACGGATTACTAATTCGTTATAACGGATTATTAATTCGTTATTACGGATTATTTAATTCGTTATTACGGATTACTAATTCGTTATAACGGATTATTTAATTCGTTATTACGGATTATTAATTCGTTATTACGGATTATTTATTCGTTATTACGGATTATTAATTCATTATTACGGATTACTAATTCGTTATAACGGATTATTAATTCGTTATTACGGATTATTTAATTCGTTATTACGGATTACTAATTCGTTATAACGGATTATTTAATTCGTTATTACGAATCACTCATACGTTCTGAGTCATTACTCGGCAACTTAGTATAGCACAGGAGTGGTGCTGGTGTAAAGCAAACGTATGCAAAGATAGCGCCGCCTAGCGGCGCTATATACATAGGCCCCTGGTCACGTGCTCTCCACGTGTGAGAACATCAGACTTAATATACAAATAACGAATGTTTGTGAGTGCGATGGTAAGAATAATTTCAGGAGGTGACAGATTGAATGTTCTATTCCACGAGGCGAAGCCGAGTGGAATAGAACATTCAATCTGTCACCGAATGAAATTATTCTTTCCATCGCACGAACGTAAAACATTCGTTATTTGTTTTATACAACACCTGAATAAATTCTCGTCATTTGATTGGTAAATTATAAACTACAATTTATTTTGATTTCAAAGATGTTGAACTACCCCTTCACGAAAATGTTTGAACCCAACGCTGTAGCGCTGGCTCTTTGGAACAATACGCGCTACGCTGAACGCGCACACCAGCATGCATTTTGCACGTAAATACCGCGTCATGGAACAAGCGCAAAGTGAAACGGTATAACGCATGGGTATAACGCATGGTCGCACCGTGCATTATACCGAATAATAATATGTCACGTGATCTACAATTCACCAATCAGATGACGGGGATTTATTCAGGTGTTGTATAATTCGTAATAATGAATTAATAATCCGTAATAACGAATTAATAATCCGTAATAACGAATTAAATAATCCGTAATAACAAATTAATAATCCGTAGAAAAAGGATTTAATAATCCGTAATAACGAATTAATAATCCGTAATAACGAATTAGTAATGCGTTATAATGAATTAATAATCCGTAATAACGAATTAAATAATCCGTAATAACGAATTAATAATCCGTAATAATGAATTAAATAATCCGTATTATACAACACCTGAATAAATCCCCGTCATCTGATTGGTGAATTGTAGATCACGTGACATATTATTATTCGGTATAATGCACGGTGCGACCATGTGTTAAACCTTTTTACTTTGCGCTTGTTCCATGACGCGGTATTTGCGTGCAAAATGCATGCTGGTGTGCGCGTTCAGCGTAGCGCGTATTGTTCCAAAGAGCCAGCGCTACAGCGTTGGGTTCAAACATTTTCGTGAAGGGGTAGTTCAACATCTTTAAAATCAAAATAAATTGTAGTTTATAATTTACCAATCAAATGACGAGAATTTATTCAGGTGTTGTATAAAACAAATAACGAATGTTTTACGTTCGTGCGATGGAAAGAATAATTTCATTCGGTGACAGATTGAATGTTCTATTCCACTCGGCTTCGCCTCGTGGAATAGAACATTCAATCTGTCACCTCGTGAAATTATTCTTACCATTGCACTCACAAACATTTGTTATTTGTATAATAACGAATTAATAATCCGTAATAACGAATTAGTAATCCGTAATAACGAATTAATAATCCGTAATAACGAATTAATAATCCGTAATAACGAATAAAATAATCCGTAATAACAAATTAATAATCCGTTATAACGAATTAATAATCCTTTAAAACGAATTACATAATCTGCAACATATATACTTGCAGTGGCGCTAATGGGCTTTTGTATTAACCCCCCAGCCCAAGTGTACATGGCTCAAAGTGTCATTTTTAAAATATGGTATGGTGCCCCGACTCCTTGTGCACAAAGTGTATGTAACTATTTTTCGTCTCCAGACTATTTTCTCCAACACTGGTCTAGCATATAAATAAGTTAGTAAAATAGAGGAAATAAGGAAACTTCCCTTTATTTTTTGTTTAGTAAATCCTTTTGTTTCACCTCTTAAGTGTATTTATTATGTCATTACAACTTTAACCATTGCCAATACAAATTGTTTCTTTTTAAAAAGAAAAAATCTTAGGTTTAAAACACATGTCCATGCAGCTTTGTATGCGGAATGCAGTTATAATATGTACCGGTAGGTCTACTTTTTTTTGTTTGTTTTGCCTGGGAAAAAAAAAAAATTTCAGCACATACCAAAACAATAATTAAACACACATAAGTTGAAAAACATTTTCCTGAAATTAAATGGACCATTGAAAATTGCCAAAAGAAGAGGATTGCACTTTTAATTGTTTGCAATTTATTGAATTTTTCCTGTTTTCCAAGCTTACACATAACTTGGCTAGTATTAGTCCAAATGTGTTAAACAAGTTCAACTATATGTCAGATAAATTCACATACGCTGAATTGAAAAGGAAAAGCAGAGAATATTATATTTCTATTCACTCAAAAGTCATTGCGGGCATGATTCATGCTCAATGCATTGGACTACTTAGTACTTATCTAAGAGACGCCCATGGCCGGCTCTGTTGAAAATCATCCATCCTGGCATCTGCTTTTGTTACCCAAATATAGCTTCAAATTTTTCTAGTCTAGGGCCTAGTCTTCCATATGCTCATTTACTCATCAACCTGGTCTGATGATATGAATGGTCCTCCCTAGTCCCACTAACTGGGTCGCTAGAACTCCTTTTTTGACATTTGGGATGTGGTCGCTAGAACTCCTTTTTTGACATTTGGGATGTTGGTCTGTCGTACTAGCGACCCACTAAGGAAATATTGTCAATGTAACAATTTCTAAAAATCACGCAAAATACTTAAAGGGAAAGTATAACATTTGCAAACATCAAAAAATAAAACTACCAAATCATTTTGAAATACCTTGCTGGACTGTTAGTGAATGACATTGTAAAGCATCCTGTAAAATCATGGCACCTGGTATACCAGTAAATACTGTCATTTTCAAGAAAAGTGGTATTTTTGTATCAATTTCCAATGCTGATCGGCCGATCAGCATTGGAAAAAACTGGCTTTTTTTTCAAATACTGGCCCCAATTGACCATCACACTTGTTTGCAATCGATTACAAACCTATGAACGGGTACGAGCCAGCTAGACTGGTTCCTAGACCTTACAATTCCCCAATGTATGTAAACTGCTCTGTTTCTTCTTATATGGAGTCAGGGAACCAGACTACAGGAAAATGATTGTTTTTCTTGGTTTTTATAGCATTTTCGAACCCAAAACCTCAAAAAGTCAGTGTAACTGTATTTGCTATATATTTCCAATTTCTGAAAATTACAGTAAAAGCAAATGATGTACATGTATATATATTCCCTTTAACAAAACTACCTTTGAAAGCACCTACTGGCTTCTCCACATGTCAAAGACAAAGTAATGGGGCTTCAAAGCCTTCAATGATACTCACGATTACTTTGTGGGTTGCAAATCCGTGAAATTCAACCAGACATCGTACCGCAATCATTGAATAATGTTAATGGCTTTGATCTATCAACGCATTGTATTAACAAACTCCGCATGTAGATCGCGCGCGGTCGTGTCCCGGCCCCTGCTTCACGTACGTGTTTGTATGTGTACATGATGTAAGTCCATACTACCATATACAATGCGTTGATAGATCAAAGCCATAAACATGGCGGGTAAAAAAATTTTGCCACTGGTATCAAATGAGGGGAATAATCGTCATAGCGAAGGGTAAAAATGACTCCAAACTGGAAAATGATATTTAAAAGATGATCTTTTGCTAAAAAAAAAAATTGGTTTTAGTACTCAGAAACTCAGATTGCACCACTGTGTCTAAAATCCAAACCCCACGCTGTTAGGGCTTCTCGCTTCACGCTCACATTAGTACTCATCAAGGTATGGTCCCCCCCCCACACTTTTGAGAAGCGATTGACGCCCTTGGCCCCACCCTCGAAGAGACAAAAGTCTGGAATCTTTTTTTTTTTCGTGATGTAGCACTTGGGTGAGCTGTCCAAGTGCTAGAAAGAAAAGGGAAATTATTTTTTGCGCACAAAGCCTCCCAATTGTTTTAAGACATGGCTTCGCCCATAAAAGGGTCAGAAAAAAAATGGCATCAAATGGCATTGTTTTGAACTTTTTGAGGTTTTAGTGATCCTGAGAGTTTCAAACAATGTATCCTGAAAATGAATATTTGGGCTACCACAAGCCCACTGACTATCCTCCAAATCACTATTGCCGAGAGTCCCCTGAATCCCTAGGCTTGAGACAAATCCAATGTTTCAAAAATACTTTTTTTTGGACAGTATTGGTAACAACTTTCTTTTAATTGGTTTTGTTGTATTAGGTAAAGGATCAGCGCTGACTGTAGAGGGCAGCATTGAGATGGATGCGATCATCATGGAGGGTGCGGATCTACGGACAGGGAGCGTGGGTTGTGTGCAAAACATTAAGAACCCCGTTAGCCTTGCAAGATTGGTCATGGAAAAGGTGAAGCATTGTTTTTGACAATATTTTCTCTCAGTCGCATTAGGCCCAAGTCGGCAAATGCACCACCATGGTCGTTGCTACTGGAGGGGTGTGGGGGATGTCATATTCCCCACAAATACGTTTTTTTGTCAGCAGGATCATTGACCTAGCTCCCCCAGTAATTGTTGTCAATACAATCTTTGTCATGCGGGCTAAATCGTATATATGTACGCCGCAACAAAGAGCACCCATTTTTGTCTGATAATATCCAAGAGTGTCTGCTTTGAACAGCTTCTCCCCCCCCCCACCCCAATTTTTTGGAGAAAAATAAAAAAAAAAAAACCTAAAATCATCAATTACTACCTGTCACCCCTGAGTACATGCAGACACTTCCATATGGTCATACTCACAAAAATTGCCCCCTCCCCCAAAAAATTCCCTACCTACCTACCCCATTTTCAAATGCCATGTAATCCGAAGCAGAAATATTTGGGGGGGGGGGGCCTAAACACCCCTTGATATTATTCTGTTAGGCTTGCTGTCATCAAGAAATGTAGGTGATTTCTAACAATCAGTCAAGTCGTTTGGCATCACATCAGATTAGGGGCCGTTCACAATTATCAACATTTTCACGAGCGTACAAACCGTACGCTGGGGGGGGGGGGGGAGGGTTTTAATGGCAGCCTTCCTTTTTTTTATTTTTGAAATGTCAATATCTTTTCTCGCCCGTTTATGCCCACCTAACGCTTTTTTTTTAATGTCGATCTGTGTTCTCGCCCGTCGCCACAGCCGACAGCCGCAACCGATGCCGCGCCAGGCCCAGCATTGCATCCCATGAACGTATTGTGTACAGAATGCGCGGCATTGTCCTACACACGTACATGAAAATGTACTTTGTACATGTATAGTCCGTATCCACTGCATGTTTTTAAAGGCCGGTGTCACATGTCATGGCCAAAAACTTGATCTACAAAAGTTACAAAAACCCTTTAAATCACATGCAAGTGTCTATATATAGACTTGTGTGAAAAAAAAAATCAACATTTTTTTTGTACACTTTTAGGGGGGAGGGGGGGGGTCTTGAAAAAGTGTACTCTTTGTACACTTGTGTAAATGTTGATAATTGTGAACGGCCCCTTACAGACCGTTTGGGTACTGGGCCTGGTAAGCCAATCCCTTTCACCCCGATTGGTGTGACGCCAGCAGCCGCCCTGTTACTGATGCGTGACACCCCGATCGGTCCGAACCGGTGACTCAGGATTTGAACGATAGGCAACAAAGATTGAAGTCTGGTCATTGTTGAAGAGTTATTCCACTCAAATCTGTTATGACGGATTACTGGCCGCCAACTCTTTGAAGCTCACATTCATTGTTGCCTGAAGAAGGCAACAAAATTGGTTCCTTTGTGATGAGCCAGAGCGTGACGCAGAAGCCTGGTGGAGTTAATCTGGGCCCTAGAGCTATCAGTTCCACCCAAGGTCCAAATCCCGTTGACATACTGGGCGGGCTCAACCCCAAGCGCTCCAGGAAGGGATTCTAATTTGAGGCCTGGCCTTACTCATTTTTGGAAATAAAGTGTGCTATCGACGAGATTGTGTTTCATGATCAAAAGCCTGCCCATGGCTTTTCACTGTTTTCTCAAAAAGTGTACTATCCACTGATCTTAAACTTCAACAGGTTAGGTTTGAGTAGTGTTATTATTGGAAACAAACAAAATGCATGAAACGCAAATTATCTTATATTCCTAGGCATGTATGTCTTCAAATTAATATTATTAACATTATTATAAATCATTTCTGGTAATGAAACCAAGGATTCCTCAAAAGCGCCCTAGGCACTGTAGCTTGCAAGCCTGAAGAAATCTGTGGAGAGAAGTCAATGAGAAGAAGTTACAGTTTTAGAGGTGGGAGGAAAAGCCCAGAAGAATATTCTGGGGACAACCCACGGAATCAGGCAGGGACTGAAAACCCAATCCACATTTTTGCCCAGGCGGGATTTGAACCCGGGTCACAGCGGTGGAAGGCGAGGAAAGTACCGCTACGCCAACCTGACTCCCCATTCAACTTGTTTTGATGTGATTTTACTTTGCCATTGTCTTTGATTGCTACCTTGTAACCTATAGCCTTTCTGGAATTGAATAACTCGCTAAACTCGGTAAACATTTTCTTTTCTTTTCTATAGACAGAGCATATTTTACTGGTTGGCGACGGAGCCAACAAGTTTGCCAGGGAGATGGGGGTGCCCGAAATCCCATCGGAAGAACTCATCACGGAGAGTAAACGCAAGTTCCTGAAAGAGAATGAAAAGTTTCAATCATCCGTCAAGTATCTGTATAAAGAGAGGTGAATAAAATGTCTCAAAAAGTATCAAAACATAATTAGTTTGTAATCAACCACATTGAACACATTAACTCTAACTCCCTAGGGGGTATGCAACATCGTATTGAAATTGGAGGATTCAGGACTGTTAAGGCTATTTCAGTAACACTTCAATATTTGCTCTTTTCACACTCCACCATTGGGCATGCACAGCCTCGATCTGGCAACTTTACACAATGAAAATAGCCGGTTCAGTGATCTGAAACCCGGACAAGGGAATCACTGAAGCGGCTGTATTTATTGTGTATAAAGTTGCCAGATCGAGGCTCTGCATGCCCATGGCGCAAGTGTGAAAAGAGCAAATTAACTATCTGATAGGAATGTACATTGTATTCAAGCAAGCAATGCTAATTTGTGTCAACGTTGGCAACGTTTGTGAAAATTGGAACTTGCCTCTAACATTGCAACAAAAAGGCAAACGGTAGTCCTGACTCCTGATTCGTTAGTATGTTTTCCAAAATGGCCGACACACAATGAGCATAATGATTTTGTCTGGGTGAAATTGTGCGACAGAGAAACACATGCACAATTTTTGGGGTCTTGTAACTGGATTTCATTACTAACGCAAGTGCCCCCGGGACACTTTTCGCCTGCATGCACACTCTTTTAAACCACCATAACTACTAGCGCCTGGATTATTTTTGCCGAAAATTTCAAGGCAAAATTTTCGAGCCAACTTCTGATGTACGTAACAGCCAAATGCCACAAATACTGATTCGCAAGAGTCATTTCAACAGTATTTGAACGATATTAACTGCCGAAAACTCATATGTTTTAATATTCCGGGGTGTGCACTGGAGCGTAAATTGAACAACAATAGGCCATGCACAACGGACAAAAAAAAGATCAACACTCAGTCCGCCTCCACAGACTTCACAGATTTTGTGTGCATGTACAAAACTGATGCACGAGGGATTAGTGTATTTAGACGTCAGCCGGAGGTGAGTGGAGGCAATCTTGATGTCTTAACTCGTCGGATGTGCCGGCATAAACAGCCAGTGCATGTTATCATGTCCTCCGATGCGAACTGGTTAAATGATGTTTTCTTTGATAGAATCCATGTCTAGGGAAATAATTTCACAGGGTATTTGGGACAAGCCCTATCTCCACTTTGAACAAGGATTTTTTTTCATTAAAACGGGAGGTACTTTCTGGGTACCAAATGATTACCAAATGTTTCTACAGGCTTCTACAGAACAATTATAATTGAGATGTTAAATCTGGTTTGTAGGGAGATGGGTATGGATGACCATGACACAGTAGGAGCCGTCGCGGTTGATGCCCACGGAAACGTTGCCTGCGCTACCTCCACGGGCGGAATCACAGCTCAAATGGTCGGACGTGTTGGTGACACCCCCCTCATTGGTAAGCCCCTCCCCCACAATAGTCCGGAGACATACTGACGTCACACTTTGTAACACATGTGTGTTTTCTTATGGGAGCCAGGTGGGATGGAAAATCACATGCTCAGTCCCATAAGAAAGTGCTCATGAATGTAAACAAAATTGTGACGTCGTTTAATCTCGGGTCTATTACCACTGCTTCCTGGACCATTTTATTTTGCTTGGAACGTTTCTGATGCTACCAAAAATCAATCTGTCCAGGACATTTTGGTAGGGCTGAGTCAATTCGAATAATTGAATATTTGAATATTCGACCTTCCAATCGATCGAATATTCGAATATTCGGTTATTTGGCCATTCCAAATTCCCTCAAAAGCAAAAATATGTACACAGTCAACGTACGTGAGCACGTCAGCATGCCATGCATGATTTCTTCACAGGTAAGTCAGGTATTTGACAACAATCAGTTGTTCTTCAGTCGTCAGTAATTTAAAGATTAACAATTACCAGAGAAGCTAGAGTGACGGATTCCTTGTTTGCATGGGGGACGTATTAAGCCGTGATCCCCAAACACGGCGGGTGGCGTCAGCTATTGTGACTCTCCGACCCTTAACTCGCAAACAGGAACCGAGCATATCTATTACTGGAAGCTTCTTGAAGTCTACAAAACGGTGTACTTCCTAGTCACAGTATTGAGGATAAAAAATCACTTTTATAGTAATCACACTTTTGTCACCAAGAATTGAGGAAATGATTTTATATCATTTTAAATAAACTTATTCTCAACAACCAAAAACTCCAAGAAAAAAACCTATGATATTTAGTGTCTTTATTCAATGAAATATGGGTCTTTGAATTGTAAATGCATATTTAAGTTTATGCAAATAATGGGCGTGGGCGTGGCATACACACGCCCCAGCTTGACACGTGCAAAGCAGTATTTCCTTGATTGCCCACAGGGGATGTATTATAAGCTGTGTACCCAAAACACGAAGGGTGACATTTCAGCAACCCACCTAAAGGAAAAAATATCGCCAGCCGAGCTCCGGCGGGCGCATTGTTGGCGGGCTAATTAGGGCACAGGTGCGCTGACCCGGTTCTTTTGTCTGGCTAAGTGCGTGCTCTGGAGATAACTTTCTAATAGATAGGCCACTAAAAGGTTTGGATTTTCCAACTTGCAAAATTTTGATACATTTTGTCTAGCTGTGGTTTTCTATGCTGGGAATCAGGGGTGCGGTGCGGTGAGTTGACCGCAAAGTCTGTCTGGCGAAATAAATGAGAGCTCTTTTGAGTTTGAAATCCTCTCTGTTGTCTGCCCTTTTTCTTGCGTTTTGCTCGACTTGGAGGACATAAGCCAGAGGTTCCCGCTATTATTACTGAAAGTATAATTGCTGAACTAGTTTTTGAAGTGTTTATGTATGTTTTATTTGTGCAAATATTGGGTGCAATTAGCAGACTAACCCAGCGAACAAAGCTGACGGACAGCGAACGAAAATGTGTTCGATAAAAGGGTGCTCTGATCAGTTGAGAGAACTAGATTATTTTGTACATGTACATGTATATAATTACGGAGGCATTGAGGCGAACATCTAACAGCCATAATAAATTTACCCCTAAAAGTAAACAAGAAATTCTATTAGAAAAATCCCAGAGTCCGTAACGTAAATGAACCAAGGTTTTCAAAACGTTTTAATGTAATGTTGGGGTTCATGACAAATTTTCTACAACACCGCCACGTGATGTGGGCAGCATACTGCGTGCAAGGCGATTCCCTATAACCACGTGCATTCGACACGATTGAACAGGCGATGGAAAACTTTTGGGGGAATTGGCTTCGCTTTACAGTGTAATGTACCGCTTCTTGTGCGACCCTGTGCGAGCAGTACGTCCTCAAAATAAGTACATAAAACGGAAAATACAAAGGCCCACACAGAAAAAAGAAATCAAGTTCTTTGCATGAGATTGCAGAGGTCTTCGAATATTCGAATATTCGGCACAGCCCTACATTTTGGGCAGCATTTTCCGTGGTTTTTTTTTTCATTTGAAATCCCTGATGCTAATCATATTGTGCATTTTGAAGGATTCAAGCGTAGTCTTACTCGCAAACCCAGTCCATATCTTACATGTAACTATTTTCACCTTGGGAGATTAATTATTCAGCACTTCCAAATATGGACTAACATACCTAATTGCTGACCAATCAGATTGCTGTTTACAAAAGCTGAGCCAGATTTGACCTATCAAATGAAATGGAAGCACGCCGTGCCATCCTGAAAAGCACTCTCCGTAGAGTTGGCAATGAGCCCCCAAAAATCTGGATATGTTTCGCCCTGTTTTCTCAGGATGTATACATGTAGTACAGCCTGTCTCAAAAAAAATGGTACAATCAGATGGGGACAGATGGGGGACACAATATCAAATGTCCCCCACCCCAGATTTTTGAACTCGTGTCTCATTTTTAAATACAGGGCCCTATTATGTGCTACAATGCCTCTTTTGCTATGAAAATATTGTTTAAAGTGGTCAGAAATTGCCTCAGATCGCTCCACAGAGCATCTAGAATCCACATTTTTTGCAGGGCCCTTAAGCAGGCCCCGAACCCCATGCCTGAAGTTTATAGTAGCTGATTCAATTACTCCAACCTCAATAAATAATGTTTAAATGTGTATCTTTTGGTTAGAAAAAAAAGTTAAAGTGGTCAGAAATTGCCTCAGATCACACCACACAGCATCTAGAATTCAAATTGTTTTTGCCTTAAGCTCATAGTAGCTGATTCAATGACTCCAACCTTGATAAATGTTTAAATGAGTATCTTTTGCTTACAAAAAAAAGTTACAGTTGTCAAAAATTGCCTCAGATCCCACCACAGAGAGTGTCTAGAATCCATTGTTTCGGGGCCCTTAAGCTGGCCCCAAACCCCACACCGTAAGTGCTTCGCACTTCGCGCTCGCATTTGTTCTGATCACAGGCATGCAACTTTTCCTCGGATCCGCTGATTCCCTCATTTTTTACTTCTCCCGAATGCCATTACACATTCAAAAATACTGCACAAAGTCTTGTGTGGTTTGGAGTTTACTCTTTTTTTTCTTCTAAATTTCCAGTTGCATGCCTATGATCAAGGTATGCCCCCCCCCCCCTACTTTTGAGAAGCGATCGACGCCTTTGGATAGAAGAACTTTTTGGTGGAGTGCTGTGGCCTCGTGGTTAAGGGCACTGATTCGTGGTCTGCGGGTAAAGCTGCAGGTTGTGGGTTCGAGTCCTAGCGGGGTCATGGTGCGTGTGCCCTTGGGCAAGGCGCTTTGTCACTCGTTGCTTCTCTCCACCCAGGAGTAAATGGGTACCTGTGAGGGCAGAGATGGTCATTGTGCATGGATGATTTAGCTTCCTTGCGCCTAACAGGCAGCATCGAGCTGAGAAGGTTTTAGGAGTGTTTGCCCGTTGAAACAGGGATAATAATAATTGTAAAGCGCTTTGATAACCCGCTGTGGCGTAAAAGCGCTATATAAATGCCTGTTATTACTACTATTACTGTAATAGGGCGACAGGTTTTGCGAACTCCGTCCACAATAGGGGGATACACCTTATTGAGGCGACAAAATAACTGTCGCCCTTTTATGAAAACGACCCTTAGGACAAGGAATTTTGCTGTCGCTAACCATCTAGATCGATTCCTCATGGTCCAATTAGTATAAATACTAAATTTCGTGGAAAAAACATAAGGTAAACTTGGGTTAGGTGACAGTTTAGGTTTGTGCACAAGTCTATGGGAAAGTCACCCTATTGGGGCGAAAAGAGTAAATATTATTATTATTATTATTATTATTATTATTGATCTTGCTTTTTGCAGGGAGTGGTGGCTATTGTGACAATGCAGTGGGTGCTGTGTCAACCACAGGTCACGGTGAGGCCATAGCTAGAGTCACCCTGGCTCGCAACATCATTTTCTACATGGAGCAAGGTAGGTGGGCATTAATAATTGTAAACTAAACAAAGAAATTGCCTGGTGGTGCAGAATTTGAAAATGCATAACCTCTAGATTTACCGTAATGGCACTCTACTGTTAAACTGAGCTGTCCAGCCCTATGTTAGTGGTCGCCCATTTTGTCAGTATCTTTGTTCAAGGGGCGCTAGTCAGAAACCATAAACCCGTATATGCCATGTAGCCAGGGATCACGCCCAAAGTTACCGTACAACACCAGCCACTGGAGCGGGATTTGAACTTGCGACCGCTAGATTACTTAACAATATGGTAATCCACACTGCACACAATTTCTTTGTTCAATTTAATATTTTTTTGGTTGGGGTAGAATTAGTCATCCATTAAAACACACACACACACCCAGTCATGTTCACACCGTCGATCGTGGACGTGCTATCGTCCCTCTTTTGTTTGTACCCCAACTTTTAAGGAAGACTCCCATAGGTTTTGTACACGACCCCAATCGCGGACGTATGCTGGGAATTGTGGACGATTATTGTTTCTCTTTTGTTCTCTGGTACTTTTTAGTCCATGGTTTGAATAGATGAACACGCCCACACTAGCACGTTTGTTTATGGTGTAAATCCAGAATTTTCTTTTGTTCTTCCCTTTTCCTTTGTTTGTCCTTTAACTTTTTGGCAACAGCTCTCTTTGGTTTTGTTCAAGTTTTCTAATCGAGGTCGTCCTCGATTTGGTTCCTGTCCTCCATTCACCGAAGATGTTGCACGTGCGTGTCCTTGCTTTACACCATAAATAAACGCGCATGTTTGTTTATGGTGTAAATCAAGGATATTCTATTGTTCCTCTTCCCTTTTCCTTTGTTTATACTCTAACTTTTTTTGCAACAGCTCTCATTGGTTTTGTACACGTTTTCTAATCAAGGTCATTCTCGATTTGGTTCCTGTCCTCAATTCATCTCGATTTACATCATTAACAAACGCACATACAAAATTTAGCATATACTGGTACAGGTCAAGTGGCAAGATTCCATTTTATTCAATATCAATTTTCAATATTTACATTGTCCATTGTGAATGTAAAATAAAAATGTACAGGTAAGAATATCTGAACATTGGTAATTATGGAGGCATATTCTAAAGCCCGTGGTTTACATGTAGCTGTATCAAAACATACGATATTGAAGTTTGCAGACATAGTCCGTTGGAAGATCAAACACTTTAACCTTTTAGTTTTGTAAAAATGATTGTTTCTATTTGAGCAATATTAAGTATTATTAACACAAACCACCTGTTGTCAATGAGTACCTCTAGAATAGAGTTGGCAACATCATCATGTTATAAGTATTTTAAAAGTAGACATTTTCTCTGTTTGCAGGCTTGTCACCGCAAGAGGCACTGAAAAAAGGCCTGGCATACATGAAGGAACGAGTGGATTCTTTAGCAGGCGGTATCGCAATCAGCAACAACGGCGAGATTGGGCATTACTTCAACACAGAGGGCATGACCTGGGCGTCGGTACAAAACGGAGAGTTGCACTATGGGGTGTCTCCGGGGGAAGATCTTGTCACGACGTACTGAGGAAGTTGTGTGGATACATGGGTATGCATTTTGTTCTTTTCCTTCGTAGATTATAGAAAAACTTAAAACAAGATGGTGGACACATTTTTTAACATTGTTATTTCACGAGTAGTTGAACACTTATATCATCTAAGTATATACCAAATTTCAGCTTAATCTGTTGTTGCGGACGCTAGTGTTACTTTTTGAACCATCTCTAAGGAACATTTCGAAGACGATCAAAAAAATTATTTGCCGACCCAACCCATGTGCATTGTTCAGCAAAATGCTGTAGGCGCTACGGCTGACGGATTTCGGCCCGGCACACAGTGAGAAGGGCAAATTTTGATAAAATTGGGTTTTCTTGATTAATTTCTCATACTTTTAAAAAAAAAAAAATTCGTAGCCAGGTCTACCATGGAATTGCCCATTTTTAAAATTTATTCAGGAGTTTGTATGCCATTGAAAACCGTTTTAATGAAAATCCTCTTGATTACAATGGGATAAGCATTAGTCTGGGATAAAAAATGTTATAATTTGTGATGCGATCAAGCTACATGAGTCGTTTGTCGACCCTGGTCAAATTTTTTTAATTACAGATTTGAAAAGAGCACAATCTCAGCATTACTGCTATGAAAACCGCATGCTGGTGCCATCTTTAGTTCAAAAATTATGGAAGTTGGAACACCAAGAGATGTGATGCAGTGATGTGATGAAGTGGCCCTATTTTGGCCTGTATCTCCAAATAAAAATTCCCGACAAACGACTCATTTAGCTTGATCGCATCACGACTTTAATCCAGTCTTTTATAATGGCAAATATACATTATTGTTCAGTCAGTGAATTTCATTCGAGACCTACGGGTATGCAATAATGGCAAATATACATTATCGTTCAATTAGTGAATTTCATTGGAGACCTACCGATATGCAATAATTGCAAATATACATTATTGTTCAATTAGTGAATTTCATTGGAGACCTACCGGTATGCAATAATTACAAATATACATTATCGTTCAATCAGTGAATTTCATTCGAGACCTACGGGTATGCAATAATGGCAAATATACATTATCGTTCAATCAGTGAATTTCATTGGAGACATACGGTATGCAATAATTGCAAATTTACATTATCGTTCAATCAGTGAATTTCATAGGAGACATACCAGTATGCAATAATGGCAAATATACATTTTCGTTCAATCAGGGAATTTCATTGGAGACATACCGGTATGCAAAAATGGCAAATTTACATTATCGTTCAATCAGGGAATTTCATTGGAGACATACCGGTATGCAATAATTGCAAATTTACATTATCGTTCAATCAGGGAATTTCATTGGAGACCTACCGGTATGCAATAATGGCAAATGTACATTATCTTTCAATCAATTATTTTCATTGGAGACCTATGCAACACTTACAGTAACAGTACAAAAAAGAAGTCATTTAACCTGTTGTATACATGTATATTGAAACAATGTTCATGGTATTTCTAGCAGTAAATTTTCAATATTTGAAAATGAATTACAAACTGCTTTCTGACTGGATGGACCTGAAATATACAAATAAAAAAAAATAATAAGACTGCCTGACCTTGCGATCTTAACCAGTTCACGTCGGATGATGTGTATACACGCAAAGGTTTTGCGGTATTCGAAACGGATGACGGATAACATGCAACGAGCGAGGCCGGAAATATCTGTCAGCGACCTGCAGCGATATCAGGGTGTGCTACCCGCAGCTGACTGCCCAAACCCGTCTGGCCTCGAGGTTCGTGAAAAAGAATCCCGCGCCTGGCTCTGATCAGTATCAAAATAATCCCTGCGCGAACTGGTTAACAAGATCTTCAGAGGTAAAATTACAGTGTACAACAAACAAACCTTTTAGGCCCCCCAAAAAAGTCTCCGGTTTCTGGTATGCACGCGCGTCGCCGTAGCCATGCGCGTCGGCAAAATGAAAAAGTTATTTTTTCAATGAAAGATGATGTCTCAAAACCGCCAAACTCACTGGTTTGACTGGAATCCTGCTGCTGCACAATTTTAACGTGTTTTTAGATGGAGTTATGATCGAGAATAAGCTTTATGTGGCCTCTCTGGTCTCCCATAATATTAGCACTAAGTTTAGTCGGGCACCATTTGCAGTCATCAGCTGACATTTGAAGCAAAAAAAAACAGGAAAAAAAATGCATCGCCGCACCACTTTTTGGGCAAGCTCCATACCAGAAACTGGAGACTTTTTTGGGGGGGCCTTAGGGGGCACAGAAACATTCAGGGTTGGAGGAAGATCTTGTAAATATCGCAACATCAGGCCGTCTTAATTGTTTTGATTTTCATATATTTGCAATATATATAAAAGTACATACAAAGCAGGATTCTGCATATTTGATGCTTTTAAAGGTGAATAAAATTCACAACTTTTGGTGCAAGATATGTTTATTGAATAAAACTGAATAAATCTGAATAAAAGTGAAAAATAGTATTTTTGCCTTAGTACTGCGTGTTATTATTCATGATAGCTGGATTTTGTTTAAATTTGACATTTTAGGTTTTATACAGCGTGTGAAAAAGATAAGGACTTTAAACCTTTGCGGAAAGAAAGAGACTTGCCCTTTCCAAATCAAATGATCCAATAATGAGGCAATAATGATAACATAAGACACATGTCTGTTTGCGCCCCAAAATGAAGAGGTAAACAGCGCCCTCATTGGCTATATAGGAAATAGGGTCTATAACCATACCGCTTAGTAATTATATTTTATACAATCAACAATTGTAAGAAACTAATTTTTTTCCAGAACAAGATTAAGCTTTCCATGACCAATCCCTACGCTGTTTTTGACAACAAATTTACAGTACACAAGAGAGGGGGTGGGGCACCAACTGGCCAGGCAAGGGACTCTTTTTTTTTATAACCAATTTGTTCACATTTCATAAAGCCGTAGGGTCAAGGGAGAACAAGGGATTAGAATTGGGTCATCTACACTTTTCTTTTGTTTCAAAAAAGACAGTTTTGGCTTGGCAAGCAGCAAATTCTGTGGGTTTTTGGGTGGGGGGGGGGCATCGGGAATTTTTATACACAGGCACGGCTGATGGGTTAAGATGTCAAGATTGCTTTGTATTGCCTCTGGGTGACGTCTTAACACGTTTATCCACACATACTTGAATTTGTATCCTTGTGGAGACATTCCTTTGTTGTGTACTACAGTTTTCGAGTTTGAAAGTGTAGTTTAAAAATGCTCCTATTTTAACCAGAATTAATTTCCTTGGCTGAAATTTGGACTTAATATCCCTTTTCTAAAACTCTTCCATTAGCGAAGGATCAACATAGCTAGGAAATTCGTAATTTTTTAGTAAAATCCATATATCTATTTCGTGAAAACCTTGTGGAGACGTATTCATCTATAGAAATTGCCCTGTGGAGACGTATACTATCTTTTGTTCCCTATTGTGTGCACGTTTCCAGAGGGCACGGTGTATCAGATCATCGTGCCTTTCGTACACACTAAGTCCGTGAAGTCTGTGGAGATGGACGGTGTGTTTATCTTCAATTGGCCGTTGTGCACAGCCTATTTAATTATTGTACAATTTATTGAAACATATGAGATTTCGGCAAGATTTTTGTACAAATACTGTAGAAATGACTCTTGCGAATCAGTACTTATGGCGTTTGGCTGTACATATCAGAAGTTGGCTGAAAAATTTTGCCTTTTGCAAAAAAAAAAATCATCAAAATTTTTGGCAAAATTAATCCCGGCGTAAAGTGGTTAACACAAGACCACAGCAGTCATGAGTACCATAAAAGCATCACAATCGTGAACAATGTACATGCAACAAGTACTGAACATACATGCATAAAGAAAAAGTACGGGAAACAGGAAAGCTAACTGGAAGACTGCCATATATCCAAATATTACACATCATCAAACTTGATAAAATCCAAAACAGTGCTGGTAGAATTATCATGGGCCTCCCCTGAAGATTCCCCACTGACAATCTTTTATCTACTCTGTTAGATGGCAATCTCTAAGTGAAAGGAGAGATTTTCACTTAACTACTCTAGTATATAAGAGTTTAACATCCAAATTGTCTCTTCAACTTTGTAACTGTTTTCATTTTGTTTCGAGTACCCACTCGTACAATACTGTTTCTCAAGGTTTCTTCGTTATCCAAATCTAACTCGGGAAAACGTAAATTTGCATCTTGTGGAGTTCATTCTTTCAATAACCTCCCTGCGACACTTAAACATCCGTTGCTAGCTCCCACTCTTGCCAGTTTTAAGCGCATCCACACAAACCTGATAGTTTAATATTATATGGTTCATGTATGTCTTGTTTTTGTCTTTTTTTACTGCCAATGTAACAACCGTGATTAACCTTGTCTCATTTTACTGCGTATTAATCTTCTTAATTATATCTTTGTAATGTGCTTATTGCTTGTTCTGTTTTTATACTATTGTATGCTTGTTGTAAATGCTGGGCACCTTTGAAAAACAGTGTTCCACTGAAAGGTCTCCCCAGGATAAACAAGAAATAAATAAGTAAATCACATAAATGTATGGGTTGTGCAGGATTCCACGGCTTTTCCATGACAATTTTCTTGGAACGTCAACTTTCCACAACTCCTTGTAAAATAACAAAATGCCAGGGCTTTCCACGATACCTTTATATCCCAGGATTTCCCAGGACTTTTCCATGACAAAACAATGATCTGTGGTGTCCAAAATGGCACCGTGGGTTACATACACCTCTATGTTCCGACATCCCTATGTTCCGACTGCACATATTCCTATTCCTAACCCTAACCCTAACCCTAACCCTAACCCTAACCGGGAGTAACACAATCTAGGTTGTCGGAACATAGGGGTGTCGGAACATAGAGCAGTCACCGAGTATGATCATACCCAGGCATTGTGGTACAAGGCATTGGCCTGTCTGATATTGGCTCCATGATTCTTCCTGACGATGGTTGCTGACCAGGTGTCCTCCGCAGTGCTCAGGGTCACCTTCAGGGCTTCCAGCTTCTCCCTCAGGTAGCCAAACGTTGGCCGCATGCAGGGGTCCTTGCGCCAGCAGCTGTACATCAGCTTGTATCTGCAATGGTGAGATATTTGGTACAGGATGAGTTTAAGGGAATGTACATCATTGGCTTTCGCTGTAATTTTCAGAAATGAACTAGTTGAGGGGTTAGTATAATAGATCAAAATATTGTTACACTGACATGTTTGAAGTGTTGTGTCCGAAAATGCTGGAAAAACCAAGAAAAACAAACATTTTCAAGTAGTCTGGTTCCCTGACTCCACTAAAGATGAAATGGATCAATTGTTAGATGCCAGAAATTGTAAGGTAAAGGAACCAGTCTAGCTGGCCTGCACCCGTTCATGAACGTGTAATCAATAGCAAACACAATTTGGACTGAAACAAATGGTAAATTTGGAGCAGTGGTTGAAAAATAGTCAGGTTTTTCCAACGGTGGTCGGCCGACCACCGTTGGAAATGTATACAAAAATACCATTTTCTTGAAAATGTCTTCACACCAGGTACCATAGTTTGACAGGATGCTACTGTCATTTACACATGTACCAACATACTAGTAAGGTTTTTCGTAAAAATTTTGTAGTTTTATTTTTCGATGTTTGCAAATGTTTTTTCCTTTTAAAAAGGAGCGGAACCCAAACCCCAAAAATTAAATTTCATGTTTTAAAAAAATACGTTGCACCAAAAATAATGACTGGAAAGCCAATTTTATTAGCTACTTTTAGATGAAAAACAAATACTGAAATTGGTGCATCTGTTCAAACAATATCACCATTTAAACACAATGACCCTAAAACCTGTCTCGTCCTAAAAATGCAATTTCAAGAATTGTTGTCACATCACTTGTCTTCAAACATCACCAGCGATAAAATCTTAGTTTAAAACGTTAAACAATTCTTTTGAAGGCCCGTCTTTTTGAAAAAAGTAGATTTTATAAATCCATTGTTTGCCTAACTACGGTTGTTTATAAAGATATTGTATACTACAGTTGGTGACAGTTATTGAAACAAGTATTCTGTGTCATTTTCTTTGTTGTTCCAAACAGTCAAAACACACAATAAATTGTGTGTTTTTTTACGAGACAGGATTTAGGGTCATTGCATTTAAATGGTGATGTTCTTTGAACAGATTGAGCAATTTCAGTATTTTTTTTTCATCTAAAAGTAGCTTATGAAATTGGCTTTCCAGTCATTATTTTTTTTGGTGCTACATACTTTTTTTAAACATGAAATATATTTTGTTGGGTTTAATTGGGTTCTGCTTTTTTGACTCACCCTGTATCGTGCATATGTTATGAACAGCTACAAACTTCTCCACTTCAATTCAAAATCAATTCAATCATTTTTTAAAGTGAGATTCGCTTTGTAAATATAATTTAATCAGTAATTACCTGATGTAATGTTAGTCGTTGAAATGAATATCATCAGGTAAAACGTGTAGCATTTTCAGATTGTCAATTCTTATAATTATCAATTTGTCTTAATTTTTAGTTAATTGTCACACTTTAATTATCAATGTTCCTTTTTGAACTTTTTAATGATTAATTCTCCTGAATGCATTACTCATCGTTTTCTTGTATACACATACATGTATACCCACACAGTGCCTATGCAATGTGTAGTCCCTATACTTTTATATGTACAGAGCAAATGACCTTCACTGCCCACACACAAGTCATTGGTCATTTTCTTAGTACAACCAAGTTACTTTCAAGATCATTGTTTTAAGGAGCTATGTTACTCATTCCTAGTCATCTTTCTGAGAATCAAGGAAGCCAAGACATGACTAAGTTTTCCCATTCTTAACTATTTCTTATTCCCAAGACATCCTGTTTTCCACCAGCATAATACAACGTAAGTGCTGCACCACTAGCAGTTCCTCATTCTGTTTCAACATGTTCAATTCCATTTCTGTTCCATTTCCATTTCTATTCTAGTCTTTTTCAGTTCACTCAATTTAATCTTTGTCTCAGGTCGCTGTAACCAGTTCAATCAATCAGTGTGTATTAAAATATTGTTGTGGAATAAACAGTCACGGTAAACACAGTCCTCATCCAAAGAATTGTGTATCGACTTAAATCCATTCCCCAACAAAAGAAACTGGAAACCCTCTCTCAAACGAGGCACCATACCCTGCCAATCATGAACATTGTCCACTTTGTTCTTGAGATGCCACTTTGAAACTGCTCGATGTGAATGTCAAGCAGAATTGTCATCACAAATCTATGCCAACCATCACAAGCCATTGCAAGCCATCACAAGCCATCCTAAGCCATCGCAAGCCATCACAAGCCATCGCAAGCCATCACAAGCCATCACAAGCCATCTCAAGCCATCACAGGCCATCACAAGCCATCACAAGCCATCACAGGCCATCACAGGCCCTCACAGGCCCTCACAGGCCATCACAAGCCATCACAAGCCATCACAAGCCATCACAGGCCATCACAGGCCCTCACAGGCCATCACAAGCCATCACAAGCCATTACAAGCCATCACAAGCCATCACAAGCATCAGGATCAAAGCTTCAGGATCAGACTGATGTTTTTTTAAAATTAATTTGTACTTCTTTCCTTCAAAAGCAAATCTTGAACGTTGCAAAATACACAAAATGTGAACTTACAAGTTTTCAGGGCAGCCATCCGGCTGATACAGACGATGTCCCGACTCGAGATGTCGCAGGACTTTGTAGTTCTCCAGGCCAGGATACGGAATCTTAGCATGGGTGAAAATCTCCCACATGGTGACACCAAAGGACCACTAGGAATAAAGTCACAGAGTAAAATTAGTTTTAAGTTGTTGTTTCACATCAAATTTGACTTTCGCAAAGAGTGTTTGATTTTTCCATTAGTGTTGATCTGATACACCGTGCCCTCTGGAGACGTGCACACAATAGGGAACAAAAGATTGTATACGTCTCCACAGGACAATTTCTATAGATGAATACGTCTCCACAAGATTTTCACGAAATAGATATATGGATTTTACTCAAAAACTAGGAATTTCCAAGCTATGTTGATCCGTCGCTAATGGAAGAGTTTTAGAAAAGGGATATTAAGTCCAAATTTCAGCCAAGGAAATTAATTCTGGTTAAAATAGGAGCATTTTTAAACTACACTTTCAAACTCGAAAACTGTAGTACACAACAACAACAAAATGTCTACACAAGATTACAAATTTCAGTATGTGTGAATTTGTGTGTGTGTGTGTGTCTAGGTTTCAAACACTAATACTCTGATGCAGAGTTGTAACGAGTCACTGAATTTTTTTACTCAATTAAGTCGAGTCAGTCATTCGAAGGAAGTTACTCAAGTCGAGCCATTAGGTCAAGAGATCGAGTAGAGTTGAGTTGAGTCGAGTCACAGTGTGTTGTTGAGTCGAGTCAAGTCAAATTTACACTCGAGTCAATTTGAGTCACTGATAACACATTAACACCATTTAATAAATAACAATGGAAGAAGGAACACAAGGCACCAGTTTATTTTGAAGATCCGAAGACCTAAACTATGCTGTATGGTACCCAATAGACAGCTTCTGCTAGATGTTTCTACCAAAGATCTACAAAAGTCTGCAAAAATTTTACGCTGACGTCAAAACCAAATGGCAACATAAGAAACTGTTTATATTTGCAAGCGATAAACGGTCACAACTGGACGGCAACGCAAAGTACACGAACATAAATAACTATGTAACACTAATCTATTTTTCGCACAGTTATGAAACTCGAGTGTTATTGGCCTTCAACTCCAGTCGAGTTGAGTCGAGTCATCTGTTGCCGGACTCAAGTCGAGTGGAGTTTGCTCGCAGTGACTCAAATCGAGTCAATGTCATCTGATGAGGGACTCAAGTCGAGTGGAGTCATTTGCTCGCAGTGACTCGACAAATCGAGTCAATGTCATCTGATGAGGGACTCAAGTCGAGTCGAGTCATTTGCTCGCAGTGACTCGAGTCGAGTCGAGTAAGTTACCTGTTGGGACTCAATTCGATTCGAGTTGCCAAAAATTGTGACTCAGTCGAGTCAGTACAGCGCTGCTCCGGTGTTTGTCTTTATCAAATAACATTGCTCATTTGCATATAAGTTTTAGACATGCATGGAGTCTATAGATTTGCACCAGGGCGAGACAGATTTGATTTGGGTGTAAGTAAACTCACCACATCGCTCATTGTAGTGAAGATGGAGTCATTCAGTCCCTCCATGGCCACCCATTTGACAGGCAAGGAGCAGGAGATACTCTGGCGTATCTTCATCTTGTAGAATTCAGCATCATGCATCTGCCGGGCCAGACCAAAGTCAGCTACCTTCACCGTGTAGTTGTCATCCAGCCTAATATGGACAAATCCAGAGGTGTGCGCTCCAGTCATAAGAAATTCATCCGTGGCTGCAAATTGCTAAAACTATACCGAACAAGCTTAAAGGCATATGGAATCAATTTTTTTTTAATGCTTTGTTTTCAACGATAACACCACTCAAAATTCAAAGAAGAATGTTCAAAACCTACTTTGCTGAAGTTTCAGCTCTCAAAATTCAAAGAAAAAATGTTCAAAACCTAACTGGCTGAAGTTTCAGCTCAGTGGATATTACACTTTTGAAGAAAACAATGAAAAACCATGTCAAATTTTTTGGTTGCCTATTACAAAAATTGGTAAATTGACTGATCATTAGAAATCACTTCTTGATTTCTTCTAAATGACAGCAAGCCAGACGAAATAATTTCACAGGGTGTTTAGTACCAGTACAATCTTTAATCTTCTTGATAATAATTTGGTTGGTTACTTTTGGGAAAATTGCAAACGATCCTGGCTATATGCCTTTAAGTACACCCCATGGTGTTCATTATAGCAGCTTTTTAAAATTCCCATTTTCATGTTTCTTAAAATGGTTCAATAAGCTATTGCAAGTGCCGCAGTGGCCCTTTGTTAAAACAATGCCACATCTCTCATCCCAAACTTGTTCAATTTTGTGTCTTTTTTGGTTCATTTTGTGTCTTTTTTGGTGGAGTGCTGTGGCCTAGTGGTCTGAAGCATTGAATTTGTGGTCTGCTGGTCACTCTGCAGGTTGTGGGTTCAAGTCCAGCCTGGGGTTGTGGTGCGTGTGCCCTTGGGCAAGGCACTTTGTCACTCATTGCTTCTCTCCACCCAGGAGTAGATGGGTACCTGTGAGGGCAGAGTTGGTGACTGTGAGAGGTTGATCAGTACGGCCAAGAAATGGCTGCCTACCAGCCCTCTATACTCCCCTGGGAGTTGAGAAGGTTTCAGGAGGGTTTGCCCGTAAGCGCTTTGATACTTGTTTAAAAAGCGCTTTCTACACATGCCTGTTATTATGTATTATTATCCAGTGAGTAATAAAATGCTACAACCCTGGATAGGCTTACATGCAGTTCCTGGTTGCCAGGTCCCTGTGCACGATATTCTTGCTGGCGATGAACTCCATTCCAGAGGCTATTTGGGCCATCAAGTCCACCCGCCAGCGCATGGACAACTACAAAATGGACAGAAATAAAGTGAAAGACGAGAGTTTATAACATCCATTGCCTCCCACTCTTGCCAGTTTTAAGCAACTTACTTTTAAAGATATCCACTCAAAAAAGTTGTTACATGCAAACTGAGAGTTTTTTCTCATAAAACCGGTCTTTGCTAAAGGGGGAAGTTGGTGGTTCATAGGTTTTGTTGGCAAAATTGTCAAAACGTCAGAATAATTTCTGGCTAGTAAATGTTCCTCTTGGTATTAAGCGATGATAGTCATGACACTCAATACTAAATTTAGGGACACTGGTAACCACAAAAGCGGGTCATCAAACATATGTCATTGTGAGAGTGCCCACCCCCCCCCCTCAAACAAAAGGAAGACTGCCACCAGGAACCATTTTCTAGTTATTTAATGGCGCATTGTTTAGTGATGCACTGAAAAGTATAGGCCATATCAACCTCGGTCCAAAATTCTGGCCACCGGTATCAAATGAGGGGAATAATCGTCATAGCGATTTTTGGCAAGGTGTACACCTCCAAAGTTGGAAAATATCTGATAGCATTGCAGCGGTGGCAGCTTTTTGGGTGTTATCACCCTTTTTTTCAAAATGTCCATCAAAATGCTTGTTACCACTCTAGGGGCGGTATACCTTGCGTATGCGCACCATAATCATTTATGCCCTGATTTGATACTGGCCAAACCCCCAGGCTGATGGCCTAGTAGTGGATCACTTCAACAACGTAACTGAAACTTTACACAGCGATTTGTACATCCAGGAATTACTGACCTAGACACATTTTAGATTTGACGCATGCATCCAATGTTTAGTTGTTGGAATAACAATAAAGGTTTTGTACTAAATGAAACACAGAGGTTGTACAGGAAAATTATGCGAAGGCCTGGCCAACTCGGTTAAAGTGAATTCAGTTTCGAAGCTACATTTCAAGCCAACACAAACATGCAGGAAATACTGTGGTTTCAACAATTGCTTTATATTTGACATTTATACTTTGTTGAATTTACTTCACTTTCAGATTCAGGAGAATTATAAACCTGGCTTTTAAAGGGAATGTACATCATTGGCTTTTGCTGTAATTTTCAGAAATGAACTATTTGAGGGGTTAGTATAATAGATCAAATATTGTTTAACTGACATGTTTGAAGTTTTGTGTTCGAAAATGCTTGAAAAACCAAGAAAAACAAAAATGTTTAAGTAGTCTGGTTCCCTGACTCCACTAAAGATAAAATGGATCAATTTATAGATGTCGGAAAATTGTAAAGTAAGGGAACTAGTCCAGCTGGCCTGCACCCGTTCAAGAACATGTAACCAATAGCAAACAAAATTTGGACTGAAAAAAAAATTGTAAATTTGGAACTGTAGTTGAAAAATAGTTGGGTTTTCCAATGGTGTTGGCCGACCACCGTTGGAAATGTATACAAAATTACCATTTTCTTGAAAGTGACTTCACACGAGGTGCCATAATTTTACAGGATGCTTTAGACTGTCATTTACCAACATCCTGTTGTGTATTTCGTAAAAACTTGGTAGTTTTATTTTTCCATGTTTGCAAATGTTGTATTTTCCCTTTAAAGGGGCATTATGGCCTGGAATCCCAAAAACTTTCATGTTTTGGATTGTTTACTTATAAATGATTGTAGTACTTATCTTAAAGGTCTAGTAGAAAAGCCCCTTTTTTTCTCTTCCACATTTTCAATTTATGTGTTTTATTTTAACCAGAAAAATAAACCCTACTTAAGATCCGTCTGAATTATTGAAGGGCCTCAAATAATTCAATATTTGAAAGCCTTTTATTTCATAACTAAACATGGGCAGATTTTCTCATTCGACGTCTGATTCAAAAGCTAGTAACTTAATTTCGTTTTAGCAACAAAAAAAAAGCATTTTAAAACAGGAATCATCTTCTGAAGGAAAAATTAGAAAGTAGCACTGGAAGAGCAACTCAGTGAAATTAGTCGTTGAAGGGAATATACATCATTTGCTTTTGCTGTAATTTTCAGAAATGGATGGAATTGGGGGGTTGGAAATATATGAGCAAATATAGTTACACTGACTTTTTTGAGGTTTTGGGTTCGGAAATGCTATAAAAACCAAGAAAAACAATCAGTTTCCTGTAGTCTGGTTCCCTGACTCCATTTAAGAAGAGACAGGGCAGTTTACTTATATTGGGGAATTGTAAGGTCAGGGAACCAGTCTAGCTGGCTTGTACCCGTTCATAGGTGTGTAATCGATTGCAAACAAGTGCGATGGTCAACTGGGGCCAGTATTTGAAAAAAAGCCAGTTTTTTCCAACGCTGATCGGCCGATCGGCGTTGGAAATAGATACAAAAATACCACTTTTCTTGAAAATGACAGTATACCAGGTGCCATGATTTTACAGGATGCTTTACACTGTCATTCTATAACAGTCCAGCAAGGTATTTCAAAATGATTTGGTAGTTTTATTTTTTGATGTTTGCAAATGTTGTATTTTCCCTTTAATGGCCAGTTCGCACCGGGATTATTTTGACAAGAACGGAACGATGTGCAGGGTACTTTTCACTGGACCTCAAGCCAGGCAGGTTGAAGCCATCACCCTCGGGCAGCACGCTTATATTTCCGGCCTCGCTCGCTGCGGGCGGGTCGTGTTTATCCGTCATCTGTTCCAAATACCGCAAAACCTTTGCGTGTACACTCGTCATACTATAATAATAATAATAATAATAATTTGGGAGGCTAATCATCCTTACTCGCAGCTGGTGTGCTGAATTGCGAAGGACGCGGCTACAACGTGGTCGGGCCGCTAGCACGTGAAGGCACCTATGTCTGCCGGCCACATCGACCCATATATGACCACGGAACACAGCCTGAGATCGAAAGTGTTTGATTTTTCCAGAGGGGGAAAACCGGAGTGCCCGGAGAAAAACCCTCGTGGCAGAGGAGAGAACCAACGCGCAACTCTACTCACATGCGATCCGCGGCCAGGATTTGAACCGTGGTCACCTTGGTGAGAGGCGAGCGCTTTACGCACAAGCCACCCATGCCACCCTTAACAAACTGGTAAGTGACCAATGGGATAAGCCTAGCATCTACTGAAAGATGCAAGGAATGCCGCCTCTAGTTTCAATGTTTACCTCCTGGTTATTGGCAAGTCGGACGTTCTTCAGGAAGCTGTTCAGATCTCCGTTTTCGAGAAATGGCATGACGACCAAGGGTCTTATCTGCTTGGAGTTGACAAACTCAAGACTGATGCCTGCAGTGAAAAAGAGGTCAAAAGTAGTCATTCAGCAATATGAAATGGGTACTTTGTAGGTTTCCGGGAGGCCGTGTCAATCGCTTCTCAAAAGTGGGGGGGGGGGGGGGGAGGACATCCCTTGATCAGAACTAATGCGAAGCGTGAAGCCCTAACGGTGTGGAGTTCAGAATATTGGTGCAATCTGAGGCAATTTCTGACCACTTGAACCTTTTTTTTGAGCAAAAGATCATCATTTTCGAGTTTGGGGTCATTGAATCAGCTACTCTGAGTTAAAGAATCAAATGTAGGCTACACTTTTTATTTGAGGACAATTTTTTTTTTTTGGGGGGGACAAACGATATGATCCCCCCCCCCACACTTTAAAAAGTAGGGGGACATGTTCTCCCCCCCCCCCCTCCCCTCACTGATCAATGTCCCTGGGTGGCGCCATTTCTCTACACAGCTGTAAACTCCATGCGTGACTATAGGATATTAGATGGTGCTTTGGGCTACTTTTGACAGCCCCACATTCATGAGCAAAGATTTTTCACATTCATGAACAAAAGAGTGTCGAGCAAAACGTACCGATGATTGTCAAGATGTTTGGGTGGAGTAAATCTACGGTCAGCATTCCTTCCTCAATGAGATGCCTGGCCTGATCGGTCCAATGCTCTGCCAAAGAGAACAAGTTATGCATAACATTAACAAGCAGATATCGATACTTAAAATAGCTCCTGGGTACAAAAAAAAAAAAAACCTGTAAGGTGAAACTTTGGACTTCTCTTCTTCCAGTTTAAAAATTTCCCCCAAGTCAAATTCTTTTTCTTTTTTTTCTCGCAAAGTTTCCCAACATTCTCCAATTTTTTATTCAATAAAAAAAAACAGGTCCTTAACTTCTTCACATTTTCAAGCCCCACAAGGTTTTAATTTAGAACTGTGCTTGTTATTAAAAGGGAATGTACACTAACATTTGCTTTTGATGCAATTTTCAGGGAAAAAAGGGATTTGGAGGATTAGTATGTTACAGCAAATATTGTTAAACTGACTTGTTTCACGATTTGGGCTTGTAGATGCTGGAAAAACCAAGAAAATCTATCATGTTCTTGTAGTCTGGTTCCCTCACCCAACTTTAAGATGAAACGGAGCAATTAATATTGTAAGGTCAGAGAATCATTCTAGCAGGCTTGTACCCCTTCACAGGTGTGTAATCAATTGCAAAGAAAAGTCAGAATAACTCAATATGAACAATTAGGAACGGGGGGGGGGGGGGGGGGGGGGGGGGGGGGGGGGGCAATCTGCCCTCCTCCCCCCGGCGGATTTTTTTCACAACATGTTTTGTTGAGCAGTTATTTCAATAAATGGTTAGAGAGTTCTGACATCAATCCCAAAAAAGAAAACCCACTCAAAAAAACATTACAATGCGCCGTGAAAATGGGTATATAATTTGCAGTATCCATAATTATGGTCAGTTTTGAAGAGTGCCCCTGTACCAGCCCAGCCCCCCCCCCCCCCCCCCCCCCCCACCCAAATGTCCACAGAAAAAAAAACATGTCTACATTTCGGCGCGGATGTGCAGTTGGGCCCCCCCCCCCTCCCCCCCCCCCCCCCCCCCCTCCCCCTGACATCCAAAGCTAAATACGCTACTGATCACACCTTTGACAGAGTAATATACCTTTCATGATCTTGACTGCCACTTTCTGCTCGCAGGAAAACGATGGGCTGACCAAGGTGGCAAAGTGGACTTGTGCATACTGGCCTGGGGAACAGAGTACAGGGGAGAAATTCAACATTAGAGAGTAAAGTAGTTTCGGGGTCCGCTCATAAGTACGACGTCTCATAGGTCCGACATTTCTGAAATTTCGGACTTATTGAGGCGTCGGACCTTTGAGGCGTTCGGACTTAGCTGGATGCTTTGTCTCTGAATATTTTTGTCTGATTTGTAACTGTTTGTACAATATAATGGCATTCTACTTTTTCTCGAGAAACATATGGGCTCCATGCGACAACACAAAAGAGGGCGCGTTTTTCCACTTTTCAGAGCCGCACTCACCGCACCGTACCCCTGATTCCCAGCATAGAAAACCACAGCTAGACAAAATTTATCAAAATTTGGCAAGTTGGAATATCCAAACCTTTTAGTGGCCTATTTATTAGAAAGTTATCTCCAGAGCACGCACTTAACCAGACGAAAGAACCGGGTCAGCGCACCTGTGCCCTATAATTAGCCCGCCAACAATGCGCCCGCCGGAGCTCGGCTGGCGATTTTTTTTTTCTTTAGTGGGGTTGCTGAAATGTCACCCTTCGTGTTTTGGGTACACAGCTTATAATACATCCCCTGTGGGCAAACAAGGAAATACTGCTTTGCACGTGTCAAGCTGGGGCGTGTGTATGCCGCACCCACGCCCATTATTTGCATAAACTTTAAATATGCATTTACAATTCCAAGACCCATATTTCATTGAATAAAGACATTAAATATCATAGGTTTTTTCTTGGGAGGTTTTTGGTTGTTGTTTTTGGTCCTCTACCCTCACAGGTACCCATTCATACTCCTGGGTGAGAGAGAGGCAGTTGTAGTTAAGTATCTTGCCCAAGGGCACAAAAGCATGAATTCCAGGCAGGGTTCGAACCAACGCACCACCGTACATAAGTCAAACACCGTAACCACTGGACCATGGTATTCTACTTAAAAAAGTTAGTTGACTTGTGTAAGTCCCTGATTATTCAATCTGAGCTATTGAGGAGATGTATTTCCATTAGAAAAGTCAAGAACATAGGACCTAGAACATGTTGGACTATTTATAATAATTAATTACCTTCACCAATCAGTTTATGTATGGACAGTTTATTCCTCGGAATAAGAAACATCCGCATCTTCTTCTTCATATCATCGTCCAAAGCCAACTCATCCACTGACAGAAAAGTTGGAGAAAAAATAGCAAGAAGTTATAAATAAAATGGAGATTAAAAAAATTGCGACAAGGTATAAAAGGTTTAGTATATTTTCCCCATTTGTACCACTTTATCTTGGCAGGTACAGGATCACACTAAATTAAATATTGCTTTGGTTAACGGGAATATGACAACATTTGCTTTTGCTGTATATTTTCAGAAATGGATGGATTTGGGGGTTAGTATTTTAAAGCAAATATTGTTACGCTGACTTGTTTGAAGTTCTGTGTTCGTAGATGCTGGAAAAACCAAGAAAAAACAATCAAGTTTTGTAGTCGTTCCCTGACCGCACCTTAGATGAAACGGTGCAATTTATAGATGTCGGAGAATTGTAAGGTCAGGGATTCAGTCTAGCTGGCATTGCAAACAAAATGCGGGCTAACTAAATATGATAAAATGGGAGCAGTATTTGAAGAAAAAAAACGAGCTTTTTCCAATGCTGGGTGGCCGACCAGCGTTGGAAACTGATACAAAAATACCACTTTTCTTGAAAATGTCAGCACACCAGGTGCCACGATTTTACAGGATGCTTTAGACGGTCATTCAATAACAGTCCCGTCAGGTATTTCATGATAATTTGGAACTGATGGTTTTTGATGTTTGCAAATGTTCCCTTTAAACATTCCCTTTTTAAAGGCAAATGGGCACATTGATAATTAATGGGGCTGATTCCATATACCCAGAAAAAAATTATTCTGCTTGACATGGTATCATTCTGAAGAAAACAATAATTGAAGGTGGTTTTAAAAAAGTGTGCACAAGGGCCACACTTTTTTGGGTTCAAGCAACAGAATCCAGTTACCAGAGCAAAATGTTACAGACCTTTGCTTTGTCCTGCTCACAGGATAGTTATGCATCATTTTGAGCAACTTTTTTCCATCAAACAAAACACAATGCACAAAAAGCATCCTATAAACCTTTAAGAACAATTCGTCGCTTAGCCCCACTAGTGTGGCCGTCGGTATGCTGCGCTTAGGTTCAGCGCAGCATACCGACGGCCACACTAGTGGGGCTATTCGTCGCTTAGCTCACGAAGTGACAAAAACCTCAAAATTTGACAAAAGTTCATTCTGAGATAATCGCATTTGAAGTTATTCACTTTTTCAAAAAGACATTTTCGACCACTCTGCAGTAACAGAATTCGGAATTTTTTGCATTGTCCAATAGGATATGATTTGCTCTTTGTTAATTCATAGTTGTTTGTTAACAATATTTCGTAATTAAACAGCAATTCAATAATAAAACTTGTTTGCACTTCGTGAGAACATCAATACTTTGGGTCCCATATTTTGCTGATTAGTTTGTACACAGTTTTTGTCAGTTCATGGGATCATGAATTGCGGAGGCTTTTTATTTGTACTTTTTTCGACGCAACAAACTTGTTACTTTTGCGCGTCACAACAGTTGAGCGCGCGCGCGTCTGTCCTTTTTCACCATCGTTCGCACCGCGCGTGTATGCTCCCATCCTGCCGCGTGTAGACCAATGTATAATTCCTCCGGCCTTGTTCACGAGGTGACTTTTTGTCACTTCCTGAGAACATTTTACACTTTTTACACTTCGTGAAAATGAAAATCACCGATTTCAGGCTTTTTGTCAATTGTTTGTTTACAATAATAAGAAATTAAACAATATTTTGCCTTGAAACTTGGTCAAATTTTTGTTGAGACAACTATAATAAAAATGGCTAGTAAAACTAAAAATCGAATAATTATCGATTTTCGAGGTTTTTGTCAGTTCGTGAGCAAAGCGACGAATTTCAGCGTGGTTTTTTTTGGAAGACATGTATTTCTCTTTGAATGCCTTTGGAAGATTGCAGATATTTCTTCATAAAGTTATATTTTGAGTTCCCCTTGTGGGTAGTCTGAGTATCACCCGTTGTTCAACGGATCCATCTCCGTAACTAACGTCTGATATATGTGAGCAAATTTTATGTGAACCTGCGCGCCAGCTAGTCGAAGTCGACTTTAGAAATTGTGACGTCATTTCGATCAGAAATGTGGACTAACTCCAAAAAAAACAAACAGTCTCCTGTTTCTGGTATGCGCGCGCATCACCGTAGCCATGCGCGTCGGCAAAATGAAAAAGGTTTTTTTTCAATGAGAGATGATGTCTCAAAACCGCCAAACTCACTGGTTTGACTGAAATCCTGCTGCTGCACAATCTTAACATGTTTTTAGATTGGGTTATGGTCGAGAATAAGCTTTATGTGGCCTCTCTGGACTCCCATATATTTGCACTAAGTTTAGTCGGGCACCATTTGCAGTCATCAGCCGACATTTGAAGCAAAAAAGCAGGTAAAAAAAAAAAAGCCGCGTCGCCGCACCACTTTTTGGGCAAACTCCATACCAGAAACCGGAGCCTTTTTTTTGTTGGCCTAAGCTGTTGATTGGGCATTTTGGCTGCCAAGTTTTTGTAATACAACAACGGGTTCCTGAAGACCCGATAGAAGGCGCCCGCTGAATGGTCAGAATCTCAAGCTCAAGACGCAGTCTTGTTTTGCATAGTTAATCGCTGAATCAGCTCGCATATCATAGACCCTTGCTGTGCAAGGGGATATTCCATAAGCTTGTAGGCTTGTCGAAAAAAAACAAATTAAATCCAAACGAGTCAATTTGAACTTACATTTGAGTTCCTCCCAGAATATCTGTGGGCTGATGGTGAAGTCTGATTTAGTAAGGTCCTCCTCGGAGATAAACTGTGGCCTTGGTATCCTCAAGTTGCCCTTAGGAAAATGTTTACTGTAACACTTCCATCTGTACAGTTAATTCAAAAACACATGTTCCTGACTGTGTTTCCATGTCCCAGTTGTACATGTATATGGCTTATTTGTACCTACTATACAGGGTGAGTAAAAAAAAGCCTGAAACCCATATGTCGGGACCATTGTTTTAGTGAAGTTCTTCATGCAGCACTTTCAAAATCTAGGATTTGAAAGCCCAATTCATAAACTTTGTTGTAGTACAAGAATCATTCAAATCACTTATGTACTTTTTAAGTTACGGAATTTTAAACACAACCAGTAAGGTTCTGTCCACGGATCACAAAAAAAGTTCAGTGTTCTTTCAGCAAAACGAAAACAAATCACATAGGGATGTGTGTGAATTGTTTTCATTCTGCTGAAAGAACAAGCACCTTTTTTGTGATCCGTGGACAGAACTTAAAAACGTAGGTTGTGTTTAAAATTAGGTAACTTGAAAAGTACATGAGTGATTTGAATGTTTCTTGTACTAAAAGAAAGCTTATGAATTGGGCTTTCATATCCTTGATTTTCAAAGTGCTACATGAAGAACTTCACTAAAACAATAGTCCCGACATTTGGGTTTCGTTTTTCTTTTACTCACCCTGTAATATCAAAGAGGGGCGACAACAGCTAATCTCTGTCACAAATGACAATGGGGAGTCAGGTTGGCACAGTGGTTAATTTCCTCGCCTTCCACCTCTATGGCCCGGGTTTGATTCCTGCCTGGTCCACGTGGATTGGGTTTTCAGTCCCTACCTGATTCCGTGGCTTATCCCCAGAATGTTCCTCTGGGGTTTTCCTCCCACCTCTAAAACTGTAATTTCTTCTCACTGTCTTCTCTACAGGTTTCTTAAGGCTTGGAAGCTATTGTGCCTTGGTTTCAGTACCAAAACTAAATTAAAAGTAATACTAATTATAAGAGATAATGGGTAATTGAGGACATTTAAAGCATCTCAGGGTATAGCTTATTAATGCCTTGCTCTATGCATAATCCTGGGTTATTACTCAAAATCTTTCCAGTGAGAGTTATTCACAAAGGGCAATGGGTACTTCTGTATCATGGTTGAATTTAAAAGGGGATCTTTGTGACACCAAGTTACAAAAAGGATCTTAAATTTTCAGTTCACACAAATAGTGGTATTTTTTAGTCTGATGAAATCGCAAGGTACATAAACAATACACAATTTTATACAACATTTCTATTTTTGGAATTGAATCGCAGTGGTATGACATTCAAATCGTCACCCAACTTTTTTTGACATTTTGTTTTAGAATACCACCTTTTCCCCTACATGATCAGGTTGTTTCTCTCAACCCCCCCCCTTACTTCATGTTCCAATTTTGAGGGGCACTCATGCAGTTGCCTATGGGAGAATGGGCTTGGAGACTATCTGGGTATAGACCCACCCCATTCATTTTGGAAAAGGTCGAAAGATTCTGTAATGTTTGCACATTTTTTTTCTCCTGCTTTTCATATATTTTCTAAATCCGAAAATGTGGTTTTTTTTAATCTAAATGATGGAGAAATGTAACAACTTGTTATTTTGGTACCATTACTCCAAATCAGGTCCTGGATATACTGACTTAAATTCCTGCCTCTTCAATTTAAAAAAAAAAAAAATTCTAAAATAAAGTGAGGATTGGTTCCTAATTTTACAAATTAGACTTCCCTTTGAAAATTAAAATTATGAAATCTCAGGATCAATACTTACCACAGTTGTAATGACTTGAGTCAATGACTCGATTCGGGTCAGACTCGAGTCACAATTTTTGGTGACTCAACTCGACTTGAGTCCCAACGGGTATTACTGACCCGACTCAACTCGAGTCAAAGGCTTATAACACTTGAGTCCCATAACTGTAAAAGTTATTTGCGTACTTTGTTTACCGTCAAGTTGTGGCCGCTTTCGCATAATTATAAACACGTATCACGGATTCTTGAGTCCTGTCTCGTGGTTTTATAACGTAGCGCACAAACTACTATCCTGGACCCCACCTTTAAACGCATTTCCAAATTCTTGGTTTTGTCATCAGCTTCGGACGATTTTCCTACTTCTTTTTTGAAATTTACCAGATTGTGTTGAAATGCCGCGATGACTCGAATTGACTCGTGCATTAATTTGACTCGGTGTGACTCGACTCGACCACACGCTGTGACTCAACTTGACTCGACTTGACTCGACTTGACATTCTTCATCTAATGACTTGACTCGACTTGAGTCGCTTCCTTGAAATGACTCGACTCGACTTGAGTCAGAAAATTCAGTGACTCATTACAACTCTGATACTTACAACTGCCAACAGCAAGCAACGATGCATAAGAGAACAACCAAACCACCAAGAACTGAAGATAATGCTATGATCCACAAAAACGGGACGTGGAATGATCCATTGGTGGTGGGTTCTGCAGTTGTCATGGCAACTGTATCCATTGCAGTAGCTGTCGGCAGGCCTTGATATATGACAAAAAAATAACAGCAATGATTGTAGTGAGCTGTGGAAAGAAGGATCAATTGTTCTTGCTTGTTACACTTTTGCAAACCAATTGTAACACTGTATGCTCAATGAGATTATTCTGCAATATGTGCGCTCAATTTAAAGCTGCTGTACCCATGCTCCAGACTTGAACCATGAGTGCAGAAAAGCACTCAAAACAAATTTAGGCCAACCTTTCTCACTCTTTAGCCGACAAAATTCTCCAAAATTTCCATTATGCAAAGAGTCCTGATCAGTATGCCTGATCAGTATTTCGCATTGCATTTTTTTCGCTTCCATAGAAGCTAGTTGATGAAAACAAAATTCGAAACCCCCCCCCTCCCGTTCCAACACCCACAATTTGTTACTGGTGTTACAAATTTGTTACATGTGCACAAAATACGGAAAAAGCCAGCTTGGTCAGGGGGTATATGTACACTATTATGTGATATACATATATAATGCTAATAATTGCTGGATTTGAACAGTGCCCCGTTGAAAGTATGGTACGAGCCCCCCCCCCCCCATTGATTTTTAGAGGCAAAATGTCCAGAAAAAAGTCAACATCTCAGATTATTTTGCCAATGAAAACCACCCTGTGCGAGAATTCCTGGATCAGCCCCTGACGTAACAATAAAATCTTTTCGTACCATTTTTTCTTTCAAATACATTGATAAGTACTTAAAAATTATATTGGAATTGAATACCTTTATTCACTTTTGCCCTTAGAAAACCAAACGCTTGCAAAAAAATAGAAATTATATCGACATTTTGAAAGTTAGTATTTTGTCCGTGTGGCCTTTAAATCGCATCCTCTTGCACAAAGCTGATGAAACTCACTCCATAAAATGTGTCATGCCTTGTTTACATGATCTACAATTTTGGCTTAATTCCATTGGTAAACGACAGAGTTATTCAGGATCAAACGTAGGACAGTATTTTTGACACATAGTACAAACAATCTGAAACAACATACATGTCTATAAGTTATTTTGTACATACCTGCCGTCATATTTGTAGTTTCTTCTTCGGAACTCATCACAAATCAGTAGTTTGTCCGTTACTGAATTCAACGGTCAGTCCTCTTTAGATGTGGTGTTAAGGACACTATTCAAATATTGCCCTTCCAGACTTGGTCATCCACCCGGTGATGTGAACATGTTCCTGAAATGAAGGATTTTGAAAGCATTATGAAACTTGAAAACTCATCCTGAAATATAAAACGCCCAGGAAGTGTCAGTTATGAGAGTAAAAGTGTTTGTTCATTAAACAGAACATCAGGCTTTAACCAACAATATAGGCCTACACGAATGGTATTGCCAAAGATACCTGGTACAAGCTTGTACCAACAATAGCTTGTGAAAGTAAAACAATACCGAGGCCATTTAAACAAAATAATTCTGTTTATTTTTACAGGAAAGAAAAAAGTCCGAATTAAAAAAATGTCTAACATTTTTTTTCGTTGGTTCATCTTTTTGAATCTTTTTAAACTAACATTCTGTGCATTCTGGTTTTTTTTTTTAACTTAAATTCAGATTTTTAAAAAACAACCTTATAGTGAAACCTCTGAAATTCCACGTTTTGTTCTATTGTTACACATATGCTAGTTTGAACCAGGGATGAAATGGGCTTGGCTTAAATGCTAGAAATTTCAACCTCCTAAACAAATATTCTTTAATTTGCCTCTTTAAACTGACTACCGCTTCCAAAAAAATAAAAACAAAAAAGCAGGATTGAAAACAGTACCATGGGGAAATATAATTAAATTGAAAAAAAAAGTTGATTGAGATACAGTGCTCAACGTAAAGTCAAGCTAGTAACAAACATGAACATTAAGGCAGGTACAAAAATACACAGGTCAATTAAACAAATGTAAAGCAAATGTGAACTTCTGTCATAACAAAACTTTGTTAAGGTTTGTTATTGATGCTACAGGCTAAACCCAATAGCACATGATCGCAGTCTCAAAATGTAACCGAAACCATTTTACAGGCAACTGAATAGAAAAGGAACAGGGAGGTTAAATGATAAGCTCTTAAATTTAACTGAAGTCTCAAAAAGGTACCATTCCATTTTAAATGGAATGGTACCTTTTTGAGACTTCAGTTAAATTTAAGAGCTTGTCATGGTCACGTGACAGGTCACATGAGGGCCGCAGTAACACCAGTTGATGAAGACACCGAGACGGTGTCGCAAGCTCCTGCTACCAATTGAGCTTTTAATTAAGTCCCAAAAATGTATTTGACTTTTATTTTGGCGTATTTGAGGAAGTTTATGTGGCAATAATAAACAGTCATTGCATCAAAACTGAATTTGTGAGATTTTCTTTTGGTTGTTGTTTGTGTCTGTGACCAATCTGGTGGTAGCAGTGTTTACTACATAGTACATGGTGATTGACAAATGTACATGCACATGTATTATGTATTACATCAGATGTTCAAATCACCCACGCCAAGTTGACGTTTGGTTCAATCTATAAATTTAAGGTCCAAAGTGTGACCTTTGTCCTGTCCCTGTTACCTTGGTACTTTGTAATTTGCCTTTTAAGTATCATTAAGAATGACTTCAAACTTCTTTTGGTGGGTAGGTAGTTTGCTATTCATAATCACTCTTGGAGGATGACTGCATTAAGAAGTGCATCAGAATTATAAAATCATAGATGTCAGATGTAACAGAGACACGACAAATACAGATTCTAAATTTCCATAATGTCTCATTTACATACTTGTATTTCCAACGAAATCTTGGCAGAAGGTGGTGGTAAATTGATAACCTGTAACAACAATTGAATTTGAGGAAAAAAGTTCAAGAAATTAAACAATTTCTTACCCAACGACATCTTCTGACAGCTGGTATTCAAGATGGATTTTCTGCTAATCCAGAAGTAAGGATCTTCTTTAATGACCCGAGTACATCTTTCTGGCACTGGTTTGTGACTTCGCAATGGGATGGAGGCCCACACGATGCAGTGCTGCAGGACACAAGTCCAGCAGGACTCGGACTCGCGGGTCCATCTCGAGTCACAATTTGGGTGACTCAGACCAAGGGCGGATCCAGGGGGGGGGGGGGGGCAAAGGGGGCCATGCCCCCCCCCCCCCCCCCCCCAAAACGAAACCCATTTTTTTTTTTTAATGTGACATCGCAATAAAGGCAGGCAATGAGTACACCACCATCTTTTCCTCAAAAAACATTGGTTAAAGTGCTCAGAAATTGCCTCAGATCGCACCACAGAGCATCTAGAATCCAACAATTTTTGGGGGCCCTTAAGCGGGCCCCGAACCTACGCCATAATTTTTTTGACCCACTTTTTGGGGGCACCAAACTTTTTTTTGGCCCCTCCCAAAATTGTGTTCTGGATCCGCCCTTGACTCAGACTCGACTCACATTGGCAAAAGACTGGAGACTCGGACTTGGGCTCAACCCAAGTGACTCGAGGCTCAGACTCGACTCAATTGACTTGAATGCAACACCGTGTCAATGTCCTTGGCTTTGAAGCCCCGAGTTGGGGTGTAAAGGCTGAGGCAATTGGGGCTTACCAGAATTTCCCCATATTTCCAAAATTTAACTCAAAAATCAAAAGGGAAAAACAGGAATTACACTTTGCCTTTTTTGAAAATTATTTCTACATGATGAAACATTTATTTTTTTAAAAACAAAGAGACATTATCAAACCCCCTAAAAATACAGTTATATTTAAATTTTGGATATTGTTAACCCTGTTTAAAATGTAAGGCCAAATTAAAAAAAAACATGTTTAGCGTCCCCAACCGCTTCCTTTTTGGAGGCCACCTCCTTTTTCAATTTTTTTTAAACCAAAAAAATTGATACATTTTAAACAGTGACATCATTTTGGCCTCTTTGTCTGTTGCATCTAGCCCATAAAAAGCTGGTATGTCATTTCCTGAGTCCAATGGCGGCCATTTAAAAAGAAAAATACTGGCGGCCATCTTGAAAAAAAGCCCGGTCAGGCAGCCATTTTGGCGCGGAAAAAAAGTTCCTCCCATTTCCTTTTTTCAACAAGGCAGGACGCTAAATTTCTGTTTTGTTTTTTGATTTGGCATACCCTTATTAGACCAGGAGAGAATGACAAAAAAGAGGCAACCCTTAAGATCCACTTAAATCAGTCTTATTGAAAATATTGAAATTTAAATTCATTTCAAAGTCTATGGATTTCTTGTGTTTCTATGTAATTGAACAAAATATTAGGTTGGCAGTGCCTTCTATGTTTTACTAAAACCAAATTATTCTTGGGTGACATGTCACCACAAATGAGCATAAAGTCAGACTTTTTAGTAATTTACATTGCTTGATTTTTGCAGAACAAGAGCTTTCTAATGGTGCACATAAAACAAGTGGGGTTCAGTAACAGAAATATAGACCGCCAACTAAACTGAAGTTGTAAAACTGAATATTCATTTGGAGAAAATGGCATTTAAGTATCTTGCTATTGTATTACACTGAATGAACAGTCAACTAATTTAAAGGGATGAGAGTAGGTTTTATAGATATTTGATTGACCACCAAAAATTTGGAAAAGGTAGATTAGGATGTAGAGATTAGGGTTCACCTGAAAACAAAACAAATCAACCACCCATTCAAATTTTGGTTTGCCTCACGGAGTTGCAGAATAGCAACTTCAGATTTTACGCTCATTTGTGGGGGCAGGTCACACATTAGTTTTGACTGGAGAGATACATTGCTACGTACATGAAGTGAGACTTTTTTTTTACAGTTTCATTAGATCAAAATCCAATCATTATCATATATAAAAATATAATTTTAAATTGTCCTGAATAATTTATGATGAACAAAGGTATTGACAAAGTGGGGAACCACCTACATAGGGCTGGATAGCTCAGTTGGTAGAGCACTGGAACGGCAATCCGGAGGTCGCAGGTTTAAACCCCGCTTCAGTCAATTTCTTTGTTCAACTTCAAATAATTTATGTACATGTACACATTAAATTTTCTTCAACACTGATTAATAATAAAGCTTTTAAGGTCATGACAGCAAAAAATCAGGTAGAGTTAAGAATCACGTTCCCATATCCTACAAACATCTACATTCATGAGTAAATTAACCTAAAATTGAATAACTTAAGGGTAGTTATGTAATGACCGAGACAGAGCATTTAAGAGCTCAGTGAATAAAACAGAAGATGCATTTTTCAAATTGTATACATCCATCATCTGGTAAATGTCAAGGAGATTACAGACTAGGAGTTTTGGATCATTTCTCTGAATCATTATTTGGATATCATGGTTAATTGGCCCGGTTAATGACATTACACCTCCTTTGATAATGATGGCATTTTCCTTTGTACTGTTTGTGCACTGCACTCCACACACAAGACATATTTGCATAGATCAGGTGGGACAGAATGCAGAATAGACACCAAAAAAAATATGCAGCGCATTCTGTTTCGATTTAGAAACTTTGCAGCACCAAGGACATCATTCTATTGTTTTTGTTTTTTTTGGATTTTTTTAATTCAGATTTACAAAACAGATGTGCACCAGGTTTTTGCCCAAAAGGAAAGGACAATGTCTGGCAAAAAATACTACAGAGTTTGCCCCAAAAAGTGCAACATTCAGGAAACTAATAATCCAAACTGTTTAATGTGTTTTTCTTCAACGAAATTATATATTATTTCATAAGATGAATTTGCGTCGGAGTGATGTAAATGGATATTAGGTTTTTGCCTTGATGTATAATTGGGCATGCGTGCATTTGACGCTACTTTACAGTGTTTATACGTCAGTCAAGGGCAAAAACCTAATATGGAAATTATATATTACATTAAAGCCGGACATATTTCTCAGTCCACTCCTTTTTACCCCATTCCATTTGGGTCCCTAGAGATCCAGAAATGCAATCAATTAAGTGAAAGGGTGTACATTTTACTTGGGCCACTCTCACCTGTGATGTCACCAACTTCATACAAATAAAATTAATTTCGTCGTAAAATCACACAAATTGAGAATATCGTGGGAGAATTTTTTTTAAGAGAACGTAGCGCGCATCTGCCACACTTTTTGTTGATGGGTTAAAAAACAAATGCCAAAATAAGCAGAAAACCCAGGAAATTCCATTTACTCACCTTTTCAGAATGTTGGTCTTGACATTATTTTCACCAAGTGCATCGTCTTTTCATTTCTCCCACTTTGTTTTGAAAGCGCCTCGTGCTTAGAATATCGGAGGCTTTTGGCTTGCGCTCTGGTGCCTTTTGAGAGAAAGCCTTCATTTGTGTTCAACTAATTGAACTGAAACATTGGAAACCCATCGCAGACAAAATCTAGCCATTTTAAATTGAATGACCAAATAAAATTGGAAAAATTAATCACACACTTATATCGGAGATTCACAAAAACAAAAACTAGAAGTTGCACAATCTAAGAATTAATGGATATTTAGAATTAATAAAGAATATATGGATATTTACGATTATATAAATACATATCATTTTTTTTTTTATAAAAAGCTTGTCTTAGACCCTCAGCACACTAAGTTTGAAGCCAAGTTTTCAATTTGTGTAACTGAATCTGGAAGGTTTCTTAATGTAGAGTTGTTTGGTACTTGGCAGGTAAACAGTCCAGAAGACCTGGCGAAGAAAAATTTAAATCAGGAAGAAAAGAAGAGAATATTGTTTTACATCACCCAATGTAAAACAGTTGAATAAACCACAAATGGAAACTGACTAGGTGCCTGCATAATGGACTGATCCAGTAAGCCCTGCCCACTGCGCACTGGGCTAACACGTGCTCCTCTCCAATGCCACGATGCATTTTCCTGCCGCGCGCATCATACGCGCGTGCACGCATGTCGGACTTTAGTGCACGCACGTCGGACATAAATCACGGCTGTGATTGGTCAGAATACCAAGGGGGGGGGGGGTGCTTACTGGATCGGTCCATTAGTTGAACAACGACATTGACTGGAGTGAGATTTGAGCCTGCGACCTTCGGATCACCATTCTCACCCTCTACCAACTGAGCTATCCAGCCCTAACTGAGCTATCCAGCCCTAACTAAGCTATCCAGCCCTATGTTGGCAGTTCCCCATTTTGTCAATATCTTGGATTAGGGGTGCTAGCCAGAAGCCATGAACCCATATAAAACCCAATGGCATTATTTTCTAATGACTGAATGAAATCTGTTTTCAAAGAAAATGTCGGGGAGTCAGGTTGGTGCAGTGGTCCTTTCCAGGCCTTCCACCTCTATGGCCCTGGTTTGATTCCTGCCCTGGGCCACATGTGGATTGGGTTTTCAGTCCCTGCCCGATTCCATGGGTTTCCCAAAAATATTCTTCTGGGGTTTTCCTCCAATGTCTCAAACTGTAATTTCTTCTCAATGTCTTCTCTCTACAGGTTTCTTTAGGCTTTTGAGCTACAGTGCCTAGGGCGCTTTTGAGGAATCCTTGGTTTCATTATTAGAATATATAACATTAGTAATCACAATTGTTTTTTTAAATACAGAATTTTGTTGTTTACTTTAAAAAAAAAATTGAAATTACATTTTGCACCACAGTGGGGCAAAACCAAATTTGAAGGGGTGGTCAATTTTTTGTTTCCAGGTGAACTTAACCCTAACTCCCAAGCATGATTTACTAGGAACCATACCCATCCTGGCAAATTCCAACACCACATGGGAAACTGTACACACATATTCTGACTTTTGATTCTGGAGGTGTGCCAACCCAATGTAAAAAACTGTCAGTTTAGGGGTACTGTACCCATCCTGACAGATTCCAACAAAACATGCTGTTGGGGCTTGATGGGTTGAGTTCTGTTAGGGTTATATATGTGAGTCCTGTGCTACCTTTTCTCCAATTTTTTTCTGTTCTATCAAACATCTTTAATACCAATATGCATCCGTTTTTATTATTTGAGTGTTCATTCTCTGTAATACAATAGCAGCATTTATACTCCAATTTAGTTGGAGGTCTAAATTTCTGTTACCAAGTTCGGTACCCCAAATGTTATATACCATTAGAAAGCTCTTGTTCTGTAGAATCCAGAACTAAAAATATCTCAATTCTACAAAAGTCCACCTTTTTGCTCATTTTGTGATGACGGAACACAAAGTCTTTAAATTGGATGAAAGGCCTCATAGATGACAAAAGCGTGTTACTTTCTTTGCAAAGTCACAAAATTTTTCTTAGATTCAAGGGTCTGATTTTTTGTGCCTGTTAATTAGACTTTGCTCACCTTTACTTTGTAGCCATTCCTTGCTGAATAGTCTTCCATAGTATCGTTGACCCGTATCACATAAACAGGTGGCTATGATGTGCCCTGGCCCCATCAGTTTTGCAACCTTACAAGAAATGAGGAAGAGCAGTATACATGTAAACAGTTTACAATGTGTCAAGTAAATTGTGTCAATTTGTTTTCATCAGAACACTCTTGTGCCTTGCTGGATGAATACATGTTCTCTCGAGTCAATTCATGATCTACATGTACCTTCTCTTTGCTACTTCAAGTTGTGCCTATGCAACCTCTTTTTAATAACTGAATGGATAAATCTAATGGAGCTTTATGCATACTCATTACACTGTACATGCGCAATTAATCGGGGTTTTCCAATGTGCGGTCACAACTCTGGTCCTATTTAATCAATAGAGGGCGCACCAGCTGCAACTTGGCCAGCAATAACGATCGGGCTATAACTCGCGCACATCCTCATAGGTTTCCAATGCAGTCACATGGGGACCGCAAAGAGCCAGTGATTGGACTGTCGGCGTGCGGGCTACAATTGGGCCAACGGTAGCAATCAGGCTACCTTGAAAGCCAGGATTTGTTGCGGTTACGGGCTGAGGTCCAGTCACAATGGTATCGTGTACGCTGCATCCTCACGTGAAAAAAACAAACGAAGTGCTTTGGGCGGTAATGACTCCTGAAAAACATTTTGCTATCTTTTTCATGCTTCTTTGTGAGTGTTAGGCAGCAGTTTCTTATGGACTGGCTGAACAAAAGTTTGAGATAAACGGAGCTACTGGTGTAGGCTTTTCGAGTTACGGTGGTATTCATGTACATAATATCCTATTCTCTTGATGGGAGTGGAGTATAACTTCAAAATAAATGGAGTTTCAAGTTTTCTGAATTTGAGTTAACAAGAGTTAACTGTATTAGAATTTAATTAAAAGAACTGATGAGAGCAGGATTTGAAATTCCTCCTAAACACCGTAGAGGCACTGTGCTTATGCAGCCACAAAACCCTATGTTGGTAGTTTCAAAATATTTCAATTTCTCATTTCTAGCGGGGAGATTGTCAGAAGCCACAAATGCATGCGTGCTAAAAAGCCATGTGAAATAGTCTTCAGTGCCTTAATTCATGGTGCTAGCCCCAAATCACAATGCTAGCACACCTGGGAATTTGAATATTTTTTTTCTGAGTGGAATTGATTTTAAATTTATGTTATTTGCTTAAAATCACCAGAGATACATACCTGCACAGCTCCCGCCACATTAAGTCCTGATGAAGCACCGACGAAGAAACCCTCTTCATGCAAAAGACGGAATGTCTGAAAATGTAACAAGTATAAAGAAGAAGAATTTTTGTTCAAGAGCTTTGAATGCTAGGTTCATACATTCCCAAAATATTGGCAGGAATACCCTTATCTATCCCAAATAAAAATTCTTGATGGCATCTGGAGAAATTAGCCCCGATTCCCTGTTTGTAAGAATAACCTAAGAATGAAACAAAAATAATCAAGAACTAGGTAGGAATCGGAAGCCGAATCGGACCGAACCAAGCTGAAAGATTGCGATTTAGGGCAGAATAAAACCAAATTGTATCGATTTTGTCAAGAAAACTTACAGATAACTCAAAAATCTTCCAGAATGACCCAGAATTATGCCGATTTGGTGTATACGTAAGTTATTCTTATAATATTCGTACATTTCTTGATACATTGGTTATGATTCGGCATGATTCTGGACTGTTAACACCAAAATTAACCTTACCGTCCCTACAAAACTTGTAAGAATGCTGTATAAATCCAAAATGCTCTAAGAATAGTCAGAATTAGTTATGAATACAACAAGAATAAACAAAGAATTGAAATTGATTCCCGAATCATCCTGACAATTGTCAGCCCGCTTACCGATCTTTAACGATGTTTTACCCAACTAACAGAATCATCCCGAGGCAGCCACGAACCATTCCCCGATTTACTCAAGAATTGCTATTCGCGGCGATTCGGCTTAAAAATCGGGAATGTGTGAACCTAGCATCAACTATAGTGTGGCTAGCTAGCAATACAAAGTAAATGCACACTAGTAAATGATGATAGGACTGGAACACACCTTAGGGTACATAGGAACACTTTCGTTTGGGCATTTTTTGGTTTTATTTGAAGCAACAAAGTTGTTTCAAATCTCATGTAGGGTGCGTAACAACTAACCTGATACGACACATTTTGAGAAAACTATGCACAATTGTTTGTCTTGTTATAGTGGAAGCTGTTGCTAGTGCTTCTGATTCAAACGTTACCCATTGCCCTCCATACACTGAAATGCACCCTCAACTAAATATTGTCAAATTAACCCTAACTCCCTAGGCCTTTTCGCTAGGATGTAGCCTCAATCCTGCAAAATCCTCCAATTGGCCTCATGGAAAAATAGCATATAGCCTCAATCCTGCAAATTCCTGCGTTATTTCTTGAATATGGTCCATGGAGGGGTGACCACTGCCTGAATCCTGCAATATCCTCCAGTTTTGACTGTCAATAGGCTGAGTCAGAGGTAGTGACATCCTGGAGCAGTGCGGAGGATGTCAAGCATAATCAAGGACTAAATTTATGCACGGCTGAGCATAAACAACACAAGGTCCGGCCCAAGACTTTGACACAGTGCGTACTCCGAAATCAGCAATGCACTTTTGCCATGTAACCTCAATCCTGCAAATTCCTCCAATTTGCAAAAAGGATTTTGGAGGATTCAGGGCGGTTAGGGTTGAAAAAAAAAGTGTTTCCTTTTTAACGACCTTCAATGATTGTTTTCTTCCAAACGATGCCATTTCAGGCCAAATAATTTCACAGGGTATTTGGTACTAGTCCTACATTTTCCTCAGCAAATCGGTAGGTTCATTTTCTGATACACGTAGTTACCGATATTCCTACGTTCCTTTAATGGCATCGCCGGTTGGTAACTCACCATATGAACTGCATCCTTATCATAGATAGCCAGCGCATCGTCCACGGGTGCCTCTTTGAAGTTGTCGGTGACCCGACCTTGACCTATGCCCTCTGTAATAGACGAGCCCTCAGTCCTCTCTATCTTGCCGTGCTTGACGTAGTTGTACAGGACGCTACCCTGCGGATCCGCCAGGAAGACTTTGACTTTGGGGTTCTTCTCCTTGAGAAATTTACCGACACCTGGTCCAGAAAATCAGAGTATTAAAAATCTGAAATGAATATAATCCTTGAGAAGTTTGTGAATATAATTCTTTGTACAATGCAATCACTTTTGTGTCACCTCCAACTTTAAAGTAAGTGATGAATGCTCCTTTTTTTTTTGTAAACAACCTTTGTAAGCAGGACACGTATTGTGTTTATAGGGTTACATGCAAGTTCTGGACAGTGGTTAGGTGTGCATTTACGGGTAGAACGGGAACCAGGTACCCAATTGAAAAACACGGGTACCCGGGTACCTGTTAAAGAAGCCCAACCCATAAATTCAAATCTCGGAAGTTGCTGGTCAGATTGTTCACAGAGGTCCACCGGACAATACTACCACATCTGTGTGTTGATACAGCAAGATGCAAGTGTGTACAGTGAGCTTATAGCTTTACGGTGTATAACTTCAACTTTCGCGAGCATCGTAAACATGATATCTTTTATTTCATGTTATTTCATTTTTAAAATCCTGCGTAATTTGTTATTGGTTACAAGTACCCGATTCCATAATCTCGAACCGGTTCCTGACATTAACGGTCAGGTACTTGAGTACCAGGTTCCGATGCACAGCCCTAACAGTGGTCCATATACTAAGGTCATCAACCGTAAGGCCCAAAAAAAAAAGTCTCCGGTTTCTGGTATGCGCGCGCGTCGCCGTAGCCATGCGCGTCGGCAAAATGAAAAAAATGTGTTTTTTTCAATAAAAGATGATGTCTCAAAACCGCCAAACTCACTGGTTTGACTGGAATCCTGCTGCTGCACAATTTTAACGTGTTTTTAGATTGGGTTATGGTCGAGAATAAGCTTTATGTGGCCTCTCTGGACTCCCATATATTTGCACTAAGTTTAGTCGGGCACCATTTGCAGTCATCAGCTGACATTTGAAGCAAAAAAATCAGGTAAAAAAAAAAAAAAGCTGCGTCGCCGCACCACTTTTTGGGCAAGCTCTATACCAGAAACCAGAGACTTTTTTTTTTTGGCCTAAAGGAGCCTGTTTTTGTAAAGGTCATTTTTGAGCTGGAGATGGAGGGAGGGAACAGAGTTGTACAAAAAGTTGTATGCTGATAAAGATATTCATAATTAATACGTACGCAAAGTCTTAGCTATATCTAGGGAAGCTTTGGAGAGTGTTTTCCTATGCACTGCTAACTGAGGAACTTACGCTTTAAATTTTACATTTTCAAAATTTGATGGTTTGCATGAATACTTCATCACAGTTGTATTGAAAGAAGGTGGCTCAGAAGAGAAAGTCGTTCTGTAAAGCAATATTCTGTTCGAGGCAACCTGCTGTATAGTGTAATCCAGCAACAAAATTAGAAGCCATTTTTGAGATGGTGCCACTCTCACGCGAACGCAACATGCATTCTTAAAGATGAGGGGCGCACATTTTGGTAGCGGTATTGCTTGAAGGAGCCCAGAGTGCTTGCATAGTGCATACTACCTGAGCATGACTCACGCGAGCCTGGGACCACAGCAGTGCCACCTCAGAAAATGACTGTCGCCGAATTAGTTTATAGAACTTGAAGGCCATATTTACCTGCTAATGTCCCTCCTGTACCGGTTGAAAAGACTACAGCATCAACCTTGCCGTCTGAAATAAACACAAAGGAGGTAAGCACATTCAATTTATTAAAAGGTAGGGTAGATCATTTGTCATTTGTGCATTTTTTGTTTGTTTGAAGCAACAAAAGCGCTCAAAATTTCAAGACGGGTGCTAAACCACCAACCTGATGAAGTTAATAGCTCTGTGGATGCTGTATATTCCGAGAAAACAATGTTCTAGGATCTCAATTTCAATTCAAAAACTGCGGAGTCGTTTTGAATTGTGCCCAAAATCCTTGTCTGGGACACGTTCTCACTCAGCCGATTGCAGCTAAGCAATGTCACGCACTGGACCGATGAAAAATAGCAACCATGCGTCGGTGCAAACGCTTGCGCGCCCATTCACGAATTGGCCAAATTACAAACCAACTACTAACATGGAAATTTAACATATTTTTGGAAATTTCAAAATGACAGCATGCCAGAAGGAATAATTTCACAGTGAGTTTAGTGTCATTACTATCTTCCAACCAAGTAAGTTTTTCAAAAATAATTTTGTCAGGTACCTTCTGGGTAGCTGCAAATGCTATACTCTAAGACAAAGCATTGCCTGGCCATTCCTCTGCTTTCAAAAGACTGCCTCTTATTACACTCTTATTACAAGTGAATAAAACTGGTTTGTCCTTCAGCAAGACAAGTTATTCTAATTTCTCTTTAACCCCTTAAGGACGGTGTAATGGGGACAATCCTCCACAAATAGAGCTAGTGGCCTGCATGACTGCACAGCCTTTGTGTGGTAGTGGGACTGCACAAAAGCAGCAGCTGTGGAACTACCCACTAGCTGTGTGCCATGGCATACCACAGCTGGCAACTGCATTCCAATGAGGATTAGCGGCCACGGCCATGACTGCTTCCCGTACGCATGGGGTTAAATATCTAATAATAAGTATGGCTTAAATACAAATGCAGATTTGCTTGTTGGGTAGGGTTAAAAGATCCAAAATCTAATTTGAAGATCTACTTTTTCAGAGATGCGTGGAAACCTGTTCGCAACTTTTGATTTGACTCACTTTTAGTCTATAAACCAGTTAAAAGTGCAATATAGGTTTAGTGAAACATAGTACAACTTTATCAATATATAACCATGCCTGATCCTCCCTTCAATGAAATTAGCTAAACCTATTTGTATAACGGTTCTGTAATATATATCTAATACACATCAACATTTCCCACAATGTTGTTATTGGTGTTTCACCTGTTTGGTCCCATATTTCTGGTCCCGTCGTTTCATAATGGGCTCTGAGATTAGCCGTGTTGTCAAACTGGTTGGTCCAGATGGCGTTCTCCAGACTCTCAGCATATCTCTTGGCCTATTCAATGAAGACAAAACAGGAATAGCGTTTGAACTTAACCAAGAAAATACTTCCCAAAAGCACTGTCTATCCGCTCCGTTCACAAGTGTCCCCTCACCGGCAAAGAAAGTACAGTTGGGGGTGACCGACCGACGCCATCTTGCCTGACTGCAATTTTGCCGCAAAGCGCGACCGTACCACTGCGTGTACATAGTACAAATCTCCTGGTGTACGTGCTTCACACACAAGGAACAGTGCGCGTCTAGGGTTTTTCACTCTATTGTCTCACTCATCCATGTTGAAATCAACATGTCCATCGTGCATGGGACCGAGTCAGACAGAACACAGGTCGACAAGGCATGGGATTCTAACTTACACCAGTTCGTTGGCATCTCAACCCTGGTCCCAAATGAACTTTAGTTTGCAATCGGTTACATATTCATGAATGGGCACAGGCCAGTGATATTGACCCCTGCATACACGCGGAGAAGTGGTGTGTGCGAGCACGAAGGAAATTTTGAAAGGAAGGGCTTTTAACGGAAACCTTGCTTAGCGCTGAGAAAAATGAACATGCATTCTCACAGTTTTCTCAAAAAGCATATCTACTGAGCTGAAATTCTGACAGATTAGTTGTTAAATAAGCTGCTTCAGATTTACTGTACTGGTGTTCCTTGCATCAGCAAAAAGACGGGGTTGTTTTTTAGACTGGGTTGTTTTTGCAAATGGTATATAGATATAGTATATATAGATTTTTTCCAGGCTATTTTAAAACATTTGTCATTCAAATTCACCACCTCTAACATTCTATTTCGTCCTAGAAAAATTTCACAGGCTTTTAACAAAACCAATTTAGTCATTTGCCATTCAATTTCAAAGTTTGGTCACCCTCTTTAGTCACCGGGTTGAGAATATTCGTCATTACAGATCAAATTCGTCTAAGCTGTTGCCGAATGGCAGAATTCAGAGATCGAATTTGTCTTATATAAATTACTTAGACGAATTTGATTTTTGAATAAAAAGGTTTGGCGTAGACGAGACGAAACAGAATACTCCGGTACGAAAACGTGTGCTCATTGTTTGAATTTGCTTGAAATGAATTTGAAATTGTCTGACAAAAGACGAAATTAAACAATGGAAGTGCTTTAAATTGATGTTGCTGGACGAATTTGAATATTAGAAATGGTGAATTTGAATGATAAACGTTTTAAAATAGCCGGGAAAACCTATATTGCTTTCAAGGGCTTATTACCTGATGGTTGTAGTTGTCTGGGTCTGTGAAGGCTACGGCTGGCACTGGATAGACCGTGGCTCCAAGGACTCGTAGTAAATCTATCTTCTCTTGAGACTGGGTGTTTGGCATGAAGATGACGCACTTGAAGCCCATGGCGTTGCATATGTGAGCTAGGCCGATACCTGAAAGGTTTGAGACGAGAAAACTTTCATTCAAGATGGTGGGAAATAGGAAAGGTTGGTCATTTAAGAATTACAGAAAAAAAACAGAAAGAAAGGACAACTTTATGCAAGGACAATTGACATAGGCCAGAAATCAAGGTTGGATGCAAGGGAAAGAAAACGGGTCATTCATTGTTGACAAGAAAAAATAATTTTTCAAAATTATTCATTCAAGTGACAGATTCAGATTTTGGTCAAATAACGCAAAGATTTTTCTATGCTTGAAACATCACCCCTTTTTCGGGACATATCTTCCTAATTTGTCAAAATACTACACTATACAGGAAATTTAAAAACAGATCGCAGGAAATTTAAAAACAGATCGCAGATGTGACATGCTTTTGCCAAAGAGTTGATTTAGGTTACTGTGGACAATTGTTTACCTGTGTTGCCTGCTGTACCTTCCACCACTGTACCACCAGGCTTGATTTGACCTGAAGGAGAGACAAAATTAAAATACAGCAAAATGAGAGTTTTGTGACTATTTAAACCTAAACTTCCCAGCAAGGTTCCAACAGAAATCTTAAAAAGAAATTCCATGACTTTTCCATGACTTTTCCATGACTTTTCCATGATTTTCCATGATTTTTCCATGGGCTGGTACCATTTTCCAAAATAGGGGGTGCTCTTCAAAACCGGCCGTTATGCACACTACGCATTTTGTTAGGGGTTTTTGGGGCTTCCTTGTTCATATCAGAACTCTCCATACCATTAAGGGAAATGGTTACTGAATAAAAAAAAAAAATTGTTTTTTTTTTTTTTTCTTTTTTCTTTCTGGTAATGAAACCAAGGATCCCTCAAAAGTACCCTAGGCACTGTAGCCCGGAAGCCTGAAGAAACCTGTGGAGAGAAGACAATGAGAAGAAATCGCAGTTTTAGAGGTGGGAGGAAAACCCCAGAGGAATATTCTGGGGAAAACCCACAGAATCAGGTAGGGACTGAAAACCCAATCCACATATTGGCCCGGGCGGGATTCGAACCCAGGTCACAGCTGTGGAAGGCGAGGAAAGTACCACTACGCCAACCTGACTCCCCGAAATTATCTGAAATTTTAGGGCCAGTTTTGTTTTAATCTCGAGGGGCCACATTTATGCTGGAGGAGGCACTTTAATGTCTGCAAGAGGGGCTCTTGAGTAAATCCAGATTCCAATCCCCCCCCCCCTCCCTGTTCCGCCGTCCCTGGTTTGATGAAATCAATCCTAGGACAAGTCGCGACCTAAGACAAGTTACCCTTTTTAAGATGCTCTAAGATGCATCTTAGCATTTTGTGAAATCAGCCTCAGCTTTATTAAAGGGAATATACATCATTGGCTTTTGCTGTAATTTTCAGAAATGAACTATTTGAGGGGTTACTATAATAGATCAAACATTGTTTCACTGACATGTTTGAAGTTTTGTGTTCGAAAATGCTGGAAAAAAACCAAGAAACACACAAACGGTGGAGTAGTCTGGTTCCCTGACTCCACTAAAGATAAAATGGACCAATTTATGGATGCCGGAAAATTGTAGGGTAAGGGAACCAGTCTAGCTGGCCTGCACCCGTTCATGAACATGTAACCAATGGCAAATTAAATTTGGAGTGAAAAAATGGTGAATTTGGAGCAGTAGTTAAAAAAATAGTTAGGTTTTTCCAACGGTGGTCGGCCGACCACCGTTGGAAATTTATACAAAAATACCATTTTCTTGAAAATGACTTCACACCAGGTGCCATAATTTTACAGGGTGCTTTAGACCGTCATTTACCAACATCCTAGTGAGGTATTTTGTTAAAACTTGGAGTTGTATTTTTCGATGTTTGCAAATGTTGTATATTCCCTTTAAGCTTCTGTTCCAACCCAACGGTGCAAAGGGTCCATCTTTGAAGGCCCACTGCTTACCTCTCTCAAGAGCATCTTTAATGAGAAAGACAGCTGCCCTGTCCTTGACCGAGCCACCGCCGTTTGACGATTCTACCTTGACTGTGATATCACAGCCTGTTTCTTCTTCTTCGCTTAGCTTCTCAAGACGGATCAGCGGGGTCCTAAAGAATTTGAAAAAAGGCAAAATTGGGGAAAAAAAAAATTAAAATCACCCTGTAACTCACAGTTATGGGGATACACTTCAGGGCGGCATATCATTTTTTTGGCGTTAGTTCATAAAAAAATTTAAAAAGTAAAATTTGGTGACAAACTGGTCCATAAAATGCAATGAATCTTTTGCAATTAAATTTCTTGCAATTAACTAGGCAATATTTAGTGGAAGGAAAGTCGATTTTTAGCAGACCCGAATTTTTTTAATGATTATTGGCACCATAAGTTCAATGACGTACGAGAGCTAGTGAGAATAAAGTACACAGAATTATTTAGGCTAGATTCAAGCCCATGACCTCAGGAAATAGTGCCGATGTCTCCCACAGCAACAACCAATTTCAGTGTGATATGCAGTAAGTTCTCATAATAAGATTGGCGTTATTTTGATGTTGAAACAGACATTCCATTAAAGGAGAAACAACAGTATCATACTTGCCAACCATGCCCACAAAGCCACTTCGTATACTATCCTGCAAGAAAGACAGAAACAAGGTAATTAAAGTGTGCTGACCTGAATGTTACAGTGAAACCTCTGGACAAATGGGGGGGGGGGGGGGGGTGGGGGGGGGGGGGGGGGGGGGGGGTGGGGGGGGCAAAGCTACTTCACACAAGCCCCATGCTGATGCATCAACAGGTTGCTAATGTACTTTTATCCTGATATTTAATGCACTATTTTATTTCTCAAAGTATAAATTCGATATAGGCGGACGTAACTGTGCATGACCTCTGGTCATGCGGGGTGAAAACAAATGCCATAGCGTATAGCTTTGCACCATGATAGTGCATTCACTAGAATGTTTTCAGAATGTTTTCACCGCACTAGCCGAAAGTGACGCGCAAGTTGCATCCTCCTATTGTCATGAATTGCAATATTTAATTTAGTTAGCCTTCACATCCCCGACATCTTATACCCAGATGCAATATCTGTTGTATTTAAAGTTGAATTACTTCAAATACTCCAATGGTTTATTATTCCAATGGCCCCCTCCCCAATCTGATCGGATGCCTGCCCAAGCATTACTTTTACATCATGCTAGAGAGGTTACAAAATGTAAATTCTGCACATGCTTTAACCATGTTTGACCCAATTCAAAATAAAAAAATTGTGCTTTGCAGAATCCGACAGAATCCAAATTTTAAATTTAAATTTTCCTTAAGTTATGACTTTCTCCAAAATAAAATGAGAAACAAAAGTCGAAACTTTATTCAAGATATTTATGACTATTTTATAGTATTAATGTAATGAGCCCAATTGGGCTCAAGTGACACTAAAATAAATAATTTAAAGGAAACATTCACAGGGCCTATTCACTGATATGGCAGTATGATTATCTGCTCTGTGCCCTTTGGACCCTATCAATATCATGTGGACACAATGGGCTGCATGCGAGCTGCTAAGTTACATGTACAATGCAATGTATTCACTATATGACTCAGCAGAAATTCAGCGCACAGCAGACCCCCCCCCCCCCCCCCCCCCCCCCCCCCCCCCCCCCCGGACCCTGATCGTGCAATGGAATGGCGTGATTGAAGTGGGCATTTGCCAAAAAAAAACAGGCTGGACTTTAATTTAAAAACAAACACGAGCATTGGTAATTATAACAAATACCTTGTCATTTCACTTACTTTCCAAATTGTTCGATAAAACGACTTTAAAGCCGGCAATTCTCTGCAGGCGTTCCAGACAAACTTTCTCCAGGGCGCTGCCATCTTGAACTCGAGCTAGCCAACTACAGAGGGCGCCGTCACGATTTTTCTGTTCATCGAAACAAACCACGTACGGTCCGCGTGCGGCGCGGCCGGTAGTCATTGGGGCTCTTAAAAGTTTGGTTTTTTTAATGTCAAAGCCGCCAAGCTAGTCGTACAGTTTATGCTGTAAATTTTCAAAAATTCTCACGTTGAAGGTATCGTTGTTTACTTCACTCCTCAGTCTCAACCCCCCCCCCACCCCGGATTTAACACGTCAGCCCCCCCCCCCCTGTGTGAAGCTGACTTGGTATATTTAGATGACTTGGTGGTACAATTATATCAGGGGGGTTTTCAGCGTCAAAAGAGATTGGCAGTGAACTTAGGCCTATAGTACGAGCTTTAAAAGTATGAGCTCATCGTGAGGTGTGAGCTTTTGGACCGACGATAATTATTATGCATTGCCTCATTTTGCGTGGAAAGTACGTCCATAGATTTACGAAGTGATAAAATTACCGTTCGGTGGTCCTTTTCGGATTGGAAATCGCCTAATAAAGTACGTCGGTCTTTACTGAAAGCTCATTTGAAATTTGAGGGAGTTCATATTGTATAGGCTACGGTTTTGCCATGATATTGGAACCAAAACGAGGCTAGGCTTGAATACAAAGCAAACTGTTGGGGCCCACAAGCCTCGAGGGGGGGGGGGGGCACTTCCGTACCAACAACTCAGGCGATCGTAAAATTAATCGCCCGAGCAAACAATATCCCTACAGGTGTCCCATTAAACGACTCCTAATGACACGACTAACGCCTTTGGTACAGATAAGAATGACCGATTAACACATCATCATGATTTTGACAGCTGGTTTATTGGCTCCAATTAAATTCCCATTAGGAATGATAGGATCGGTATTTACAGCACCCGTTTGGGGTGCGCTTTTAAACCCTACACATGCATTGCATAGGCCGCCTCGAAACTCGACTGGGTTGTACGCCGTACGCGTAATTTTTTTTCCTAGGAGGGTCAGGGGCAATGTCATGAATATTTCAGTTTTTCCTTTGAATCATTGCAAGACTTAGGTTCTCGTTCTATTTTCCCCTTAATTTAAAATTATCTCAGTGATAAATTTGGAGAAGAAAAATAGCTGATGAAAATGAGCTGCGACGACATGGATTCGAACCAGGGATCTTTGTATCCATAGCTCATCTCGCTATCCACTAGGCTACTGTGTGGTAGCTCGACGACAACCGTTCTTTAAAATGCTTTAATTTATTGTAACTAGTTGAGTAACTAATAACAATGCTGTTGATGTCATTGTCCGTTCTCATGGATAAACATGAATTATTCATGACATTGCCCCTAACCCTCCCAGGAATAAAAATTACGCACACCGTACGCGTTCTGTAGGATCAGTTTGATTGATTGTTCCACAATTTGACAAAGATTGCACAGTTTGGGGAAAGGGCCTCGTTCAATGGCATACATAGGATCATTTGCATTTACCCCCAAACGTAACCTACTGAATTAATATCAAAAAAGCTCAATTAGATTAAAGATCATACTGGTACCAAACACCCCGTGAATTCCATCGGGCTTGCTGTCATTTAGAACAAAATAATCAAGTAATCTAGGTGAATTCCAACGTTCAGTCAATCGACTGTTCGTTGGAAATAAAGCTTTCTATGGACGAAATCGTGTTTCGTGATCAAAATGTTGTGCATGGTGTGTGTGTGGTTTTTTCTTCTCCGGTTTTTGGAAAGTGTAATATCTACTTATATAGCTGAAACAAGCTAAGTTTTTAACATTTTTCTTTGGATTTTGAGTAGTGTTTATTATTGAAAACGAACATGCAATAGATCATGTATGATGTATGCTTTTAATGCATGGCAATAAAATGGTCGTGAATCGCGTGTTCACAAACGTGACACAAGTCTCAGATCAACCCAGATAACTTATTTTGACAGCTCTCGTTATCTACCACATTTTAGGACAACAGTCTGGTGTGTCATAAAGCCTCGCTAATTATCAATTTCAACAAATTTAGTATAGGCGTGAATTTATTTGCGGTAACGCACTACTCCTATTTATATTGGAGCTTGTCGAGGCTGGGGCAAAAGATTTTGATCTTTGCCGGCTGAAGGGTTGCTGTTTCAATAAAGAAAATTCGAAAACTTGGTATGTATACTGTCTTTGAATCATCTTATTTTTTAAATACAAAATACCGATCATTTAAAATGTTGCAGACCGCAAAGGGGTTAGCAAACAAACACCATGTGAGTCAATCTCTCTTACTACTACCCACTAAGCCATCCCCCGGAACCCCCCCCCCCCCCAAAAAAAAAACCCCGAAAAAATAAATATCAAAAAAATGAGGGGTGAATCATAGGGCCTACTACTATTAAATTTAATGTATATTAACAACATGGACTGTTTTCAACAAAGCGTCAAGTGATGCCTAGCATCCCCTCTCAATTTTTCCAAGGCCGGTGATTTCTTAATTTGCTCCTGGTGAGTGCTTTACCCCCCCCCCCCCCCCCCCCACCAAGAAAACTTCTGGCGACGCCCATGCTGCCAACAGTTCATCTAGAAAGAAATCTGTACAGGCCTAGAAGATATTGAAATTCACATTGTTTTAATCCTAAGAAAAAAAATCATATTCCAATGCACTTTCTTTTTTTTTGAACCCAGAGGGGACAGACTAGTATCCTTGTTCTACCTCACTCAGGCTCGGGTTAAGCGTTTCGTAGGCCCTAGGCACCATGTGTTCCGTAGGCCCTGCTCCACCCTAGGCACGGCACAAAATACATGCTATTAAAGTACAAAGCACTGTACAAATCAAGCCAGGGCAAACTGGTATAAGTCCTAGCTCTAGAAGCCTGTTGGCGCCAAAATAAAAAAAAATACCTCAAGCCCCCCTCCCCAACACGCCCCCCCCCCCGGATGAGAACCCTTACGCCCCTGACTACACACATAAACAGCCGACCTTATTTTACGGGGAGCCATAAATGCCATCAACTATATGATAAATCCTGAATGTACGATAACGATTATCTTCTCTTCCTACCGTAATAGCACCTTTTTATATACTCATCTTCAGATAACGCAATCGTTAATTGCATTTTAATACCCAATTGACACCATCCAAATGCCCCCTAAACGGTTTGAAAAGTCAACAAGGAACCAATCACTATATGTATATGGGGTGTAGGCCTGTTTAGAAAAAAAGACTGCAGACCGCTTTGTGTTTGGTCCATGCCCGCTATTGTCAAGATCATTTCATTCCTATATCTTCTGTATGTCGGAAAAGCAGTGCAGTTGGCAAGAATATACCAGGAATGAGTCCGTTATATAGCTGCGAAATTGACGATCATTTTTTAAGAAGGTAAGTGCTCAGGAAAAATTTTACTAATTTTTTCCCAAATGTTTTATTCCTAAAAAATTGGGAATAATCAGAATTTTGTTTGCGCGTATAATTGAAAAAAAAAAGTTTGAGGGTCAAAAAGGTTTTCTTATGAGATGAAACAAATACCTTATTTTTACGAATGTACAGAAAGTTCGGGGGAAAACACAGAAAGTTTAGTAATGGAACAAATTGATTGGAACAAAAGGATTGACAACTTGAAATATTCTTGAAAATAACTTTTCCAGGGGCGGGCCCTCCGGATCCCCTGCATTCTTTATATGCGATCTGCGTCAGTGATCAATAACCTTCTTGCCCTATACCCATGGTGATTATTATTGTTTTATAGTATTTTTTTGGGGTAGTCCTGGCCCTGCAAGGCATTTAGGTCTCATTTGCATGCATTGATCCCAAAAGTTACCGACCGAATTATTATCGAAAAGCTTGTTTGGATTACAGATCGTACTGGTACTTAACACCGCGTGAAATTATTCCGTCTGGCTTGCTGTCATTTAGAAGAAATCAAGAAATGTAGGTGATTTCCAACGAGCAGCCAATTGACTGATTTTAAAAAAAAATTGAAAATAATGAAAGCTATAGACGAAACCGTGTTTAGTGATCAAAATGTTGTGCATGGTTTTTCACTGTTTTCTCGAAAAGTATACTATCCACTGAGCTGAAACTTCAACGGGTTAGGCTTTGAACATTCGCCTTTGGATTTCGAGTGGTGTTATTATTGGAAACGAACAAAAGGCATGAAATGCAATTGATCCTATATGTCTTTCATGTGTCCGAATCATGTCAGTGGCGTTGGCGTTATAACGACTGACCAAAATTCGATGACCAAAGGTAATCAGGCCAAACATTTACCCTGATTTCAGGACAGTAGTATGAAGGTCGATTCGAAGGTGACGAGTTAATACGGAAACGTTAGTCCACTATCAATCTTTTTTCAGACATAGGACGTAATTTGATAAGAAAAAAAACCCTGTGATAATAACTTAACATTGCGTGAAGCTTGGAAAACAGGATGTGTACCTAACCGGGGAAGTTGTCTGAGATAGATAATTTTTTTTTTACGCGTGGGCCAAAATTGTGACGCACAAATCAATTCAGTATATAAACAGACAAAAAGGACCAGTTTAGTCAAGACAGTTATGACTTCAGTTTTGTTTCTGCTGTTTGGTGGATTTCCCTTGTGAATCACCATTGTGACTTATCGTCTGTTGAGGTAAGATAATGATTCTATACCGGGAATTCGGTAAAGTCCAGCACATCAGGGGCGGCGGAACGCTTTTCAAACTGAGGGGGGGGGGGGGGCAACACCAAAAGGGGCACTTGCTCAGAAAGAGGGGCACCTTCCGTCAGTATGAAAGTGGAGGAAAAGAGTATGGTCCCGTTCATTTCGCTATAAACCTACATGACGAGGAACAAATTATGAATACGTTTTCCATCTTGCTCTTTGTGTTTCTTTTACCTATAGTTATGTAGCAAGAATATTTTTTTTTATCGCGAGAGGGGCACTGTTGCTTTTGATGGCCAGTTCAGTGACAATTGTATTCGCGTGAAGAGCACTGTTATTTCTAGGCGCCAATTTAGGGGCGGGAACCAGTCGACCCTGCGGGAAGTGACTTATTGTTAGGTCGCAAGAAATCGCAATTTGTACAGTGATTATTCCATAACTAAACGCGGACCGACGTTTTCGTTCGATATCTCATGAATAACGTTTGTATAGTACAAGTAGGTCTAATGTATCAATTATCAAAGTGAAGAACTCTATACTTTTCGGGGTGAAACACACAAAAGATAGCACTAACAGTACACGTAGGCCTACATCTTTGAAGTGTTGGCGTTGCCGGTTGGCACTTGTTTCAGTTATGTTATGACCCCTATATAAGGTAAACATCGCAGTTGAATTATTTCTGTGCGTTTTTGTTGACCAAATAAAAAAATCCTTTCGCCAGCCACACTTAATATTTACACTCGCATTCCACTTCTATTAATTTGGTCCCCGTAGCGACATAATCCTCCCTCCTTTCACCCGAAGAAGCCCCGGCATCCACGGTATACATAACCCGTCAAGACCTTGCCGTTATATTTGATTTTTCGCAGGTTAGCAATCAGATTAAATGTGGCCGAGCAAAATATACCTTTGTGCAACGCAATAACAAAGCTGGTGCATGGGCTACAATGAAAACAGAAATTCATATAGATACAGGGTATGAATGTCATGAATGCTATGCTATAGAACTAACGGTGCAGTGTGTCACTTTTGCGTAAATTTATACGACGTCAAACCGGCCGGCGGGAGAAGGTTGATATACGGTAAGCTTTTTTTCGGTAGTGTACTTGGGGACCCCTTTCCTGTAAGACAACTAAATCCACTTGTATGTTATTGTGTTGAAAAGCAACAGGAGTATCATGGAATGAAGGCAGGGTTGTGGATTTAGAGGGAAATTATGAGGCAAAAATTATGAAGATGATGACAAAACATAAAACGAAAATAGAGATAGTCTGTAAGCTCATGCTCTAGGACAGTAGTGAATTCATAAAATTGCATTGATTCCCACGGCATCAACATGGGGAAAAATGGATAATTTAGTCATTTTTTTTTGGTCAAAGTACTATTGAAAATCTTGAAAACTAGGAGTAAGGAAGATTACTTAAGGTTGCAAAAGTCATTTTGGAGCAACAAAAACTGTTTTAAAACCAAAGAAATAGAGGAGTCCTAAAGTATACTTTTACTAGTTTTCTACTATTGGATTTATACCGCTATTTAATTTCTGACGGTTATCGACCATGCCTATACATTGGGTTGGACTACTACCTCAGTCGAAATTTGTCTCTGGGCCGACATGGCATGTAATGGCTTGAAGTGCAAAATGGAGAGTACCCGCTTATACCCGAATACCTCTTCAAAATAGGTTAAAAGGATAATTACAAGTAAAACGGACCTCAATGGTTGTTACTTTTATTTTGTTACTTCCGTTGTTGGACATCAATGAAGTGAACGTCCCCTCTTCGTCGCTTTTTTCCCGGTGGGTATCACTAATTTCAGTCAGCATAGCAGGAGCAACACCCACTAACCTTTCCATTTCGTATATTCTATTGGTGCAGGATAGACGGTGAAGACACAACACTAAGTCATGGCGGCAACCAACAGCTGTGCGATGGGCGACTTGACTTCGGAGGAACTTTTCGAAGGTAAGTCATTTTTCCCCTTTCTTCTAGAATTAAATTTGACTGAAAAAAGGCAGGCATAATTTGCACAGTCCTGAAAAAGTTTGTTAATTGGGCTTTCATATCCTAGATTTTGATCCTGTCATTTTGGGTTTCGTTTTTTTTTTACTCACCCTGTAGGCCTATTTATAAAAAAATCAAATGGCTGGTAATTTTTCTTCCAAGTTGGGTGGAATAAGAAGGGATCTGTTTTCCCCCTCCGCCGTGAGATTCATACCCAAGGCTCAGCATTGTATTTAATTCTATATTTTTCAATTTCTGTTCAATTTACCTGATTTCTTGTCCTCTGGTTTGCAGATATCGGCAAGAGTGCCGCCGCCATTACCGCCATTGTTCTACTGACGGCCACGTCCATTCTAACCCTGGCGATGTTTATAGAATCAGTCTTCAGCGCGAACAAGAAGATCCCGAACAGCAGACGCAGGGTCCGGCTCATCATAATGATGGGAATCTACCCGGTAAACAATAAAATTATTACCTTCTCTCAACAAACCAAAACCACGAATGAAAACCACGAGACCCGTCCGTCAAACATCAGATGTTCATCATTCACAATACAACAAAGTATTTGTAGACCTATATTCTGTTAAAAAAAACAACAACATGTGTCCATACTTTGGGGTGGGGCACCACGAGTATTGGAAATTTTGATTTCGATGTGATCTCCACAATGGGGGGGGGGGGGGGGGGTGTCTAAACCACCTCTTCCCTCCCACCGCCCCCCCCCCCCAAAAAAAAATTAGGAATCTTGCTGAAAAACACGACAAAAATGCCTGCTAACCCCCTTTTCTAATTGGAGATCACAACGGTCCATGAAAATTGAAAATTAAGTTTAAGTATGTCAATTTTCAAATTGGGATCGCCCCGTCAAAATGAAACAAGTTTTGGGAAGATCGAAAGTAGTGAAGAGTACAGGATGTGTTGTTAAGCTCAAAAGCATCTCTGCTTCACAAGGTAGTCGTGAGCAAATAGACATCTGCTGAGAAGAATTCGTCAGTTCGGAGCAAGGGTTAGGCCTATAATCGCTATGATGTGAACTCCAAAAGACAAGGAACGAAACCGATTATATTAACAACGATATTGTGACTTTCCCAACCCAATTTTTAATTCCGTTGGAATTTGAAGACGGGCGATCCCAGTGAACGTTCTTGTTTCCCGTATTTTCCAGCTTGTACAAATCAATTTATAGGTCAATATGTTACTCTTCTTTCTAAATACGATAGACGATGTCCGTTACTTCAATGATATCCCTGTACGTTCCAGCGGCACATCTCCTGAACACTCTGGTTGCGTCTGTGTGAGTGAAAATGCTCTCTTTATTAATGTGCACGTTAGACTTGTAATACTTCCAAAAGAGTGCCATTTGAATCGCATTTCTGACGTTGCTTTATGGCATTAACTACCACCTGAGGATGATTTAACACATTTTGAATGATAACTTCCTGTCTTTGAGTTTAGTTCTGCTGATGATTAATGCCTGATTGTGACGGTGAGTCCGTTGTCACTGTTCGTTTCTTCCATTGTTGTCTTTCAAATCTGTATACTCCCAATACTCTTAAAACCTTGGGTCGGATTTGACATGCAAACAGTCAACCTTGACTAGGCATTTAGATTCAGTTGAAACTGGTTAATTTATCCATAGAGCTAGGATCTATCTATAGTTCTCTTCGGAAATAGAGACACTCGGTATAGTTTAATTAAATCAAAACCGATCGGCATGTGTTTCCTATATATTTCCGGTCGGTTCTTTAGAACTAGAGAAACCGTATCAATATATTGACTGTGTCGTTTTGAGACTGACGGGGCAAACCCTTTTCAGCGAAGTTTCATGTCAGTATCTCTGCCCCTCTTTCCCGTAGGTATTTCTCGGTGGCGCTGTTTCAGTTCCTCATGCTCATCATCGACTACTACGGAGGCAAGGCGGCCGTGGTTGAAAAGCTTAAGGACCAGCGCATCTCGCTGGCCAGCCCGCCTCTCACCTGCTGCTGCCCGTGCTGGATGCCCAAAATCACCATGACACCGTAAGAAAAGACGCTGACAATTCATGTTCTCTCATTTAACCCTAATCCCCTCAACTTTTTTTGCTAGGAACCATCCTCAATCCTCCAAAAGGTTGCACTTATGTTCAAATGAAGGATACCCAGCGCCTCAATCCTTCAAGATTGTCAGACAGTCATGCCTCAAAATGCATTCATCCTCCATCCTGCAAAATCCTCATGTTTCTCAAACGCCATTCCTCCTTAAACACCATTCCTCCTCAATCCTCCAAAAATCCCCCAAAACCGCCAGGAGGATTTTGGAGGATTGAGGTGGGTTAACGTTAATCAAGACCAGTGATCCCTGGGCCCCTTGAAAAACCTTTCAAAATTCCAGGGGACAGAACTACTGAATAACTGTTTCGGGGTTTAATGACATTTTAATAATAAGGGCCTTGTTTTTTTCAGGGACTTGTTACAAGTGCTATAGAAATGTCTGCGTTTTTTAAGAGCGTGTGAGAAGCCAATGAAACAAACATTTTACAAGTTGTGTGGGCGGCACTCGAACTGCGTCCCGGGTAGTGTATGGGTACGAGTGCCAAGCTCTGGTCTAGCACTGAACTCAAAACCTTGCTGGTAATTCTGCAGATTGTGGGTCCGAGTCGAGGCTGTTGGGTTGCAGTGCACGATTGTGTCCTAAATCCACGCAGGGAAAAAAAAACTTGTCATTTAGGCCTATTGCTTCTCTCCACCCAGTAGTAGGGAGTAGGCATTGTACTGGTGGAGTGCCAGTGGAGCATTGAATTCGTGGTCTGCGGGTAATTCTGCAGGGTTGTGGGTTCGAGTCCAGCCAGGGGTATGGTGCATGTGCTATTGGGCAAGGCACTTTGTCACTCATTGCTTCTCCCCACCCAGGAGTAAATTGGGTACCTATATGAGGGCAGAGATGGTTATCGTGATTGATTTGAGCTGTTTCACGCCGAAAAGGCAGTATCGAGCTGTATACTTCCCAGGGAACTGAGATTGTCTTTGGAAAGTGTCATTACCCAATGAGCAGGGTAATAATGATGTAGCGCTTTGAGCACCAATATTGGTGGATATACGTGCGGTTTATAAATACACATTACTGTTATAGCAGATATTGTGATATTTTGCACCAATTAGCAGCATTGAGCTGAACACTCCACAAATAGTAGAGATGGTCTTTGGAATGTTTTATTGGCCCAGTGACCAGATGTTTTTACTCTTGTAAAAAAAACAAATGTTGTTATTTACTCTTTATTTTTCACATTCCTGGTTGATATAACAGATCCAATCTACGTAACCTGCGGCGCATCGTGATGCAAGTTGCCTTCATCCGTCCGCTGCTGTTCTTCATCTCCTTGGTGCTCTGGACAGACGGAAAATACACCCACGGAAACGTAAATATCAAACTTTGATGCCGCCCCAAAATTCCCTGACAAGGATTCAAAGTCATTTTTATAGCCGTCCGTTCTCTGCGACCGGGATTAAAACAATACTCGAAACATTTTGAGGAACTGTTCTCGTTGAGTCATGATATACTTCATGTAATGATTATATTACATTCGTACCCATTGCCCTATATTCAAGATCGCTAATTGCGGCTGTTAGTGTGAAGGAAAGGCCAAGCAGAGGTCTAGCAATGTCATTTTTGTGGGGGGGGGGGGGAGTAAACAGTTCGTGAAAGGGCACTCGCACATCCGTGCTGTACAGGTTTTTTTTTTTATCTCCGGACACTTGGCCTCCGTAAAATCAAAGGAGGGGCTGGTGTGGGGGGGGGGGGGGGGGGTGATTTTTTGGAGGGGGGGGGGGGGGGGCCTGGTACCATCTTCCAAAGGGGGCGCTGTTCAAACCAGACGATCATGCCACACTACTGTGGACAATTAATGTCGCTTTTCAGGGCGGCACAATTGCCGACGGTCGCGCGAAATTCCAAAAAGGGCACTCGTAAAAGAACGTTGGTAGAAAACGTCCTATATTCCCTGTAGATTTATGGGCTAAGCAAAATCAGCTAAGTACCAGTTGTATGCAATATAATAACAGCATTACATTCTTGTACTTATCAAATTTTTAACAGCTCCACAAATTTGGTAGTGTGAGTATCACCCGTTGTCCAACGGTGCCCTCTCCGTAACCAGCGTCTGATCATGTGAGAAATGCATATGCGACCCCGCGCGCCACAATCGGAGTCAACTTTAGAAATTGTGACGTCGTTTCGATCAGAAATGTGGACTGAACTGTTGGTTGATCAATGTTGCTGCCATGTTTTTTTTGTAATACAACAACGGGTTACCGAAGGCCGGTTGGGAGGCGCCCGCTGATTGGTCAGAATCTTGGTGACAAGACGCAGTCTTGTTTTGCATAATTAATCGCCGAATCTGTTCGCATATCATAGACCCTTGCTGAACATGAGGATGATTCCATATATACTATCAATTTGGCCCAGGCTTGTTCATTCAGTTTGTGCTCACAAGTTATGCGCACGCGAAAATGTCGATTATAGGTCATTGTCTATCCAATGAGAGCTAAAAAAATAATAATAATAACCGATACCAACGCTCCTGTCTACGGCGATGGTTACAAGCGAGATGGTTACAAACACATGTACTTTGAAATCACAGAGCAATTCAACCTCATCCCCTGTCCTATAGATCGCTATCGATGAGCCCTACATCTACATCACCACCTTCTCCGCGCTGTCTGGTCTCCTGGCCCTCTACGGTATTATCCTCTTCCTCACCGCCTCCCTGGAACCTCTCCGCTCCTTCCGCATCCGGCCCAAGTTTTTCATCGTGCAGATGGTGTTGATCCTCATCAGCACCCAGAACCTCATCCTGGCCATTCTGGCCGATGTGTATGTCATTCCGTGTGTGGCGCCCTTCAGCTCCGACTCCAGAGCCAACTGTAAGTCCGAAAAAAGTATAGAGTAAAAAGTAGGACAAACAAGGCTGCGTCTGCGGCAAGTGGCTTCAGTCGGTACCATAGAAGCATGTGTAATTGCAAGCCGTGTAGCCATAAACAAGCCAAGAAAATCGGACGTTGCCTGACATTAATGACAGACCACAAGGAGCCGAACTGAAAGCAATTTTAGCAATTAAGACGGTTCAAAATACATCATCAAATTGAAATGAAAATAATAGTTTAAAGAACACTACTCTTAGGCTGATAAGTCATTCTTTATTTTCGTGATTGTATGTGAGACCTTTGCAAACAGGCTGCCCTTTGAAATGAACCTTTTTCAAAAGGTGCACTGGCCGATTTCGGCGACGTGAATAAGTTCTTTCATATTAAACAACTCACAGTTTCACAAGTCTAACCTCGCTTCATATGGCGGAAAAGGAACGAAAAAGATGCCTTTTTTCTCTGACCTAAGATTGGACCTCGCAATCTAATATTGGAGTCCTAAACCGGATTGATTCCAAAATCCAAAGTGGATTTTTTTTCAATACTGCGAATGGTTTTCACACACCGAAAGTCCAATCCAACCCCACCCCTTCTCGAAGATATACCAGTGCAGGTTTCGTTTTGTGCTGAGAATTATATCAGTGATTTAGGTATCTAGGCCTGGGAAACTGAAAAATATGCCTTTACATAATTTCGGTGGGTCATTTTAGTGCCTTCAAGTGTTCCTTCCATTTCCTCCCTGCAGACATCGGTGATATGATGATCATCGTCGAGATGCTCTTCTTCTCGGTCCTCAGCCGCATGTACTTCCGGGGTCGCTTCGGCAACATCGATCTCATCGACGTGAACGCCCCCATGGGCGGACGGCTGACGAGTTACGGGCCTTACGCCGTGGTGACGTCGGACCAGGAGAAGCCCAGCGGTCCCCACGACGGGAAGGAGGTTGAGGTCAACGGCAACGCTCAGTTCAAGGTTGAAAATGAAAAATCAGGGGACCAGACCACTAAACTCGAACAGGGCAATGCGACTGAAGCTTGAGCTTAGATTGGTGACAGTGCCTAGGCCGTTATTAACATTATCACCTCTTCAATAATAGTTCGATCGTGAGTGCACATAGACAGTGCCTCGTACTTTGTTGTACTTCCTCCAAAATAATAAGCAACTTTTCTAACTGACTAATCTTCGTGGGCACGTGTGGTCTAGCGCCAGAGCACAGGATTCATGATCGTGAGGTTGTGGGTTCGAGACCCGTGGCCATGCGTGTTGTGCCCTTGAGTAAGGCGCTTTACCTCAATTACTCCTCTCAACCCAGGTGTTAAATGGGTACCGGCATTATTCAATGCTGGGAAGGTAACAGACTTGCTGTGGAGGAGGTGTGGCGATCCCCCCCCAATGAGTCTGGCCCAATCGCTATAAACGAAAGAGAGATGGACACTCCGTTCCTGTGAATACAGATTCGTCTCTTTTAATCTTCTTTTCAAGAATACTCATAAAAGGCTTGATTTTCTACGATTATCTTAATATGTTTTGCTAAAAAAAGTGTCGTGTAGTAGGCCTCATAATTTGAGATTTGCCCATGGCTGTACATTTTGCACAATTATTAACTTTCTTGAATAAATTGTGGTCAAAAATCAAGCTCACAAGTACACGTAGTGACTTCTATTAACCCGAATGTATAGCTGCTGTCTTAAATTAGGCTGCCTAGGCTGAAATCAAGTCTGTTACTTTAGTACAACCTTCAAACAGGATTTAATTCCAGCGGTTATGTTGCTTGCCACATTTCCAGAGGCGACATTACCTTTACTGATGAAAATCAACGACATGAAATGGGCTTGGGTAAAAATCGTGGTTGTGTTTAGAAGTTGTTTTTTGTTAAAAAGTATTTGTGTAGACCATATTTATTATACAGTTAGCATGACTATATATTTACTATTTTTCATATCAGTATAGATACTATTTTTCCACTTTCTGTAATATAAATAACATGTTGTATTTACTTTTCTGAAAAATCATGTGAACATTTCGCTAACATTTGCACAAAATGTAACCTGACTCAATAGTTCTGACGATTCCAGGTGTTGATGATTTGTATCAGTACATTATTACAACGCCTGTTTAAATCCCCGTCATCTGATTGGTGGGTCGTTGATCAGATGTCATTTAATTATTCCTCCCAGTCCACGGCCCGGCCGCACGCCGGTCACACTGTAGTGGCCAATCAGATGACGAGAATTTATTGTGGCGTTGGAAAGAATACTTTCATTCAGTGACAGATGGAATGTTCCATTCCACTCGGCCTCACCTCGTGGAATGGAACAGTCCATCTGTCACCTCATGAAATTAGTCTTACCATTGCACTCATAACATTCATTATTTGTATATAAATGGTGTAAAAATATCCTCTTATACTCTCACATTCGTAGAAAGTACGCACATAATAAACACTATTTATCATGCACCAGTGCTTGAAATCGAGCAAAGCAATAAATATAAAATATAAAAAGACCCCAAAAATTGCGATAGTTTGAGTTAATGGTTTTTTTCATGGATCGTCTTTAATGTTTCGTGTAGTCTTTCTTTGAATATGTTGAATTCCATTTCCATCAAATTTTGCAGATTTGTGCACAGATCGGGTATACTTCATTCATGTATGCATAAGACTTGTGTGCAATTCGTATATATTCGCAATATGGTCTTGTTGTTTACCTCCCAACAGGACCTTTGTGCCTCCCCAAAAGTCTGGGCAATCTCCGCCTCTCACGTCTCGTCCACTCAATGACAGCTGGATTCTAAAAACACGCTTGTGTGTAAAAAAAACCTATAAAAAACACCGAACAAAAACTAAAACAAAACAGAACAAACTCAATCACTCATATCAGGGCAAGCCTTAGCCCACTCGACCAATACTATTACCGCGTGTTCAGGAGACGATTTTAGAAAATCATTTGGATAAATTCAAAAGATATTGTGAGCCTTATACATTTACCATGTTACATTTGCCCCTCCGGACTGGTGGAATATTTTGCATTTGTGTCCGCCCTTCTACGCTGCTCCAACGCTGGTCATGCACGTGTACAGATATTACACAGAGATCAGACAGCATCAATAAACATGAGGAGCAGCCATGCGTGAAGCGATCAATTTTCGCAATTTTTATTCAAATGTCAATAAATCTCATGCAAATCAATTTTGCGCGCGGCAGACGGTATGTTGAACCGTTGGCGGTTGGTCCGATTGTTTTTGTTTACTCCACGGTTCAAGGTAAGGTTGCACTCAGCGGCCGTTCATTGATGATTACGACAGGAACAGATACCGTATTTCGATGATAAATTGAGGGAAAAATTATGAAAATATGTGCACAACCATGTCCCCAGAAGAACTCTTCTCACGGGGCGGAACACCCTAATTTTCATCAGCAATCTCGTGACAGTTTTGATTCTTATTTGATATGCATTATAGGCATTCGTGCATGCCTTGAGAAAATTTCAAAAATTCAGACCAATCGGACAGGGAGCAATTATTGTCATTGATTATTGACAATATACGGTCAGTGAGTGAGCGCTCACCGGTATCCCTTTTCACGTACGACCAATTGAAAAGGTTACGCAACCAAACGTTCAAAATTTTGACGTTTCTGATAAAGGTACGTCAACATTGTGTCCGCGCATGCGTAAGACATTGATCGAAACTGCCTCGCTTAAAGATTAGGTCAGCAAAATGCTGGGCGGTATACCGTACTCCGCCAATCTCTTTACATGATTATGTAGTTTACCAACAATTGGTTGGTTGATTGGTCCAAAGTCTCACTGGGCAATAAATATTCATCGTTTCTCTTTTGTGCATTTGTTTGTTCGAAGCAACAAAATTGCTCAAATAAGTAGGGTGCGTGACAACTAACCTTGAGAATGATTTTATAGTTCCGTGGCAATTTTAATTTTTTAGAAAACAAAGAAAACGTAATTGGGCATCGTACCCTGAATCAGTAGGCTATGTATTCTTTGTAGGAAACGCATCTCTTGTACAAAGCTTTAAAAATTAAAGGATTCCTTTTTTTCCCCGTTGATGTTCATATTGCCAATCCTGCAGACATGAAAACTCGCCTATATTCCAATTATTCATCTTAAATGTAATGTCAAACAATTAATCGAATATTTTTTTACTTGAAATCTAAATACTTTCATTTCTGCCTTTGTATTTCGTGCAGGAAAATAAAAACCTTGTTCATGTTGGACCAATCTGTACTGTTGAACGGCAAGTGAGTTTAAATAGGCCATAGGTCAACGTGACACACAGAGCATGATGCACATGCCAGCAAAACTTTCTCTGCCATTATTGACAATTCAGCTCACGCCGCTCCAGGGCGACCGCATTTGTAAAGCAAGCAAACAGGGAGACAATGTGCCCAAATGTTTGAACATTTTCTGCCGTCACAGCTTGTCCCGTTATATAAACAAACAGTTCTTGGGAAGATCCCTAAAACGAATCGCAGTCACGTACAAAGGTTTTCTTTGGGGACTGAAGATCAAATTGTTTAAGTTCAATGTACATAAACCACGATCCTAGTTGCAACACCATAAACCACCGAATTGTAAACAAAGATGGTTAACATGCTCTCAAATTGCAAAACCATTAATTTAATGTGTTATGAATCGGAGTCAACTACGGGGATCTGTAGGTGCCAACTGAGATGGTATACCAGGATACCGATATCTTATGTGTCCATACAGTGAGATATCGATATATTCTAGTGATAAAAGTGTCAAGATCTCAAGTTGGCACATCCAGAGCACCGTATCCAAGGATGAATGACACTCATAATTTGATTTGTGCATGACTCCTTTAACGCCCACATTGACATCAAGAGAGGGCGCTCTAATATTTAAACACAGGTGACATATCTTGTAATGATTTACGGGGAGAAATAGTTCTCACATCAATCATGCATGATAGCCATATCGAGAAAGGCCGAGCGACGTTAATAGCGCTATTAATCACTACTTAAACGAGAGATTATATCGCTTTGATTATGTACATGTGTTCGTGATATCAATAAACGATCGTTTTGCTGGCAAATATTTGTAGAAGGGGCAGTTTCAGGTCGTATATTTTGTTGGAGGTGATGATGTGCCAATTAACTGAAGGTTCGCATATTTATGATCCTTGCATCTTTCATTTTATAACCTCCACTGACATCATGAAGAAAAAAAATCCGTCCATTTTGAAGGCTTGGTTATTTTATACGTCACCTTACAATCAGCCAATCGGTGATGCTATATCCCACGGTTCAGTTCTAGGTTAAAACATGAAGGAAGCTCAGGGGTACGCCCCTACCCCTCCCCGACTCTGCCCAAGGCCTGTGCCCTCCCGTGCCCCCCCCCCCCCCGTGGAAGGCACAATTGAGCTGTTTATTGTTCAAACAGCGTTGAGTGCCCCTTCCAGAAACTGATGACCCTAAAATGCCCCCCCCCCCTCCTTCTCAAACTGGACCCCAGCTACGCCTTTGTTATAGCAGGCTGATAATGTCAACAGCGCAGATGTCAGACGATGTGAGCCATCGACTCCATCGGAACGCAGCAATGTACACTCCTCGAGCCAACTCCGCTTTTACTTTTGTCCAATTCCCCGCCCCCTATTGTCCCTCTTTTGTTTGTACTGCTAATGTGACAAATATACCTCTGCGCAGGGGGACACTGAGGTTTTGACTTTTCTGTGAGCTGCATGTTTAAAAGCAATTCAAAAATGAAACTGTCAAGATATCATGCAATGTGCTACTTGATTGCAACTAAATAATAAGATCATGCATCTTGTGAAATCCATCATTTCCTCGCGATGGCTATTATGACCAAACCATAGCGCTTTCAAGTATGCTTTGCAGTGAGAAAAATGAAGATGTGTTTCCACTGTTTCTTCAAAAAGTATGATATCCTGAAATTTCGACAGTTTTTTTTTACAACCTGCTTCAGTATTATAAGATGGAATATTTGTTTGCGTCGGGGTGATATAAATCAAATTTAACCTGCTTCAGATTTATTCTATTGTTGTTCCTTCAATCGGCAAAAACACATTTGTTTGCAAAAGGTGTCCAAAAATATATCAGCGATGAACCAAAGTAAATCTGCACCTTCCAAAAAGACAACTATCGAAGCGAATCAGCGCAGCGGGAAAAATAACTCTAGTCATTTCTTTCTGCACTGCTTCTAAAAAAAACTCAGATTGGTTCCTTTGTTTACCAGAGCACCTTGGCTCAACTTTCACTGTTTACTGATAGCATACCTTTTCCCTGTCTCTGGCCATTGGAAACCGTAGCATCCCAGCAAGGTCTCTCGACTGTAAAAATGTAAACAAGATAAATGCTGTTCGCGCCTTGGCGATACTTCCAATAATAAACAGATCATGTTCTGAAACCAAAAAAAAGATCGCGCCATTAGAGATCGCACTACCGATTCACAGAACCATTGCGACCGCAACCTACATTCATATCACCGACAACACTGAGTTAGACGACAAAAATGTATGATTGCATAATATCATAACGTCGCCCTGTCACGCCTGCAGGCATAGCGACCTTTGACACAGTTATCATTTTCGAACTTGTGACTACCATGCACATGGTGACTACCAGCATCCGTTTAATCAGTCGAAAGAGGAACTGCGTATATGTGTCGGCTCCAGTGTCATGATCTACACTGTAAAACGCAGAATCCTTTCTCTTGACGCAAGTGCATCTCAACCGAACAAGTAAGTCATGATGTATTAATATCTTTAATGTTTTTCTCATCGATTTTAAAGACCTTCTTTGGGTGGAAGAGAAGTGTTCTTCATTTCTCCATTTCATATTTGTAGCTTATAGTACCAGACATCCAACTGCACCATCCATGAAAAAGAAAACCCTTGAAAGATATGGATGAAAACCATTTTAGCATGTGATCGTGGGGCAGTACGTTTTCCTGATTTAATTTATGAAACCTTTGTTATTGATTAAAAAGGCCATATAATTTCCGGGGGTTTCGTTAAGAATTTCACTCAATGTGTTTGTCTAAAACAGGAGTAATAAAACATCAAAAGGTTTTTGAATGTTGCTTTTTTTTCAAACAGCGTCGATAACAATAATTCACTTTTTTCGACACAGTTAATGCATAGGATGCTTACATTTCGTTCAAAGTGGGTCGCAAAGGCTTTCAGAATACGTGTCGTAAAAACACAGAGCAAGGACTTACTATAATGGTCAAAATAAGGAATGGTTTTTGCCATATCTTCAGTTGAACCATTATTCCGACGGTGCTGTAAATTTGGACTGCATGTATACTAGCTGAGGGGATGGATATTTCGTCTTTCCGTATGTCATGTATGTACTGAATGTATTATTTTCAGGCCAACTTTATAAAAAAGCCTCTATGGCACTTCTGGTTAAAGGGAATGTACAACATTTTGATCTTGCTGCAATATTCAGTAGTAAAAATGGACTTGGCGGAGTAGAATGTTATAGCAAATATTGTTAAACTGACTTGAAGATGCTGGAAAAACCAAGAAAAACATCATGTTCTTGTAGTCTGGTTCCCTGACCCCACTTAAGATGAAACGGAGCAGTTTGTCAACTTTGGGGAATTGTATAGGTCAGAGAATCAGTCTAGCAGGCTTGCACCCCTTCACAGGTGTAAAACGAATTGCAAAGAAAATGCGGAAAAACTAATTATAAACAATTAAGAGCAGTTAAAAAAAAAGCCAGTTTTCTCCAACGGTGGTCGGCCAACCAGCGTGATGAAAAAAATACAATTTTTTCTTGAAAATGTCAGCACACCAGGAGCCACGATTTTGCAGGGTGCCTTAGAATGTCATGCCCTAACACTCCAGTTAGATATTTCGTGAGCTTTGATCATTTCGTTTTTTGATGTTTGAAAATATTGTATCTTGTAACGGATGTTACGGAATAATCGGAACGTTTCCGATGTCTGAATATTTTGCCAAATTATTCGAATCACATGCTTTCACTTCTGGAAATATTAAAAACATATTGATAAACTGTTGCAAATTTGCGATGTGGAACAAAAACAACAATGTTGCAAAACTACGCTTCGGCAGTCGTGAAGTTTTGCGATATTTTGAAAACAAAAAGTCATATCATGCGATTGTCTTGAGGAATGCAATATCTCAAAAACAAATCACTATACCGTCCAATTATGCCTTCAGCCTATGGAATTCTGTACCAGGTTCCGGTCCTTCACAGAGGTTCACACCCCTCCCCGCCCCTCCCGAACTAAAACCTGTTCCTTGCGCCAAAATGTATATTTTATATTGTGCTGCCTATTATTATGATTGGAACACGTAGGCCTAAATACAAAACTTCGGGGATGACGGACGAACCAAAATTACGAATAACTCAAAAAGTTTATCCTTTCGAGTTCGACAGAATAGAAGCAGACATTGTAATTTGCTGATAGATTTGCCAAGACAAGAAAATCGATGCTGTGATGGCCAATCCCAATGAACCGTCAATAAAACAATAACCAAAGCCCGTGTCACCAGGCGGCGTGGTGTGGTTCTTTGTTTAATGAAACAACACCAGAGGTTACAAGGGCATAAGGCAGGACTAATTATTTACAACCTGAGTTTTGATGGGCAAACACCTGTAAACTTTACAGGTGTTAGATGTGACGGTATTTATGAGGGGTTTTGACCACATTTATACGAGGGATGAGATACTGGCTATCAATTTTGGACAATGGGGTTTATACGTGCCCTTTGTTTGTGACCCCCTCCCATTCCCCTCCCTGTGCTGTAACCCCCGCTCCAAATCAACCCTTCCATAAATGTCGCTCTTGTTGATTTGACGAACAGTTCAAGAAAGGCAGGAGAAAGAACCGATCTCCCATGTAAATCAAGTTTGAAGCTCAGATTTTAGGGTGACACCGTAAGGTTTGCGGTTTGTCATTAAAAAGTGGTCTGTCAAGAAATGTTGCTTTTTAAAGATTCAGTTGTGAAGAAGTTTCTCTCGGAACCACCTTTTTTCTCGACGGGAAAAAAACCCATGTTTTGTAACTCATCCTAAGTTATAACCGTGGTTTTTTTATTTTATTTTTTTATAGTACTCGTACTCGTACCCGAGTACAGTTTTTGGTACTCGTACTTGTATTCATGAAAATGTGACTCGCAAGAAAAACAATTACTCGTTCTCATTACAAAGTACTCGTACTCCTCGTACTCTTGCAAATGTTCTCCCGCAAGAATTTGAAATTTTTTAAGAGCTACATATGCAGGAAAATAAGTAGTTTTGTACTGTTTAGGAGGCTTCTGCATTTTGTTCAATGCCTAGTTTGACAGCAAAAAGCCCTATAAGAAACACGTGACACATTACAATTTGCTCCTGCTTGTGGAACGTACTCGTATTCTTACTTGTACTCGTACTCGTATACTCGAGTACAATGTTTGATACCTGTACTCGTACTCGTACACATGACAAAGTACACGCACCCATGGTAAAGTACTCGTACTCATACTCGTACTCTAGGCTATAACACTGACTACGAACGATCAAATCTTTATTAAGTTAGGAGTTACAGCATACGGCAAACAGTGGCGTTTACCGTGGGGTCCAACTTACAGAAGGGAACCTATATAGGTTTTATTTATTTATTTATTTTTTTTTTTTATAGAAGTGGTACTTAATGGGTTTTAACAATAAAAAAGCTTTTTTTGTCATGGGGGGTGAACCCCCCATGACGCCACTGGTGGCAATCCTGTCCAATCCTAATCATACTTGTGGTATAACATGTTCGTATAATGTGTTCTGGCAAAGCTCTCCTCTGCAATGAACTGATGTATTAACTTCAAATATGCATCCATTGGATCAAAAGGATATGTTACCATAACATGACTCTAAACATCCGTGACAATCAGTCTAAAGTATTCATATTTGACTTCTTTTCTCTAATACGAGAAAAAAAATCAAATATGGCGAAGTAAAGGTTGTTAACTTGCAACGACAAAACATGGAACCCTGAACAAAATATGATTTCATCGACCATTCTTATTTGGGGGAACTTACATATTAAGTATTGTTTCTGGTTATCCATCGACGCGTGCGCATTTTTTCAGGTCTGACCTTGTTAGCACATAGCGGATATCTGACTTCTCAATCTAATATTTCTGCATATCAACCTCCTTCCCCGGGGCTGTTATCACCGTGTAATTACGTTTCTCGCGTGTTATAGTTGGTGGTGTTCTGTCGTGCCGTGTTGAAATTATGCATCTTTTTATCTATTATTTTAACTGTCAGGAAAGTAGATTGACCCCGAGATCCTGCAACATGAACTCGAACCCGGTCGTTGTTCTTGAGAATTGGAAGATAACGTATGGGTTATGTGATATGGTTGTTTGAATGTGGATGATAACATTTTCGAAAACAACCAGCAAAACTCATATCGCATTGTTCATTTTAATTTTAAATTAAAGGGGTAGTACGGCCTGAAAACCCCAAAAATTTCACGTTTTGGATTGTTTACTTATACTATTTCAAAGGTCTGGTTGAAAAGAAGCAAACCCAATGTCTTAAGCCCGGTTCGTACTCTGCGCGAAAGCAAAAGCGAACGCAAATTTGTCACGTCGTGGCAAGTATTCGCGCTGCGAATTCGTAAAAGTTGAACACATTTCAACTCGGGCGAGCTTCGCAGCGAATGCTTCGTGACGTCAAATTCGCTTGGCATTCGCATTCGCATTAAGTATGAACCGGGCTTCTGGCCTACCGTTCCTGAGAAAAGACGGGGAAAACGCCGGTTGTTTACATCGGACTCGACGGACATTTTGTGGCATACCCATACGTATTTCAAGTCGTTTCTATTCATTGCAGCGTACACGTTGCAATAAACACATTACAAATACACAAATGTTGCTTCTTACAGCACGGGTCGCAGAATGCGAACCATGCCACTGTGCGGCAGGATCACAACTAGCACTGAACAGCTCGATTTTTCGGGTACAAAATTGTGACCCCGAAATTCGTTTTCACACGCATCTCGCAAGAATAACACTAAAACGCACAGTTTTTAAAGGATGGTTGTGTTGACGTTTAAATTTTAATTTTAATTGCTCTTTCTTTTTAATATCATTTCGATTAAAACGCGATTTGTAGCCCAATTGGGCGCATTCCAGGCCGTAATGTCCCTTTAAGGTGTACCGCGTACTTTCCTATCGGTCAACATCACGATATAATCTTAAAACATTACGAACGTAACACATTGTTATAAAGAAAATAACTTAAAGTATTACAATAATGTCTTACAATTCTTTTAAATCGCTTTCTTCCACACATTTGAAATATTATAATTACACTATTTTGACCGTATAATGATGCAGGACTAATGATTAGTTTGTTTGTTAAAATTGAAATTCCGATTGCGGAATTGAAGTTCCGATTGTGCACTTTTTACGAAAATTATTCCATAATTCGTGCTGACCAGCCAACCCGCTCAGCAATAGCCCAATTACGTATTGTTTATTTTTAGATATTACAAAAAAACACATCGATTGGAATGAATGAAAAGAGAATGTGGCTCGCTCAGAGGAAAACATCTGTTTACCGATCAATGATGGAACAATAATAAATACTCAGACAGACAGTGGGTAGTTCCATTGATGAACGAGAAGAGTGTTCAACGACTGGCCGTCAGAATATTCCTGCGAAATTTGATACTTCTTTTTCATAAATTGACACAGCAAAGATATACGTGAAAGGAGTTGGATCGAACACGTACGTTTCTCAACTCTCTTTATAATATTCGAGATATTCTTGGAATCTTGCTAAATTCTGCCTTTTGGGACAGTTTGTGTTGTTTATCAAACTAACTGTTGTACGGCAATAGATTCACTTTATCATCATGCGATAACCCTTTTTTGTATCACCGATTGCAAGAATGTTTGATTCTTTTTACACCTTTAATGTTTTAATGCTAATTCTTTTCTCCAGAAAATGGTTGGAAAAAAAAACTTAAGTTAAAAGCTCGCCCCACTAAAAATAGTCAGTGTTTGTGTGAATTTCTCGGGCATTTCGTTCACTCTGCCAATTATATGTACAATCTAATTCGTGAAAAAATAAAGCAATAGAGACATTCATTTAAAAATGAACAAGTTTTGCTTTGATTCTGATTCATGTTTGAATCAATTCACCATGCACAGACAGTGAACCAGTGAAGCAGTTTAACTGCATACTCCAAACCTCACCGCCCCAGAGCCGGAGGACAGAGCACCGACCATGGCGGACGATCTACCGTCCCGCGCTCCGTATCCAGGCGTCACCATGAACGACAGCACGGTGGACAATGATACAACCGACGCTAACTCCCCCATTCCGGCCTGCTACTTTAATCAACACATTCCTACAACCAGTGAAATGCTTGCAGGTGAGATGAAAATAAACAGACCGACTTGGCGACAAACGGATAAGATTGTGTCTAAACATGACACTATTAAGTAGTGGCGTAGAAGAGGGAGGCATAGGAGACAGAGGCCCCCTATCAAGGCCTGTGCACCTCACCCCATCCACAGCTGTATGTGCCCCGTTTAGAATTTGGTGGAAGGCAAAAAAAGAGATTTTAATTGTTAAAAATCCACTGCCACCCCCTCCGGAAAATAGTGTGCCCTCCTTCAAATTGGACCCCATACGCCACTGCTATCATCATGTACACAATTTTAACATTTTATGTTTTTACAAAGGCCACGCTCGACAAGACAGAGTGTGCATTTCTGCAAACATGTTCTCTATGTGTGCAGACCTGCAAATCGACTCCCACAGACCTCAATGATAATAACGCGTTCTTCCAAAAAATATTTAAAATATTCAAAACTCTTCAAGGTGTTTTGAGACACCCATCAAATTAAAGCTTATTTCATCATCGTTCATTTTCTGGTCATTTATTTTTTTTTTTTTTGGGGGGGGGCGGGTTAACCGTTGACTTTTGGGAGGAAATTCCATCCAAATATGATCAATTTTTCTTTAAAAAGTGACAATTTTTTAAAACGCAGTAGGGGAATTAATGTACTACGAGCGCCGGTTGTGAGGAGTCGGCTACCACTTCTTTCCCTATCTCTCTCCCTGCCCCCACGCCACGCCACCCCCACCCAACCCACCCCAACCCACGCTGTTTACGCCATTTTGTGACAAAAATTGTGAAAGAATTCATAGATATAACTTTTTACTCGGGTGGAACTCGAACCCACGACCTCCGGACTAGTGCAGACATTTTAACCACCCAACAACTGAACTTGCCAAAAAACTAAGAAGCCAGGGCTAAATTATCTGTTACTATAGCACACCCTGGTAATTTTTCTCACATCCCATTATAAGTTAAATTGAACAAAATCTTTGTTTTGTTCTCCAAGATAGAGAAACATTAAACGTTAACGAGAGATTTAACAACGCAATTGTACAGCTGGTATCAGGATGGTACATAAAATACAACACAATTGCACTTTTATCGTCACTCTGATTTCATCTTGATTATTTTTTCTCTCGTTTCGTTCTACCAGTTGTAATGAGCAATCCTGCTTTGATCTTCATGATGTTAGTAGCTCTTCTTCTAGTCTTCTTCACAATGTTGATGTACATCGAGGGCCAGGTCTACATCTTTAAGAAAATCCCAGGAAGACGAAAGGTTCATCTGTCGTTCATCTTTAGTTTGTACCCGGTAAGAAATCACACACATTTTGGGCTTTTTTTCTATTCCTATGGCGTAATGACACACGACGGTAAATTCTCCAAGAAGTAGATGTGGTTGGTTGACTTGGGATTGTTTCGAAGTTGGTTTTGGGCGGCTGTACTGGGCGCGGGATGGTCTGGCCAGGGTTTAGCTGTGCCGATGGCTGGGGTGGGCTGGGCCTGGCTGGGTTGGACTGGGCATAACTGGGCTGGGCCGGGATTGTATACATTATTAACCGGGCTTGTTTGGGCTGGGCTGGCATGCTGAATTGGGCTGGGCTTTGCTGGGCATGGGTTTTGCTCGGCTTGGCTATAAAAGGCTGAGCTTGGCTCGGGTGAATGGGCTGTGCTGGATTTGACTAATTACTTTGGGCGGGTAATGGTTGTATGGGTTGGGTCGGGCTGGGCTGGCTGGGTTCGGCTAAAATTTGGTTGGGTTAGATTGGGTTTGGTTTGGTTGGGCCGGTGTGGGGTCGGGCTGGGATTGGCTTGGCTTGGGGGGGGGGGGGGGGTGAAGTCGGAATTGGCTGGAACGGGCTTATACTTGCTTTCTGTTTTCATTTTACACCCTTGCATATATCTTCATAAAAATAATATGCATTTCATGGATACGTTATTATGCTGGGGCTTCAAATTTAACAATTTCAACTTTTCAAGAAGGTGCATTTTTTTGTGGTTATTATCTTTACAGGTGTTTTCGGCGACAGCGTTGTGTGGATTCTTTATCCCAAAGGCTCACATTGTGGCGAAATTCACCTCAGAAATGCAAGTGTCAGGTTTTTCAAATTCAAAATAATGAACAAAACACTCAATTACAGGCACACAATTAAAACACACAAAACGAGTTTCCCTTTTCAAAAGGTAGCATTATGGGCTATACTAGATGCATTTTCAGTTGGAGTATGCAAACTTTGAGTCAGTTAGATTTCATCTCACACGGAGTGTGACATCCTTCAATTTTAAAAGATTTTCATCATTACTGTGTTCTCCGACATATTTATTTTGGATTCATTCAAATCAATATTCTGTTGGATTATTTTCGTCTCTGCGGATATTTAGCAGCTGCTGCATGGGTAAATTCGGTTGAGTTGTACGGTTGTTGGAACTCACTTCAACTTCACTTTGTTTGGTTTGACCATCATCTATTTTGTCCAAAAATTGAATTTGATAAAATGTTGTTTCCTTACAGCTGGTTGTCCGTGGTCCTGTTCCAGTTTGTACTGCTAGTAAGCGAGTACTACGGGAACAGGCAAAAGATGCTGTCCGTGTTACACGGGATAAAGATTCCCTTAGCTGGTCCCCCGTGTTGCTGTTGCTGTTGCTGCTTCCTTCCCTCCGTACTCATAAACGAGTAAGTTGCAACATTTGGAAATTGTACTTCACATTTCTGTCAATGAAAAAAAGAAAATAACGCCGAATCAGGGCAAAACAAATTGTGCATAGAGTCGGCTTTTTGTAGTTTTAGTCAGATTTGACTATTACCTCATTAGGTACTAGTCAAACTTGAACCCAGCTGACTACATCAGCTAGGGTCAGATGGGTGCAAGTTTCACTGTTTTCTAGTCAAATTTAACAAGACTGTTTTTAAATAAGAACGCTGTCTCTTTGTTTCGGTCATTTCAACAATGAACACGGTCTGAAAATAGACACACAGAAATGTAATATGATTAAGAAGGTTGATAATCCTCTAGTTTTCAGAATTATAGGAATGAATTGGTGCGACTAAAACTCGGTCAAGAAAACTGTATTTCTATATTAAGGATAATTGACCGGAAAATCTTTGGTTAACACAAGTCTATAGTCGAAAGTTAAAAACGATCGGAGCGTCTTCCGGTAGTGACTTGATTTTAAGTCAGTTCTCAAGAACGAAAGAAAACGGTCAGTTTTTGACGATATTTTTTTTAGAGAGCATTTAAACAAGAGAACATTTTCGTGCAAGAAAATTTAACGCATGTACAATCATTTACAATTCATGCAGTTGTTCGTTTCCAATAATAACATTAATCAAAATCCAAAGGAAAATGTTCAAAACCTAGCCCGTTGAAGTCTCAGCTCAGTGGATTTCATACTTTAAAAAAAAAACAGTGAAAAACCATGTACAACCTTTTGCTCACGAAACACGATTTTATTAATTGATAGCACTCTTTATTTCCAAAATTAAGTCAATAATTGGCTGATCGTTGGAAATCACCTACATTTCTTGATTTCTTCTGAATAACAGCAAACCAGAGGGAATAATTTCACCGTACTGTTTAGTACCAGTACGATGTTTAACAAAAGTGCAGGCTCTTTGGCAATCCGCCACAGAATAAAATAAAGGTTTTTTTTTTAATCAGTTACGTTTCACTTGATTCTTTTTGCAAGAAAAAATGTCGGGAAGTTCTCCCGGAGAGTGAAGATTCTGGTGCTGCAGGTGGCTGTGTTGAGACCCATCCTGTGGTTCATTGCCATCATCCTCTGGATCAATGGAAACTACAATGAAGGAGCGGTAAGATATAAAGTGCTCAATCATATTTCTATTTGGAAGTACGAGATCTGAGTTGTGATCTGTCACCAGACTCTTAAAAATTGGCATATTTTATATATCTGGATTCTGCAGAAAAAAATGGCTTTTAATTGTGTAACATTTTAGAGTTTCTGAGCTCAGTAAACTGAAATACAGACCGCCAAAATTAATGGGAGTTGCCGAAGTTATTCTTGAGAAAACAAGATTTTAAAATCCTGCTGTTGTGTTAAATGAAGAAATGTAAAACGATGTTAAAGAAATATTGCCTCCCCATGGGCGGCGCGAGGGGGTGGCAAGGCCCCCCGGAAAAAGCAAAATAAATAAATAAATAAATAGATAAAGGAAGGGAAAAAAGGAGAACAAAAAAGTCGAGGTGCGAAGTCATATTGTTGTTAATTTAATGCACATTTAACAACATGGGCGTCCAGGCCGCGGGGTGTCAATGGTGGTGGGTTGGGCAAAATAATGTCCCTCCGTCCACCCTCGAAAATGATAAATTCAGAATATGCTAGAGAAAGCTCAAGGATTTTGGGAAATAAATTTGCTTTGCCCCCCATCTAGAAAAATCCTGGCGACGCCCATGTGCCTCCCCCTTTGGTCCTAAAAAACCCACCTGTTTGCGCCACTGCCCCTAGCTTGCCCCGCCATCTCCTCGAATCAAATCTTGACTACGCCAACCGTCATAATTTTCCCCACTCTGTTTGCAGCTCATGCTGGGCGATGCCTACCCGTACATGACGCTCATCGCCCTCATCTCCAACATGGTGGCGCTGCAGGCTCTCGTCACCTTCTTCAAGATCTCGCAGGACCCCCTGTCCTCCTACAAAGTCAAGCCCAAGTTTTTCACCGTGCAGTTCGTGTTGATCATCACCAGCATCCAGAGTATAATCACTGGGGCCTTTGCCAAGTTCGGTGTCATCAAGTGTCTGGGGCCGTACAGCCCTAGGGTCAACGAAAGAAGTAAGAGCGAAATGTGTACAGCTAAATATATTTTGTTTAGCATTACGCGTAAACAAACAACACCAAATCTGTTCTGCTTCTGATTTCGCTTCGTACTGCAACAGTCTCCTTGAAGGGATATTTAACATTGCATGTGCGAGTTGGCTGGCAGTCAAGGATTAGAAGTGTCCGCCGTAATATTAGTAAGGAATAAAGCCATTAGGCCTATAATAAAAAAAATTGGTTGAATTTTATAATTCAGCTTGGAAGCAAAGGGATGCGAATGAAAAAAAAAATGAATTGGAAGAGGCTAAGCAATGTTGATTGTATTTGTGGACATCTTCCGAGAAAAGTATGTTCTTAATAACGATTATATACGAGGTGTCAACCATGTCTTCTTAATAACATTGTCATCTTAATTCTGGATATTTCTGTCCGGAACCTTCGCGAATGAACAAAGTCACATTGTCAGTACTTTTGTGTTATGCCTTGTATAGGCTTACTTATATGGCTGCGTCCGAATTAGTTGGCTACGGATCGAGATTACACACACAACTATGGACGTGGCTGCAGCCACTTCTCATAGACTCGTGTGTTATTGCCAGCCATAGCCATAAGTAATTCTAACGCGGCCTAATATTGGCCGAAATACGCATGGCAACAAGATGGACTAGAAACGCGCAAGCAGGTAAACGGGGTCCGGCTTTCCTGTTGGTTTTTTTAGGTCTATGTACACGATTTGGTAAATCCTAATTTGCATGGTTGGGTTGCAAAACTGGCAAGCTTTTCCACTTCGAGAGTTATCTTAGCATCCTAAATTGTAATGACGAGATAGAGATTTTTTTTTGCAAATTCGGTTTCGACTTTATGGCATAGTCTGTAAAAATGTGAAGTGAACTTGATCAAATGTGTTCACTTTTTAATAACGTTTTTTTTTTTGCTGTCTGCAGCGATCCTCAACTTCACAGTCATCGTGGAGATGTTCTTCTTCATGATGCTAGCGGCGCTGTGGTATCGCCGCGTGGAAGGCAACGTGGACCACGATCTGATCGAGCGACAGACCTACAAGCGCATGTCCAAGACCAACTACAAGAAGAACCCAGCCGAGCAGATCATGCTGAGCGATTACGACGCCCCCAACGGCGGCGACGCGTCCCAGCCGACGACGCCCTCAATGGTGCAGAAGTGCCAGCCGGATAGCATCTGGCAACACCGGGAGGCGAATGGGACCGGGAACGGCGTTGTGTTGACGAAGAATGCATCATCGGATCCAAAAGAGGACAAATTGCCATTCGATGGGCAGAAAGAACCGCTGCTGAACAACAACACGGCCAACGGTAGGGTTGTCACCCATATCCAGCTCCCGTCCAGTTTTGTTTTGGATACCTTTGCGTCTTCCAGAGAAACTGATGTTTAAACAATTCACGGATGCCTTCGAGTCGGGCACTACATCATAAAGGAATTCCTCCATGACTGCGTCTATACCACCGGACCTAATATATCGACGGTGGTGTTTATACGAATTTCTGTTGACGAAACAGCTGCTCATTGCTAAACACATTAAGAGCTATGATACATCGAAGTCTTTTTAAATGATCTTAACACAGTCTACCATATGCACAGTACGGGCCAAAGCATCAGCTTGTTTAGGCAGAGTACGTTTTCTGCCAACGGAATTAGCCCTACAGAACACAATACTGTTTTTTGTATGTTAACTTGAGTGACGCCTTCTATAGTAAACTGGACAAACTAATAGGGTATGCCGAATAAAAAAAAAATGTTTTCAATAGTTAAGAGTTGGTTCCCCCACAGCAATGAGAATGGGCACATCGCTCGTACCTTTAAAAACATTACAAAATGAACTATGTTAAAATTGTTGTTATAGCCCTAATTACCCGACAACAGTATCCTTTGACGATCACGCGCTTTTCTGGGAAAAAAATGTCAGTAAATGCATGTTGCGTTGTATGGTACAGTGTGATTGCCGACAGAAACTAATGTTGCTTATAGTTGCCGCAGTGCATGGTCACAATTAATTTCACGTGTTTGGTGAAGTTAACTTCTATGTAAGGCCTCAACGATATATATGTGTCTCTAGCTCTCTGCCCGCTACTCATGCATAGAAAATCTACAGTGAGAGTTTTTTAGAGACAAATGCGGTGTGAAGCGGCAGTATGATTTGAACGAAAACTTGCAGGCAATGTATCATGGTGTGTGGTGTTGTTGTCTTATTTCGAAATCTTACAAAAAAGGAAGGAAAGAAAAAAGCAAATTTGGAGCTGAATTATAAAATTTTATATTGAATTGTATTGCATTTGCAAATATACATTTGTGCCATCTTGTTTTATTATCTGAGTTTTTTTAAAGGAGATACTTTTGTGTGTTATCCAAGGTACTTATTCCTTATAATGGACAAACATTATGTATAATCCGCTATAAACTTTTCTTGGCTACCATTTTTTAATGTCAAAGACAATGTTTGAATATAGTTAAAATAAATGCCTGTTCTGTTGCAAAAGGTTATATTTTTTAGCTTCCGTTCAGAACCAATCCATCCTTTGGACGTAATTGTTTTTATTATGAATAGCGCCCCCGTTGGTGGATGTCCTTTGAGTCATCAGTACTCGGTCGGAATTGTGTGCGCCCTCAGTCTAATTTGGTTGTACACAAAAAGTTGTTTTAATTTTGAACACACACTTAATTTTATAACGCAGTGGCTTGCAAGTAACGCACATTTGGCTTCAGTAAATTATCGCATAGTTTTTGTAATTAAATGTAGATTTTGAAATAAAATTAATATGAATCAAATGATTTTCTTTGCAAGTGATAGGCATGAATGAATATCTTTATTTTGTGAAATCGCTGAAACTATTTTCTTGGGGGAAAAATGACTTAATTGTTTAACACGGTTTGATTCAGAAACCTTGGTTTTATCGAAATGAGAAAATAAAATAAGTTTAAATACGTCATTGTTCATCTCATCCGAGATATAAATCAAATACGTTTCGACTGTTTGTTTAAACTTTTAGATTTCAGGATCCATCACTTTCAAAACGAATAGAAAAAATACTGTGACAAAATAATTCAGATTTAATAACAATTTGTGAGTTGCGGATTTTTGAATCGGGTCTTGACATCATATAATAATTATTCGGCCGCGAATTATATTAGTCACTGTATAGTGCGCGCACTTCTCTGATGTAGTTATGTAGTCGAAGGGTCATAGCGCTAGTCATTGCCAGCAAATCAGATAAAACAAAAACAATAGCTTAAGCCCTTACTCATAACATAAACTACTATGATAACAATTGTAGAATATAATACTGGTATTATTATCTTGTCGTCGACTATGAATCAAGGGCGTAAATTTGTGCGGATGACGGGGATGATGATGGAAAAATCCAGAAATTGTTACCGAGGTTTCATATCAGAAACTTCAAAAGGAAGTGACAGGATTGCTGCTAACATTTGACACATGTGGCTCTGTTTATGGAAAAAAACTACAGGTTTATCCACCTGACGAAAATGTGATCGGTTTTATTCCCTTTTCAAAACCACATTTACTTTTTCAAACATAACTATTGGCTATCGATCGGAGGACGTCATTAGTGATATTCCTTTTGTTTTTTCTTAGTTAGGTGCAAAAATCTGGATGAAATACGGGAGTTTCAAAAAAGTAACACTTTACAAAGGGATGATGTGACCAGATATGAACTTAATGACCATTATTATGGTTTTATCATAAAGTAGGGGCAGTAAGCTTTCCATTGATATCTTGGATGCATTCCTCCGGTCATGCATTACTGAGTTCCATTGTTTTAAAAATGGTATGCAAAAACCGTATCATTATGGTAATTAAGTTCATAGTTTGTTCTTATTGTCCCTTAGTTTGTCCCTTTTTGGGTGACACCCTGTATAAAATACAGATAGTTAAATAAAAAAGCTATCTCTGGAAGTACTTTTTTAAAAGTTGAGTATCCCCGCCCGCTGTTATTTCTATTTTTTTTGTACTTTGGGGTCATTCAGAATAGTAAATGTTAAAAAATTCGATCTTTTTTTTTCTCGAAATTGTGGGTGGGTGGGTCGAAGGAAATAACTGAAAATCGAAACTCAGTTTCAATTAAAGAAATAGAAACATTAATACAAGAAGGGAGAAAAAAAATTAAAATACCAAGCGGCCTCTTCGAGATTGTCTGTCATGTCTGTAATTGGACCCAGCAAAAGCTAATAATTACGAAGCCGAAATAACCTTTTTTTTAATACAGTGTCTTAGAAAACTTAAAACATTGTAAAAGTTTTGTGTGCTTGGAAATTTCCGTCCGTTTTAACTACAAAGTTGCATGCTGGAAGCCTGGAAAAGCCATTGAAAACTCCTGAGCTGGTAGAGCATTGACCTGAAATATCTGTTTCATATGAAGCATTACTTTGTTTTTCAAAGGATATATTAAATAGTCATTCAACATTTTAAAATCGAAATTTGGGGCGAGTGGGTGGGCCTTGCCAAGTTAAGTTCATCTATCCCAAACAAGGATCTAAAATGTTTCAAAATTCGATTACGCCGAGGAATGAACATTTCAATACTGCCTGGAAGGAAGGCCTTATACGCTTAATACATTTCCCATAGAGATTTCACAACCTACTTGTATGATTTCAATATTAGAAAGGTGTGTGCTTTTGTATTCTTTATACTGGGTATGATGATATATCAGATGAATACATTATGGTTTACACTCCCCATTTTTGATTCGACAACCAACTTATGATCACGCATCCAACTCGTGGTATTCAAGCCTGAGTCTGATGATACTTTGAACTGTTTGTATATCGACATAAATATTGACACAATACAGTGACGCGGGTAGCGCGTGTGTGTGTTATCTGGCATTCGAGATATTACGCGTAATTTCTTATCAGATAAGAAGTTAAGATATATATAGCATTGTGCCAAGTTTAGCAAGTGTCAATGATCGTGGACGAAATCTGAATTAACCCTATAATTGAACTTAACTTTTCAGGGGTATTTGAACCCAGTGATGTCACTGATAAAAATAATTATAACAACATTTTGATGCCGAATGAAACTTGTGATTTGGCTGTTTTGAAGTAAGCTTTCTTTTTAGATTTCCTGGATATATTTTGTCTGTAATATATCATATTTACTGCAAACAGGCCTAACTTGTTTGTAAAGATGTGAATGTTCGAGAAATTAGCTCTTAAATATATACAGGATGAGTCAAAAAGAAAGTGACCGAATTAGAAAAACATGTATAATAATATGTGGCTCGCTCCATTTCATAAAATATCACAGCCATAAAGTACATGTTATTGACTAGTAACTGTGAAAATGTCACGTAATTTGCATACTCTATTCCCAAGTTACGTTTTTTTTAATAATGAAGATCACAAAATTCAGCTGTCCATCACTGATCATTTACCGTCCTTCGAACTGATGAATACCCATTAAATACAATGAAACATGGACGTTTTCCTATCTCGATGAATGGGGGAGAACTTGCAAAGGAAAACATACCAATATCGACATTACTATTTCAGAGCAAAATAGATGACTTGCTCCTCATATTCAAAATACAAAATCTCACAGTAAAATAATGTTTCAGTCTTCATTTAAAGGATTAAAATCCGATATGCAATCGATTTCTTGTGGGTAATTTGTAATTCTCACTCAGCTCAATAGCTGCAATGGCATTCCATCGACAGCTATAAAAAAAGTTCATTTAGTAAAACGTGCATGCATAACTCCTGATAGTTTTAATCAATTTCAGTAATATATTTAGATGAGTGGAAGAACATGCTCTTTTAAGATACTTCATTGGTGTTTCAAATTTGATTGTTTTTTAAGAAAAAAATCGTTTATGGTCACTTTCTTTTTGACTCACTCTACAGGTATGTTTTAAGCATAACCTCAAACCTTTTTTTTCTGAAAACCTCAAAATACTTTAAATTCTATACAGCCTGTTCCATGCATGGGCCTTTTGCACGATTGGGTTGAAAGACTGCATAATATAGGCTTAAACAAAATGCATCGGCAGCATAAAGACACAATTTGAAATTATGCGGTTACTCGCATCCTACATAGTGATGACGCGGAGGGGTTTGTCGTGCAAAATGCTGCCATAAGTTTGAAAATAAAGGGAGCCCTCCCCTGAGGACTTCTTGCCCATTTTGACCCCAGCTAGGCAACTGGCTTTCTCGGTTTTTGTACCAATTTGGCGGTACCGTTCGAAGATATCTCGGTGTAAGGGGATGTTATTATCACATACTGTTGACCATTCTACGAAAACAGTTTCTCAATACGGCGAATTTCCAAACGGTATCTCAATACGGCGAATTTCCAAATGGTTTCTCAATACGGCGAATTTTCAAATGGTTTCTCAATACGACGAATTTCCAAATGATTTATGTCATTTTCAGTCCTTTTTAGACCGTGAAAGTCCTTGGGAATTGTGCCCCATCTGCAGACAATCTGCATTCGTCATTATCAAGCTCATATTCCCGAAGGCTTCATGCAAAAGAAAATAGCCAGAAACAGTCCCCATTAGTAACAGATGGTCGCCTAGGGATTTCCTATCTATAGAGTCATATTAGAAGCAAGGATTAAATTGCTATTAATATTGTAGATTCAGACAGGCATGACGCCTGGCACTCGTATAAGCATATCAATATCATGAAAGATATACCGCGATTATTAACTCTTCATCTAAAAATAGAACTCCCATGATTCATTGCGGTATAGCGTCAGGGAACAAAGTATACGTGCAACTCTACCTTATTAATGAAAAAAAAAAGACAAGGAGTTTTAGACATGCACAATAACAATGGTTTTCTAAATATAGGCTCTTATTATTAGTAGCTGAACAGGTGAACCTTTTTGTCAAAAGTTAGGGGTTTAATTTAAAAGGGGAAAAACGCATGACGGAATTTGATTTGATAAGTCTACAGGTCCAATCGTTCCCCCCAAAAAACCCCAAAACAAAACTAACAACCCCAAAAAACCAACGAAATTTACAATTTTACAAATGCTTTGCCCCCCCCCCTAGAAAAAAATCCTGGTGACGCCCATGGGCGAGGGGAGAACTTGCCAACCCCCTTGGAAAAAAGAAATTACAAGACGAGTGAGTGCTATACTACCCTCTTCAAAGAAAATCCTGGCGATTCCCATGTTTTGTAGTCAACAACTCAACATAATGATTTGAAAAACAACATAATGAAGTCGGGTGCAGCCCCCTCAGACACATATCATGGGGAAAACCAAGATTTCACATCAAATCTGTATTTTTCCGTCCACATTTTGTCACGACCTGGGCATACATCCTGTACACGTATAATTGTTCTCATTTGCCAGCACTTTCGTTGTGTACAGTCTTTCAAGTGGTTGTTATTGGTCTTCCGTATTTGGCATAGATGCTGATAATGATATAATAACTTATTAAATCGTTATCTGCATCTATGCCAATAACTCTCAATCTCCATTCACTCAATTTCGAATCACACTTTCGCTGAACTTTATAGTCGCAGATAGCATCTATATATTTGTTCTGCGTTGGACGAACTTTCACACTCATTACAAAGCCTGGAAATATGATGAAAACTGTGTATACCCTTCGAAATTCTCGGTATTCTGTGAAAATCTAATCAAAATATATCACTTTTCCTTTTGAAATCAGAAACCATCAGAAACGCATGACCACAATAAAACAATTTGCTAAAGAAAACAACATCGATGGAAGCGTTTTCGGTGAATCAGTAACTTTTTAAAAATAAATTTCACACGAACATCCTGACACGCGTGAATAACAGATTTCACCACAAAATGAAACGGTATAGATTGGGAGAACAATGCTTTGGGTATTTTATGCGGGCATTGTTGTGAAAACCTCGTTTGTTCCATTGTCTGAATTTTGAATCATAATTGTATCATTTACAATTGGCCCATTCATAAGCATGACGTGTCAAAGTTTCGGCGTAATCATCGTGATTCTTAATGGGGGTATGGGTGATTTTGTTTTTGCAGGTTGGGTTTGAGCTACCTATGATGTTTGTTCTTTGAAATTGTAGACACGAGTAATATTTTTGGTAAATTCAATTTTTAATCGTCTTGTGAAAATCATTTCCCTGTGCAATAGGTTTGTGTTGATTTCGTCCTTTTAAAATTTATTTTCATTTTTTTTTTAAATTTATGTCGTGTCATTTTACAAGGGTAGCCCCATCAGTTGTCAATGAACAGTTCTCCCTGAGGGCATTTCAAATACGGTTTATGCAGTTTTCAACATTTTTTTTTACAATTTTGAATATTTAAAAACTATATATATATTGATTGATCACTTTTGCGCCGAAATTGGGCTATTTAAGTCTTTTAAGTCACTCTCTGAAATAATGGTATGGATATTAGTAAACTTCTAATATTCATATTTTTAACGATAAAAATATAAAAATTATCAAAATCTGAAGCTTTTGACGATGTTTCATTGATACACGTAGTGGATTAAAAGGGGGTTACTTCAGGAATTTGACAATTATTTTTTTAAGTCATTAAATTCGCATAGGCCTACTTAGCCAGCCACGTAAGAGTGACAGTCATTTTCTAACAACCTTTTATTATTAAAATAAGCAATTTTCCAGGCAGTATAATGTCATCATTTTATGTTCTCTAAAAAAAAAACCTAACGTACTAAAAAATAATAAGGCGTCGATTTTTTAAAAGTCATTTCGTGTAAAAAAAAAAGACAAAAAAAAAAAAAAAAAACCGAATCAAATTTGTTTCTTATCATGGATATCTTGGAAGGAGATATTCACATGCAGTCCTCTTTTCCCTCG